AGAGATAATGATGCTCTCGGCTGAGCTAATGCGCGATCGGCTCGCCAGCCTTGAGAGGGCTAATGAGGCAGCAACAAAGCGTAGGCAGCGTAAGAAAAAGCGGATATAGAAGCGAGGAGTACTTACAAAGGGAGCTGGAGAGGATCTACTCGCTTAGCGCGAGGCTGATCAGCAGATTGCTCATGAAGAGCGTCAGAGAGGAGAGCGATCAGGTGTTAGCCGCCAGGCTTTGGCGCGCTGTAGTAGGTGCAGAGAGACTGGCCATAACTCGCGTACGTGCAAGAAAGATACTCTAGGTACTGCTTAATCTATTATGTTAATATGTAGTAAAACAACTATATTATGGTGGAACTACAGGCTTATAGACCTCCTAAATATCGTAGCTAGAAACAACCTACTTAGATACTTGTAGGCCTAAAAACCCTACACGTCTTATATAGCCCTTCGGGCTGAAAAAGGACGTTAAACTAGAATAATAATAATAATACAGGCTTATAGAGGTGCGCAGGTTTGGTGGGGTGCGGCGCTCGCTTGCCTGCGGCGCTCGCTTGCCACATACGTTATAGCTTGATTGAATTACATAACGTGCAGGGTCAGTAAGCTGGGCAGATCAGTAAGCTAGGCACCCCACCAAACTTGACGCGACGCTCTACACAACCACCACCATGCCGCGACAACAACGTTCTATACATACTTCTCGTAAAGGCAGAATAAGCCTTGCTATCGCGTCTTATCGTAATAATCTAAAACAATCTATCCGTGCTCTTGCAAAAGCATATAATGTGCCACAATTAACACTACATACTCGCGTTTATAGTACTTAGCCACGACTAGAGCTACAGTCTGTTAACCGTAAGCTATCGTCTATTGAAGAGCAGTCCCTTGTGCAGTGGATCCTAGACCTTGACTATCGTGGTTTTCCACCCCATATTATCGACGTACAACGGATGGCAGACGCGTTACTCGCCGCGCGTGGCCAAGATCTACCTCCACAACCTGTAGGCAAGAAATGGGTGTCGCGCTTTATCCAGAGCCAGCCAGAGCTTTAGACGAAGTAGAGTAGAAGGCTTAACAGCCAGCGCGCCTAGTACGAAGATCCTGCTACAATCGTAGCGTGGTTTAAGTTAGTAGAGGAGACGCGCCAGACGTACAGCGTGCTAGACCAGGATATCTATAACTTTGACAAGACTAGGTTCGCAATAGGCATCGCTAGCACGTCAAAAGTCGTAACTAGCTCTAATAGAGTTAGTCAGGTAGTCGTCGTACAGCCAGGCAATTAGGAGTGGGTTACAGTGATCGAGTGCGTTAACGCGTCTGGCTGGTCTCTGCCACCGTTCGTGATACTGTCTGGCAAGGTTCACCAGAGCAGCTGGTATCACAATCTCCCACCAGACTGGACTATCGGCACCTCAGACAACGGCTGGACGACTGATCAGCTTGGCGTAGAGTGGGTAAAGCACTTCAACCAGCATACAACGGCTCGTACAGCTGGAGTCTATCGGCTGCTTATTCTAGATGGTCATGGTAGCCACGCAACGCCAGAGTTCGACCAGTACTGCACTAAGAATAAGATTATCACTCTCTGTATGCCGCCTCACACGTCGCACCTCCTCTAGCCTCTAGATGTGAGCTGCTACTCTCCTCTTAAGCGCGCGTACGGACGCGAGGTTGAGGAGCTCGCCCAGCATGGGGTCTACCACGTTAACAAGATAGACTTCCTTGCAGCCTATACACGGATCCGGCTAAAGATTTTTACGCAGCAGAATATCCAGGCAGGCTTTTGGGCGACAGGGCTTGTCCCTCCTTGTCTAGATCGCGTTCTATCATCGCTCATAGTAGCTAGAATACCGTCTCCACCACAGACAACCACAGATAATAACACTATAGCGCAGGCAGCAATGCAGACAGAGACACCACATACAGTAGCAGAGCTTCAGCAGCAGGTGCAGTATCTCCAAGAGCGACTGCGCCGGCAGCCAGAGAGTCTAACAAGCGTTGCGATACGCCAGCTTACTAAGAGCGCTTAGCTTACAATGCAATTAGCAACAATACTTGTAGAGGAGAATAAGAAGCTACGTGAAGAGAACTAGCGTTAGCAGCAAAAGCAAGATCAATAGCGTTAATATATTGCTTCTAGTAGGGTACTCTAGGTGCAGCAGGCTTAGCAGCTTATAGCAGAGGCAGAAAGGTTACTTATAGGGGGTAGCCAGAACTAGGCTAGTAAGCGACGTTGGCGCGCGCCGCTAACGTGCACGAAGTGTCACGTTAAAGAACATACTTAGACTTTATACAGAGCTAAATAGTAAACTATATATCTTAATTTTATATTATTTTAATACGTTGTTGTGGCTTAATTGCGCAGAACGTCGCGCGAAGTTTGGTCGGGTGCCCAGCTTACTGATCTGCCCAGCTTACTGACCCTGCACTAACACCCACGCGCTGATCTCATCCGTCCCCTTGCTCGTCTCATCTCAGAATAAGCTCAACGCTCTCTCTCACCTCCTGAGCCGCAATCAACGCCGGTGCGGCCAACTATCGTCAGCACCCTATCGCCAGGCAGATCATCCAATATGGGAACGTAAAAGTGTGCGTTAATCGCAGCCTAGCCAAAGTCCGTCAAGCCTTCTCTGGAGACTTTCCGATAGCCGCTGTGGCTGCATCCACCAGCTCAAAGACCGGTATCTTTAGCTCAACACCGGCATAAATGACCGGCCGACATTGTGAGCTTATGCATACATGGCTCACCGTCTTCATGGGCTGTGACATGTCAGCGCACCATATGAGGTGAACTCTAACAATACTGTGCTGCAGCAGGATCCGCCGATATACGCTCAGTACCACGGCCAGCCAATGTCAAGCACACGCTCACCTCGCATGTACATTTCCAGTCTGGCCTGTGGCGCATATTCATTGAATCGCGCCACTGTCTGGGGCTAATGTCACACACCCCGGTGATGTGTTGGGTTGAGCCACGCGGCCCCTCGTACGGCGTCTCTTCAGCCATCCCGGCGCCACGTCGGAGAACGACTCTAGGGCTATACGCGCTTGCGCTTTGTCTATAACCGGAAACAAATGGCCTCCGTGCGGTACTTTTGACTCTGCTATCGTGCAGGGTGCTCCTTTAGTTCGCCACGCGCGGCTGGTGCCACGCAGCTTTAAGATTCTTTCCTTTCCCATAAGCGTCATTCTGCATGCTTGACTTCGCCCTGCGCCACAGTTTACTTTCATTTATATTCGCAGTGCCCCCACGATGGTGCCCGAATCCACGAGACAAGAGTCACTGGAACTCGAGGCCATGTCACAGGACGAGCTTCTCGGCCCAGAACAAGGTACCATGGGCGACAAAGGCAACGGGAAGGCTAAGAAGCCACTGTCCTTCTACCTAACCTTCTTGGCACTGAACATCTGCGTCCTGCTCGTCTCGCTGGATACAACTGCGCTTTCAGTCGCGATACCGGTACACTCTACGATACCCCTTTGCCCTGAATCTATCGACTAACACACACAACAGTTGATAACCCGTGATCTTGGCGGCACTACTCTCGAAGCTTTCTGGGCCAGTCTCTGTTTCACTCTGGCCGTTGTCGCCGTTATGCCAATCATCACCAGTGTTTCCGATGTCATAGGCCGCAAAATCCCACTCTACATCTCCTTCGTCTTGTTTCTCGTCGGTTCCATCGTCTTCGCGCAGGCCCACAGCATGGCCGTACTCATACTTGGCCGCGTTTTACAAGGTCTGGGCGGCGGGGGTCTTGACGTTCTGGGCGAGGTCATCCTGGCAGATATTACCACCCTCAAAGAGCGGCCCTTATACCTGGGGTTATTCTCCCTTCCCATGGCTGGCGGCGCCATCTGTGGTCCCATCGTGGGAGCGGCACTTGCACAGTATGTCAGCTGGAGATGGATCGGCTGGATCAACCTCCCATTTGGTGTAACCGGCCTGGTGCTCTTCATCTTTTTCTTGCGTCTCAAAAGCATCAACACTTCGCTTACTGACAAACTCGGGCGCCTCGACTGGTTTGGTATGGCGCTTTTTGTGATCGGCAGCACCTTGTTTTCCATTCCGCTCTCTTGGGCCGGCGCCCTGTATCCGTGGGCCTCATACCATACGCTTGTGCCCTTCATATTAGGAATTCTGTTCTTGGTAGCATTCGGCTTCTACGAGGCGCGACCCGTTCAGCCTGTCTTCCCATACCGCATTTTTAAGAGCCGGACGGCCAACGCTACTCTCATTGGCTCTTTCATACATGGCGCCGTGTTCAACAGCGGCCTCCTCTATCTGCTACTATCCTTCCAGGCTACATTTCGAGAGACAGCATCCAGGTCAGCGGTTTCGGTACTGCCAATATGCATTACCATCGTCGTATTCAGCGTAGTTGGCGCTGTCAGTGTCGAGGTCACTCGCAAGTATAAGCTAATTACGATTGTTGCATGGCCATGCATGGCCATCGGTATTGGCATTATGGCGCTGTGGAAACCGCATGCCGTAGCTGCATTCAGATATGGTCCTCAAGTGCTTGCTGGGATAGGCATCGGCATATTGTTCACCACCACCACATTCCCCATGAATGCAAGCCAGCATATCGACGATGCTGGACTTGCTGTTGGCATCATGGTGTCCTTCCGCATGTTTGGAGGCCTGACTGGCATGTCTATCTCCTCGACAGTCTTCCACAGCGTTTTCAAGCATCGCATCTCCCTGCTTGGCGCGCTTCCCGCTCAACTCGCCAAAATCCATGACGTCCGCGAGGCTGTCGGCTTCATACCTTCTCTACGTTCAATCGATCACAAGATCCCACTCTACGGCGCGGTGGTTGAGGCATACAGACTTTCCTTTATGGCTGTATTCGTGGTACTCGCCAGCATGGCTGCTGTTGGCTTCTTTTTCTCTCTTTTCATCGAAGATCTCAGTCTCGAAAGTGACGAGGTTGGAAGGCAGGGCTTCGAGCAGCAGAAATAAAACATGTGTCGAACGGAAAATAATTTATCTACTTCGCCAATATATTAAACATGAATAATCTGCAAATGGATATGTAAAAGTAATTTTATCATAGATTTACAATATACAGAGCTATGCAAATGGCGTGATGATCGCGACATGATGGTGTGAGATGCCCGATATATAGAAAGACGAATAACCAGGACTTCTCCAGTTCTTCAACATTGCTGTCAAGGTCAGCGAACATTACTTGCACGTGGGCATCATCCCGTCGTGCTGCCTATATGTCTGGTATTGAGACCTCTCCGAATACAACCCACGCCCCGTCTGAGCAACCAGCGATTGAAGAACCGACGAGAAGGAAACAGCTAACTTGCATTCTCTGTCAGTCAGACCAAGTTCCCCTCGCTTCCAACATCCCCTCCAGGCTAGGCGAGCGACATGCCACAAAGTATCTTTTCTTCGGGCAAACAGAAAGTCAGCCCTTGGTATCAGACGTTCCAGTGACCAGGTCCTGCCCTTACAAGCCATACTATGCATCTGGACGTATAAGACATGGATCTTTCCTGATCCACATCTAAGGTCATGGGTTCCGCGCTTATCACACCACCTGCATGATTTTTTTTTCCGCGGAGGGTAGTTTTTAGAAGCGGCCTTGGTACGGTGTGACAAGCCCGGGGGTGTTCTCCGCGGTCTTGACAAGCTTCCATGCAGGACGGGGCCTCATCGCCCTACTGATAATAATTGCTGCGCCCAGCGTTCTAATATTTGCTTCCACTTTTGCTGGTACACGGCTGCTCTTTCTTTCCCGCTCTGCAATCTATTCCCCTAAAAACAAAATTGGGTGCGAAGTGAAACGGAAAAAAATAGGACGTTGCGATGGTCCAGCTGGAGCCAAGAAATCGAAGCAGCCATCCGGTCGGTCCCACGGGTCGGTCAGCACGTGTCGCATGTGTCCAATGCTAACAGGGACGGACATTACTCGGTCCCAGTACAAGTCGAACATGGGAAGTCCCGGATACAGTCACAGAAGCTGGAAGCACTCAGACCCCCTCATCAACATTTGCGCTACTGCTCTCGTCATCGCTGTGACTAACCTCCTCTTTCTCCTTTTTCTGTGGTATGTCGTCTGGATGAGGATTCCCTTCATGGTGGCCGTCGCCACGCGCGTGGCTCCACATTACCATGAAGAAAAGGAATCCGAGAAGAACGGCCAAGATGGTAGGTGCTGCGGGGTGACGCATCTTTCAGTCGAATTTGTTTGGCGTCTGCAAAACTGCTGGCTCCCTCAGAACTCTGCGTGCTGTTTTCCCTTTGGGTTCTTTGGTTTTGTGTCACAGGGCCTTTGCCCTTTCTCCCGAGTCGCCCTGGTCGTTACGCGTAGTAGCTCCACGAAGAATGTATGCCGTCGAACTGAGGAGCTCTTTTACAGTGGCCAATCTGCGTTTTCTAGAGGCTTTATTACGTGCCCTAAAGACCCAACCTTATTGTCAAACTCCTTTACAGAATGCCGGACGTTAATGTTGTGTTGAGTGTTGTTCAGTCGCGTTTGGGTTGCACCTCCTGCCCAAGAATCGGCTTATGTAAGATACAGCACACGCTAGTGTGTTTTGGGCATGGTATGCTGGCCCAAGTGGATCTGGAGGACGGCCCAGCTGCAAGTCACTGAACGCGTATGTCTACAAACACACATCCCCGGCCCTCAACTGACCATATGATCGAGTGATGTGGACGACGCGACACCATGGCGCAACACGCGAGGGTCTCTAGTCTTACAGACGAGCTGATACGGTCTATATTGATTTCTGACCCGGCAAAGGACAAGCAGGCGTACAGACACGCCAAAGATCTCGCCTCACGTAACCTTCGAGGTCATCAATATGCACGAACAAATCAGTTTGACGTTACAGCTCGATTTGCGGGGCTTGACGAGAAGTTTCGCATAAAAAATCGCGATGATCTCGCTGATGCTTTGCAAGTACGGCTACAAAAGCTCGAGGGCTACACAAACAAATACAAGCCCGAAATATTGTCCTTGTTGCTTCAGCTAGCCGATCGGCCTCTTGAAAATACGCAGATAGAGGCACTGGAATTGCTCAGACCACCAACCCCTCCTCCCCCATTAACATGGGCGGAGATACTACAAGAAGACCCATATAGCGACGAAGAGATCTGGAAGGATATCGACTATGGTGGTGACTCTTCTGAAGATGAGAAGGTGGCAAAGAAGCCCAAAAGACGCCCAAGCTCGCCGCCGACAAGCTACAATGAAGATGATACCTATGATCCGGAGTCCTGCGTCGTATCTACCGACAAGGACCTTGCGACGAAACTAGAAGAAATACAGTTCTGGACCCGCTCCTCGGACAAAGATAGGGATAGGGTAAGTATTACAGAATTACAGGCGGTCAAGGAGACCTTGTTCATGGTCAATGGGTTGAAGACGAGCCTGTATGAAACCGACAAGCAAAAGCATGGCTTCCGCTACAATAGCACTTACGTCCTCGATCATACTCGATCTACCACTCTGGAGCATTTGCTATCTCAGTTTGCGGAACTCGGCTCAAAAGTGCAAGAGATGCGACGGTGGACGATGCGGCAACAAGCCAGGAAAACACCATCTTCGCCTCTCATGCAGACGTTTGAGGCCGGCGTAAGAAAACGACTACTACAATTCGACTTTTCCCTGGCAGAAATGCAGCAGCAGTACTTGATTCCTGACAAGCCGATTCCTGTTAGTTTGCTCCAGCTGCATACAGATATTCGCAAACTATCTGCGCCCATCCTTCGCCTAGCACCAATCGTGAACCAGCTTAGTCGCGACCAGTCAACCCTAGACGACAAGCCTCTGGCGCACATCAATCCATTTCGCCACTTGGAGGCGCTGTTCGAAGGAACTACTCTGGCGCAGATGACACTGGAAGACGAAATCTTCAAGTACATGTCAGACACCTTCTTTGAGTGCCTGCAGACCTATCTCAAGCCGATACGGCGGTGGATGGAGAGGGGCGAACTGGGCCCAGACCAGGAGGCGTTTTTCGTCGTGGAAAACGATGCAAAGAACGAGGCTGCGTCGCTATGGCACGACCACTACGAGCTGCGCCGCGATGCCCAGAACAAGCTTCAGTTTCCCTCGTTTCTGCAACCAGCGGTAAACAAAATCTTCAACACGGGGAAAAGCGTCGTCTTTCTTAAGGAGTTAGGCATCTACGACACGGTGCTACACTCTTCGGTTCGCGAGCCGAGTTTGGATCATGAGACGGTGTGCGGTATCTCGGACACCGCGCCGCTCTCGCCTTTCCCAGAGCTCTTCCGCATGGCCTTTGAGACATGGATCCGAAGCAAATACTCGGTTGCATCCGCTGTACTGCGTGAACACATCTTCGAGACAGACGGCCTGATGGAGGTGCTAGGCGTGTTCCAGGCACTATACCTAGGTCGAAACGGAGCCGTCTTCGAAGACTTTGCGACAGCAATCTTCGAGCGCATGGATGCCGGCCGACGGGGCTGGAACGATCGATACGTGCTCACTGAGATCACACGGGGCATCTTCAGCACGGTTCTGACGGCCCCAGAAGCAGAGAAGATAGTCGTTCGCTCCAGCAAAGCAAAGGCCCAAGGGAAAACACTTCAGGACCTCGCCATCATTTCTATCGACTACGCAGTAAGTAAATCCATCCACTCACACAAATAAAAATCTCTTAGCCGATGCTAACGCTAACGCTCTCCCAAAGGTCCCCTGGTCCCTCCAAAACATCATCCAACGCTCCTCGCTACCCACCTACCAAGCCCTCTGCACCCTACTCATGCAAATCTACCGCGTAAAATACCTGCTCCAGCGCACGCGGATCCGCGCACCCCGAAAACGCAAGCTGCCCCCTCTCTTCTACAGGCTGCTGCACAGCATAAACTGGTTCACAGATACCCTGCGCTCATACATCACCGAGTCTGCCATCCACCTTACCACACGCAGCATGGTGTCTTCGATGCAGAAAGCCGATGATATCGACGAGATGGCACGTATCCACGTCGAGTACATGGCGAAATTGCAGCAAAGGGCTCTGCTGTCGAAAGATGTAAAGCCTATTTACGCAGCTGTGCTGGAAATGCTGGATCTGGGTGTGCTACTTGCGCGGACTGAAGCCAAGCAGCAGGAATACGTTGATGCCGAGTTTAAACGGTTGCTCCCGTTCATCACGGCGGGACTCAAGAGCGTGGGGAGAGCAGGTGCCGAGCCCATGTGGGAGCAGTTGGCGGACAGGTTGGAATGGGATGGGGGGAGGAAGACGCGTGTATAGATGACGTTAGAAGAAACAATTTGCCGGTTGCCTATTCCTGCTGGTCTTCTTTCTCAGATGAATATATTATGTATCTAGTGGTATATACGCTATCGAGTGATGCAAAAGCGGACGCTGAAGGCACCGAAAAAAAAGACACTCGAGCAAAAAAAACAAGAACAAGAAGAGCCCTATAACCAGAGGGCGCTTGTTTAACTCCACTCGTTCCAAATATACGACGAAGGCTCGTCGTGGCGTGTGTACATATTATGATCTGTAAGCCGTCTATTTATACACGAGAGTCCAGCGAGAAAAGGTCCACTGAGTACGTTATTGTAGAGAGTGGATAAACGACATTTTGACGCAGTATGAAACGTTCTCAGTCCATACCCACGTATTTGAACCACAGGGGGCGACAGTCCTCGCGATTCAACCACTGCTCGCCGTCTGTGAAGCGGCCCTTGTCGCAGCCAGAGCACTTTGGATTGTTGGGGCAGTTGAAAAATGGTATGTGTTGGTATCCAATGTCACGGAACCAGTGGATCTTGCTCTTGTCCTCGAAGAGGCCGAGCGCAACGCTATGAACCGGTGCGTCGCCCCAGCGCTCGTAGAAGAAGCCGCCGGCACGATCAAGGTGATTGAAGTAGTCGCGGTACTTTTTGCTGCGCCAGAAATTCAAGTCGCCGATTTCGAAGTTGGACCAGAAATGGCAGGTAGAGTAACCGTGGGCTTTCTTGTTGTTCTCAGGACGGCGCTCGCCGTCTTCCAGCCACTCTCGCGCATTGTTCGGATGGATATATTCGGGGTGGTCTGCGATGAACTTCTTTGTTTCCGGCCAGAGAGTTGCAACGCTTTCGGGACTATCGTAGATGTTAATGTTGAACCCGTAGGTCTTGTTGTGGTCCTGCATCCATGCGAAGACATCGTAATCGATCTTGCAGAAAAAATGCACGTTCGGCTCGACTCTCCAGTAGTATTGTATGTCCTTTAACGCGGGGTGCTCACTGAACATGCCGCTGTTCCATCGACACATTTGGTGGTACGACTGCTTGCCCATGTACTGCACGTTTTGCGCTGTGAGCAATGAGACAGACTCGCGGTACAGATCCATATTTATCCACGACGGAATGTCCCAGTGTTCGGCGGGAACTAGCTCGTATCGTACTTCGGCGTTTGTGGCTTCGCGTGTAGCCTTTTTGAACTCTTCGGTGAAGGGCACATCGTTGAAAAAGGTCCACGGATAGTTGAATTTGTGATTCCAGGTGCGCTCGAGATCGTGCATACTCTGTAGCATATCCTTGAGTTCTTCATTGCGTACGAGACTGAGTATTGTAGCGTTGATGCGCGCGCTCGCGGGGTTGTTGTAGGCATAGTTGTCGCCTTCGACTCGTCGCAGGGGCTCGGGAGGTTCGCCAGATGCTATCCACGGTATTCAGCATTCGCTCTGGTAATCACGTAAGCGGCGTCTTTCTTACGGTCCAATTGAGGGTCGTGGTCCCAGTTATTGAGTTTGCTGTCTGGAAGCTTGTTCGGAATCTCGATTGGCGGCTCGGAACCTGGTGTCTTCATGATCTGCATGAACAGGTATAAAAAGACGCAGATAGTGGCGCCGGCCAAGTACCGCATGCCCTTTGGAAGCGCCATGTTGAGAAGCGATTTCGGTGACGGGGGGATTTAGGACAAGAGTCCTGGTCCCGCCTCGAAATGTCGGAACATGGTTGAACGTGGTTTCACCGTAGTGACGCGGTGCGCGGTGACGCTAGTCTGCGATAGGAAAGGCGGCATACGCAGCCTGATGCACATGCAGCCGAATGCTGCCGCTACGTTTTACTTCTCATTTACCTTTGGCCAAGACCTGCAATCAGACCGTAGTGACAAGTAACGACTATAGAATATGGCAATAGAACCAGTTTTCAAAGGTGTTAATACAAGACCGCTGGGCTGAGCACACCTTGGAGGCTGATGCCCCACCCCCACATGCTCGTGCACTGTTCACGCTGGGCAACTGCCGCGTCTCGCCGATGCAATCATACCGAGATAACATGTCCAACCTGTGGTTCTCACCGGGTTCTCGGGCCTATTGAAATCACCGTATGCTAGCACTGGGGCAATCGAGGCGCTTTCTACTAAATTACACTTTCTAGTCCCTATTCTTGCTTTTAGATCTTGTATGCTACGTATCACCATGTCTCTCTACTCGCTGTCCATCTCGTCCACATACTTCATGATATCTCTCTTAATCGGAACTTAAATCTACACCTGCAGTTTAGTGCGCATGTCCATGGTGTTCGTGTCCTGCACCCTGGTCACCGAAGTCGACCTTCCATCCTCGCGTGATGAACACACGGGGATCGCGAACAACGGCGTATGCAGCCTTCTTTCCGTCGGCAGCATGGAACTCCAGAGGGATAGACTTCTTTCTGCGAGTCTCCTTTTCTCCCTCCTGCATAACAATCACTTCGTGCTTGTCCTTCCACTCCTTTGGTGCGCCAACAATAACAATCTTCTCGACACGCACGTTCTCCATAGTCTTGAGGTACTTCTCACACTTGACGGTGCGTTGGCTGGTGTCAAGGTTCGACGAGGTGAGAATCTGACGAGGGCCATCAAACGAGAAGCGGCGGTGGATGAAAGCACCCATCTCGTAGTCAAAGGTCTCTCCATCGTCGACATATAGTGTACCTATAGCATTGCCGTCTTTGCCAAGGTTGACAACGAGTGTGAATGGGTCGTACTTCATCAAGCCAGAGGAACGGCGAGGACGGTCTCGACGAGGAACAATGTTGCCGCCTTGCATGAGAAGAGGAATCTTCTCAAGAGGTGCAGGGACAGTGTGATGTCCTTTGCCGCTGTAAGTAGTGTAGTCAAAGTAGTCGTAGTAGGGCTGGTCGTCGGCGATATAGATGGAGACGCTGTCAGCACCCTCCTTAGTAACGGGCTTAGCAAGAAGTCCAGTGGAACCAATGTAGAGCTGGTCGTCAGTTTCAAAGCCAGCCTCATCATCGGGATGAACCCAGAAGTTTGGACGGATGATGGGAGCACCGGTGGTGTGGGCCTCGTGGAAAGCAGTGTACCAGGCAGGAAGCAGCTGGTACCTCAGGCGAAGGGCCTGAGTGATAATCTCAGTGTAAGGCGATCCGGGAATGTAGGGCTCACGACGACGGGTGTCAATGTGAGCGTGGCCACGGAAGAATGGGTAGTAAATGCCGGCCTGGTACCAGCGGGTCAACAATTCCTTGCTGGGGTTTCCAAAAAAGCCTCCAACATCGGCACCTGCAAAGGGAAAACCGGAAATACCCTGGTTGAGAACCATGGGAAGGGAAGCCTCGAGATGAGACCATTCTGCTTGGTTGTCGCCCGTCCACATGGCTGCACTGCGCTGGCTGCCAGAGTAGAAGGCACGAGTGAGAACAAATGGTCGGCGGAGTTCACCCTTCTTGCGCTCAGTGATAGCCTGGTATGTCGCGTTGTGGAAGGTCATGCCGTTGATGTTGTGCACATCGCGGTGCTCCCAGTTGCCATGGTGTAGGTTGTCCTTGGGCATGGTGGTCTCAGGACCGTTGAACACAGATGGCTCGTTCATGTCGTTCCAAATGAAGGTATTGGGAGCGCTTCCCTTGAACTTGTCGTACTTGAACAGCCCCTTCCACCAGTCGACAGCGGCCGGGTTGAAACAGTCCACCCACATTGAAGATCCAGGCCAGCACCATCCGTCGTATTGGTCGCCGTCTTTGTTCTTAACAGCGAGGTCTTTCTTCTTGAGCTCATCAATGACCGGGTAGTCTTCAGTGTTCTTGATGTGTGGGTCAATGATAGCAACAAGTTTCCTCTCTCGCTGGTCAAGCTGTTTCTGCATTCCCTCGGGATCGGGGAAGGTCAGAGGATCGAAAGTGAAGTACTTCTTCTCCTGCGTGTATTCAATATCGAGCCAGATGACATCGTACGGGATGTTGAACTTGTCAAATCTGCGGTCAACGTCCTTGACGTCTTCGTCGGTGACGTAGTTCCATCGGCACTGGTGGTAGGCAATGGCAAAAGACTGCGGCATAGCAGTGTAACCGGTGAGCTCACCATACTGGCGAGTGAGATCCTGAGGAGTGGGGCCGAGGAAGACGAAAACGTCCAACAGACCGCTTTCAGACATCCAGTGGGTTTGTGTATCAGTGTGGCCCTCAACTCCCATGGCCAGAGGGTTTGCCGTAGTCTTTTTCTTGGTCACATCAATCCAGGTCTCGGCAGCGTTGAGCCAGAAGACACCGACGGTCGAGCCCTTGCGGTGAGCTTGCATGAAAGGAATGGCACCATAGAGGGTCATCGGGCTGTCCATCTCGTACTCGAAGACATCGGCATTGTACAAGCGGTAGGGCTCAGTATAGGCGTTGTCACCGCCCCTGCAGTACGTCAGCTACGGTCAGCATACATTCGATCATGGTCCATACCGTGTAGTCTTGAGAGACAGTCTTGTAGCATGCTCTGGGATACCAAAGACATGAGCGTAACCGGGGAAAGAGATGTCGAGCGCCACAGCTTCAGGACCTCTTGGCTTGGTGTCGGTATTTCCACCAAAAGACTCGTCCCACCATGTACTCTCATCTTCAACGGGTTCCTCGGCCTTCTTCTCCTCTTGCTTGGCTTCCTCTTCCCCTTCCTTTTTCTCTTCCACGGGCTTCTCAACCTTTGGCCGCCAGTGCTCAACGTTCATGTAACCACGCTCGTTGAACTTGACCTGAGTCTCTCCATCTCTCTGGAACTCGATGCCGAATGGAGCGTGCCGAATGATAGCTTGATGCTTGCCATCTTTGCCATAGACGACCTTGGTGTATCCGTCTTCAACCTCGGGGCTAAGAGCAGCACCTGAAGAGAGCTTCAGCCCACCGACAAGAGCCCACTGAGCAGCTTCGTTGTACCGCTCCTTCCTGGCCTTGCTGTCGTGGCGGAGCTGGATGTCGCCCTTGGCCCTCTTCTCCTCGTCAAGGGTAACGCGTGCGACGCCGGTTTCGAGAAAAGTCACAGTCAGTGGTAGGCGAACTTTCTCCTCGCCTTCCTTGAGGGTCTTGAGTACAACGCCCTCTAATTGGCCGTTGTTGAAGGTTATCGAGGCGGGATCGAGCATGTACGGTGAGCTCCAAGAGCTCGATGCGGCGACGTCATCGGCGAACTGGCGATTGCGTTTGCAGAAGCCAGACTGATCACATGTTTTGAAGTTTTCGTGCTTGACGGATACTGCCACTTGTTAGCACATGCTCGAATGCCTTGTAACTGCGCGGCAACAAGACGAATAGTCGAGCTGTCAGCCACGGCGGGACAGCTGAGGGTAGCTACATACCAGCTGGCCCCAACAAGCAACACAGCAATGCTAATAGTAAGAAAACGGCGGTCCACCGGGGAGGCCGGTCCCGTGAAGTCATCATGACAGGCAGCTGGTGAGCAGAAGTTCAGAAGCCCGCCTGGGATGCCATCAACTCAAACCAATCCTCAACACTCGAGATGCCATGTGGACTTTGAGACGCCGCCAAGCTCAGGGTCCAAGGGCCTTGCACAAATCTGGCATAATTTTATGCAACACTACCCCACTAGACAGCGAAGGCCGCAGCAACACCCCCTACCCCCACCTCTCAAAAAATCCAGCTCCAGCTCGGCCTCTTCCTGCTCCTCTTTCCTATCCTCCACCTCAATCCAGGTATGTCTGATCCACCCGCCCCTGAGCCATTGAGTCTCCAACGCTAACCCCGTCACCAGAACATCCCAATTCAATCCACCACCAAAATGACTACCGAGCAAACGTACGTTTACCTTCAGACCACAAGGGCCTACCTCAGGGGCGGTGAACAGCACGACTGACAGCACCCATAGCTTCATCGCTATCAAGCCTGATGGCGTTCAGGTACGTGATAGCTAGATTCTGTTCACAACCATCCCGTGCAGCTGCCCTTTGCAATTCAATTGCTGCAACGCAGATGGCGGCCGGCGAAATCTCTAGCAAAAAGCAAAGCACCATACTGACTTGCTCGCCAGCGCGGCCTCATCGGTCCCATCATCACCCGCTTTGAGAACCGCGGCTTCAAGCTTGCGGCCATCAAGCTCGTCTCTCCCTCCAAGGACCACCTCGAGAAGCACTACGAGGACCTGAAGGACAAGCCCTTCTTCCCCGGTCTAATCTCCTGTATGTATACATAGCTCAACCAAAACAGTTGCTTCGCTATCATCGTGAAATAACCTATTAACTCTGTTCAGACATGAGCTCCGGCCCCATCTGCGCCATGGTCTGGGAGGGCCGTGACGCCGTCAAGACCGGCCGCACCATCCTTGGTGCCACCAACCCCCTTGCCTCCGCCCCCGGCACCATCCGTGGTGACTACGCCATTGACGTTGGCCGCAACGTCTGCCACGGTTCCGACTCTGTTGAGAACGGCAAGAAGGAGATCTCCCTCTGGTTCAAGGAGGGCGAGGTCCAGAGCTGGAAGAGCGCTCAGCACGACTGGGTCTACGAGAAGTAAATGCCTTGACAACTACATTGTGGCAGCATAGAGCAGCTGAGTAGCCGCGAGGGGTCCGGCGAAGAGCAGGCTAGCACCGTGTGACTTCAATGACATAGGGTGTTGGCCAGCCTAGTAGTTGCGACTTCTTGGCGAAAGGCTGCTCTGGGCTTTCATGGCATGGGTGTGGGCTACGAGATATGACCGGATGAACAAAAGGATAAAGTAGAAATCAATGAGACACATGAATGATCTCAACACCTCCGTATTCAAATGTGATGTTAATTAGGTGATACATGTTGTTCTCTAACTGCCACCTTGCAGACAAGGTATTCTATGTGCGCTCCATTGCCAACTATCCAGGTGCAATAAATCTCCCATTTTCAATACCCGAAACCCATACGCTCAACATTACACTCGCATCTCACTTGGACGTTCAATCTCCCCCAGTCGCAGCGCCCTTGGCCTTATCCTTACTCCTAGTCTTAACCTGACTCTCCTCCTTCTCCTGCAACTCCTGCTCCACCTTGCCCAAAAACCACTTCCTCAGTCTCTCGACCTCGCGCCACTCACCCTCGCCACGCTCAACCTCTGGCCCTTTAACTTCTTCCCTCGCCTTCAACTCACCAAACACACCTCTCTTCGCGCCCCACACGGGTTTCCCCCAACGCCACACACACCACGCGCTCTCATCTGCACTAACAAGCGTAGGATGTCTGTTTAGCGATTTAACAGCAAACGCACGCAGCAGAATGACGTCGCCGACTGCAGCTTCGGGCAGAGCATCTTGGTACGCGCGAAAGCACTGGACGGTCGTTGTGGCGGGCCAGGAACTCGCGTCGGTGACATGCAGGGTGGTATTCCAGTGCTTGGGCCCCTTCTTGGCTTTTTCGGCGGGAGTCGTGGGCGCGGTGACGAGGGCGAGGATGTCCGGGTTGGCGGCTGAGTGGAACTGGGAGGAGCGGTTGAGGAAGTAGAGGAGGTCTTTCAGCGGGGTGTAGTAGGCGAGTGGTGTGGAGAGGCCGATTGAAGGCTGTTCTGGGGTGCTCTCGGTTTGTGAGGGGTGCTCCTCTTTGAGTGCTGGGGAGGCTGAGGCTGAAGCTATGTCTGTGGCTTTTCGGTTGCTTCGAGGCGTAGTCTTGGTGAGGGCTGACTTTTTGGTGGGAGGCGAGAGAACCGCGGCATCCATGTTGGCATTGGTCTGAGAAGAGCGGAGGTCCGCAGATGTTTTCTGTGTTTGTTGAGGAGTTAATAATGATTTATGCTCAGCAGTCGCAGCAACCAAGCCAGGCTGAGAATCCATGTTGGCTTGCTGCGTTGGTTCTGGAGTCATGGGCTTATGCTTTTGAACGACTGCTTGTGGGTTGAGCGCAACATGAGAATGGGTCTCATTAGCGCCAATTGCAGCTGTTTGCTGCGGATCATCTTGTCTGTCTTGGCCTTCACTGTGAGGGGAGTTCTCCTCAGGCTTCTTATCAAGCCTTGAGCTGGTTTCAACAGTCACTTCGCTGTCCTGGGGCTCGGAAAGAGTGTAAACATTCCTCCTTGTTCTCCGCACATTGCCAGGGCTTTGAGCAGCTGGTTCGATGGGTCCTGCTGAACGCAATCTTCTGCTGGGGCTACCAATTTCAGATGCGGCGAATTGGCTGCTTTTGGGCTCTAATGCCTTTGGGGCGGGCTTCTTTCGTCCAGCTCTAGTCCTCGATTTCGTCTTCGGCTCTGTATCCGTACCAGATGGAGGCTCGGTGTCCATTTCCTCTTCCTTTCTAGGAGTACCACCCTTAACAGGGCTGCTGAAATCCGCTGTTCGTTTCCCGGCCGCTTCCTCTAGTGTGGGTGCAGGTGACACAGAGTACCCAGTGCTAACATCCTCTTCCCACTTTTTGACAAAGACTTCATCGGGATAGTTGTCCTGGGAGGCACCCGGTTCTTGTGACTGGGATTTGGTAGAGGATGGGCCAGAACCTTTTGCCTTAGTGGAGTTGGAAGCGAATTCGTGGTTTAGACTCCTCCGTAAAGACTTTTGGGGACTCTTGCGAGCAGCAGCAACAGCAACAGCCATGGTCTTCCTAGGTGATAACAAACTCGAGTAGCTGCGAACGCTACTTGGTGAGTTCTGTATAGTGTCTTGTGATGGGGATCTTGCTGAACGAGTGCGTGTCCTCGGAGGAGAGATGACTGAGCGAGCGATGGAACTCACAGAACCTCGTGACCGTGTCGACCGTGTGGCACGATTGGAAAGAGGTACCTCATCATTTATCGATGGTGTTTGGGCTTTTGCCCTGGATCGTGTGTTCCTAGGAGACACAGTAGCCGAGATATCTACGGTCTGCATTTCAGTCGTAGCGTGATCTTGCTCAGACACGGTCATGGAGAGCTCGCGTGTAGAGATGTTGGAAACTTCACTCGTTAGAGCATGAGATTGATCTAGTTGTGACTCTAGACCGTCTTCTGTCGGTTCTTCTTTGATGGCTGAATCTTGCTCTGATTCACTATATTGCTCAACTTCGAATTCATGTGATGCATGACCCATCGGGAAAGCATCCTGCAGGTACTCGTCGGTGGCTTCTATCATGGATTCGTATGAATGATCCACAGAAAAAGAATGTTCGATCTGGGTCTCGTCTGCACTAAGCTCCGGCTCCTGAGATTGCGTGTGAGCTTCAATTCGCTCATCGGGTGCTTCAGCAGTATGGGAAGTCCCAGTCGCAGAATCTAGGTTTACAAACTCGCTGTGGCTGTCAAGGTCCATAGATGGGGATTGGTTTCGATCTCGAACCTGATCCTGTGGGCTCCTCGGGCGGTTATCCTCGATGGGAGAATTGCGCTCACTAAGCGAATCTTGCTGGTGGTCCTTTGATTCATCAGCAGTTTTGCTGTCCTCGTGATGTAGAGCTGAGTCGTCATCCGCGTCATCTTCAGACGGGTTGTCCGTAGATGATGGTAAAATATGCCCAGTGGCCATCTGGTCCTGGTCTTCGGTGCTGGATGCAACTTCTTCTTCTCCTTCATCCTCCGAGTCTGATGAAAGCATTGATACGTCCTGTCCTTGAACATCTTCCACAGTGACAAGTGTATCATCCGTAGCTGTTTCTCGCACTTCTTCGTTGGGTGATTCAATATCCACTGTGTGCTGTGGCATTGGAGAGACTCCTGCGTCCTGGATGTTGAATGAAGACTCATCAATTGTAGTCGATGCTGACATTTCTGGAGCTGTATCGATTTCCCTGTCTGGCTGAGCTTCAGGTGGTGGCGAAGAAAGCTCCATAGGGCGCGAAAATCCAGCACCATCTATACCGAAAGTGAATCGTACCGGTGTAAAGACGGACTCATGATTCGGGTGCAATGTAGATGCCTTTGATGAGCCTATCGAGCTGAAGAACGACGTTTCGCCAATGTAGCTTGCTTCACTTGGCGGCTTCTCCTCTTCATCATCCTGTTCTTCTACTTCTGCAGACTGTCCACTAGTGACTAGGTGGTCGAAATAAGAGGTAGCATTGTTTTCACGCTCGCCGGGAAACGGTGATGGGAACGGGAGGTTGGCTGAGTCAAGAGGCTGGAGGGTTGGGCTTGCCGGTTCTCTGCCGATTGGGGTCAAGAGGCCTCCGCTGGCCAAGTTCAGGGGATTGTTTGGTGAGATGGACAAAGTGGGAGGTGGCATAGCAGGTTTTGGAGCATCGAGCTGTAATGTTAGGGATGCTGCAGCAACTTGGTCACCAGCTCCAGTGGTTGGCATGGACTCTGCAACTTGTTGCACTTCAACGGTTTGTATCCGATCAGTGTCCTTCTCGTTTTCTGTTCTCACGTCTGGTGCGATGGCTACATCAACATCCATGGCTTCGCGATCCATGTGCTGAACGTCATCAGTGCCGGCCTCGGTCGTAGTCGTACTGACACCCTCTGTCTCTCCTTGTGCAGGATATTCCTCCTCGGTGTTTACTTCAGTGTCTACTTCTGTATCACCTCCAAAAGCATATAGGGCATCCGACTGAAGATACTCATCAGGACCCGCATAGAGCTCGTCGTAGCCAGCGTCGCCCACCGAGTTCTTCCCAGTATCGTGTTCACTTAGGGACGGAGCAGCGTTGTCTGTTGGCGCTTCGGGTTCTGTTCGCTCAATGCTTCGGTCATGCTGCGAGTCTACTGAAGTTGATGGCATGTCGGGTTTTGAAGGCGAGGTGGGCGTTTGAGGAAGCTGGGCTGCGCGGCTAGGCGATGCTTCGAGCCATTCGAGTTCGTTTTCGACAGTTGTATCCTCCTTCTCGGGCGAGGGCGTCCTTGCGCTGTATGTCCATGTCTTCCAATCACGATACGATTTCCTCCTTCGCTTTCTGTCATGGCCTTCTTCAGACTCGTCGGTGAGGGGATCGTACGGCGCTTGAAAGAATGGCCCATCGGACAGGCGCACGCGCTTCAAAAACGCAGGAGAAGAGTATTGCGACGCCGGGCTTGGAACGAATCCAGATTCGCGGCGGGCGGGCGACTGGGGCGCAGGCGTGGGCGCTGCATCGATAACCTCGACATTTGCTGTTTCTTGGCCGTTGCGGAAGACGCGAATGACTGCCGTCTGAGCGTATACCAGCTCCCAGTCGATGCTCTTGCCGGGCGTGCTGACAGCGCCTTCGGTGACGAATTGCGCGCCCCGCAGGCTCAATACGACTTCATCGCCGATTCCCACGCCTGTTGTCGCAATGGCTTTTGCGCTGGCTCCCGAGAAGCGAGCCCTGACCTGTCCGTTCTTTCGCCGCAATCGGACATCTGGTTCGGCGAGAAGGAGAGCCAGCTGGCGAGCCGACGACGAGTAGGGCCATATCAACGTGACCCTGGCCCGGAAATGCTTGGATTCGACCGTGGGCAGCTCGGGGCTGAGCTGGGCAATGGGCGTGTGTTCCATGGCGCGCGTGAAAGGCGCAGGTTGCTGTTATGGCTGCGACATGGTGTAGAAAAGCGGTTGGAGCAGCGAGCAGGCCCGAGAGGGAATCATGCGCCGGGCAATGTGGATGGATGGTGGATTGACGTGTGAGCAACGGCGGCTCCTTCCGTCGCGTGGACCGACGCGCCCCATCCAGCACTTTCCACTTTCGGCCACCTCGGTAGCGCCTGCTCTTCTGCCGCATGACGCCGTGAAGCTTCCTCACGCGGAAATTTCTACACAAACCCTGCTTCTGCTACGTGAAGAAGACATCTTCTAGTCGACCCCCAATCCACCAGGAAACCGACAGCCTTCGTAGTCACATTCAACGTCACGTTATCTCTTTCCGTACGATACAGTTGAACCTCCACGACACTCAGTCAAGTTGATGTACGATGATGTTTAAATGACAGTCAGTTCAGAAACTGGTAGGCTTCTTACAACATCAAACAATAGCTACTAGCATCATTACTTAGGACTCAAATAATGGCAATACAATGACAGAACCCAGAACAGTCGACCCACGCTAAAAAGTGCAATCTGTGCAATCAGCATCGAAACTACGAATAAAGGATCGAACCTCGCAAGATTTCTGACACGTTAAGCAAGCCTCGCATTAAGCAGTGCGCGCATGCAACAGCGATAAGCAAGGCTCATCCATCCAACTACGGGAGCTCAAGCACGTCCTTCAACACAGCCAGTGCGCCGAACAGCTCATTGTCATGGTACCTCCTTGCATTCACCTGAAGAGTGACTGGCGCACCCTCGAAGTTTGAGCTCTCCCACAGTTCCTTGACGTGTCTGCACTCGTTGCTCAGTGGCTTGTAATCCGGGGCATATTGTTCCTTTGCTTCAGCCCTGAGCGGCGTCGGTACTACAACGCCTGGATAATCCACGAAGTTATACAGACTCGTATACGTCCAATAAAACGCCGTGTCATGCGCCGAAGCCGGACCAACAAACGCAGGTCCAATAACAATGTCGACTTCTTGTTTGTTCCAACTCTCGGCGAACTCATAGCGGAACTTATCGCGCTCAGCGCGCAACTCGTTCACTTGCTGGGCGTTGAGCATGCCGTGCGGCTCAGCCTCTTTCCAAGTGAAGTCACTAAGCGAAAGGATCGGCTCGCCTGAAGACATGATAGTGTCTTTAGAGCCCTTGCCGCCATCAGGCCAGTACATGCGTCGGATCTTTACCCATGCTTCTGCTGCCTTGTAAGGCTTGAATTCTTTGACTTGGAAGGCACCGGAATGCTTCGGATCGGATAGACGTGAGCGAGCCCATGCTATGGCGCGCTTGACTGGTGGCTGAGGGTCGATGAAACCGTCGTTCTCGATGATGCCTATTCTCAGGGGCTTTTTGATTGGCGAGTGCACGCCTGTCCAAGGCAATGGAATTACCTTTTGGTCTAGCAACCAGGGTTTTTGATCGACGATGGTGTTCATGAAAAGATTCAAGTCCCGCAGGCTTCGACTAAACGGACCAGTGCTGCACAGAATGTTTAGTTCTGCGGCGAAGGCGCTTGCGATGAAGTTTTTCATGGGAAGCAAATATGATGTGGTCTTGTATCCATATATGCCACAAAACGCCGCAGGGCCTCTGATGCTACCGCCAATATCCGTACCTACACCAAGGACAGATCCCTTCATGGCCATCAGTGCAGCTTCGCCACCTGACGAGCCGCCAGCACTGAGATCAGTGTTGAAAGGACATAGAGAGCGGCCGTAATGAGATGTCGTCTCCAAATGCATGATAGCCTGCGGTTGGTTGGTCTTGCAATAGAACACTGCACCTTGTTCTCTTAACAATGACACGATAACACAGTCGTCTTCATCGAATTGCGTGCTCGCAACGGATCCATACGAGGAGTAGGTTCCAGCGAGAGGTATGTGCTCCTTGATGCTGACTGGCACTCCGTGAAGAAGACCGAGAGTCTTTCCAGTCTTCTCCTGATAATCGTCAAGCTCTTTGGCTCTTTCAATCGCGACATCCATGAACCACTGAGTCAAGCAGCAGGTCACTTGGTGCGCGATTATGGCGCGTTTGGAAAAGGCCGTGGCCACTTGGACTGCTGTCAACTTGCGGGCAGCAATAGCCTCAGCAAGGCCTACCGCATCGTACTTTTCTGTAATTTCGATCTCGGCAGGAGTTAACAGACCGCACGTTGCCGGTACTTTGGACACGTCCTTGGGCGGACTCGAAAAGAATTCCGATGGCAGTCGCAGTTCTGCAGGCACCTTTGCCGCAAAGGCTTCGAGCATAGAGGCACGTCTCTTCTCATAGCCAGGTGTACCCTGAGGCACGGGTTTGGGTTGGAGTACCGTGAAGCTGGAGGGATAGTGCGACATTTTGATATATGAAACTCTACGAAGAACAGATGCACGCAGGTAACTGTTTCTTATATACACCCGGCAATCATGGTACCCCTACCCACCATTCCTTGGCTATTTTCACGGCCAAACGGAAGTGTGAACTTTGTGTCTCCTCATTCTTTACACTTTTGGTCTTATCACCGCAATCTTAGCAGTCAAATTCCGTGGATGGCGCACTCAATACACAGATAAAGGAGTTGGAGACATGTGCGGAATGAATCCGGTGGCCGTGTATGGTACGTCAGTCAGCATAGACCCCGCAGGACCCCGCATGAACGATTTGGTCGATCCGCCTACTTCCTACACCTACTCCAATCACAGCCAGATACTCTATCAAAAAGGCGGTTCTTATCCCGATGACAAGCCGTTGAAGGGGCTGTTCCGCTATCTTGAGCCTTACCGTTTTCGCTTGGATTTGCTTTTTGACGGCGAGGTCTGAGGCATCACATTAGCCACTCCAACAATCTCCAAATCTGTTGAGTAGCTATCATGCAGATCATTTGGAGCAAAATCAAGATAGAAAACAACCATGGCAACAAATGTATATGTCATGATACGCCTGCTACCATGTGAAGTGTGACCTCGAGGGGCCATTGGATAGCGTACCATACACACGCGCCCTACTCCAGTAAGCCCAAAGATAGCCCCCCACTCTTGTACCACCAACTTATAGACCTGTTCGCATGTTTCCATATCCCATTCTAACCAACTCCTCTGCTTCGACCTGCCAAAGTCGAGAATCGCAAACTCGCCCCAATTATGGCAGATGGATCCAATAGCTTCGAGATGGAACCGGTCCCAGGGACGGTCCACCTGGTGGACCTAGACCATAGCATGCAAGCCCGACATGCGGAAGATGGAGATATTATCCTGAATCCAGCGCCCTCGAACCACCCTGATGACCCGCTCAATTGGTCTCCACGCCGCAAACTCGCGTCTACCATCTGTGTCAATCTGTGCGTGTGTGCCTGTCTATCAAGATACAATATCAAAGACTAACACTCTGTAAAGCTATACATGGATGACTGGCATCGCGGTATCAACAGTGTATTCCGTACTCGTGCCCCTTTCAAAGGCCTCAGGCGTCTCTGTCTCCACGCTGAACGAAGGCACTGGGTACATGTTTCTCTTTCTGGGCTGGGGTCTGCTTTTCTGGCAGCCCTTTGCCCTGCGATACGGCAAGAGACTGACATTTCTGATATCTATTGTTGGAGCCATTGGAACAAGCATTTGGAGGTAGGTAACGAAAAGAAAACGAAGAAAAAAAAACCGGCTATGTTTTCCCGGTTTTGTAATTTTTTCTTTTCTTTTCTTTTGCTGACTGACGAGTTCACTCTAGTGCGCATGTTAAAAGTAACGGCGAGTGGATTGCCCGATGCATCGTTACGGGCTTTTTTGTCGCTCCTGTGGAAGCGTTGCCTGAGATCTCGGTCACGGATGTATACTTCACGCATCAGCGGGGCTTCTACATGGGCTTCTATGCGTTGTCGCTGGCGGGCAGTAATTACTTTGCCCCCATCATCAGTGGCTTCATCGCCGAGGGCCAGGGCTGGCAGTGGGTTTTCTACTGGCCAGCGATATTCCTGGCTTTTACATTGGTCTTTCTGTTCTTCTGTATGGAAGAAACAAACTACGTTCGCAGAATTGATGGCGTTGCCGTCAGGACTGATGCTTCGACAGCTGCTGTGGCGGATGAAGAAAAGGCCAATCTGGCAACTACACAGACAGCCGCGAGTGAGGAGGGGGGAAGACCTTCAACCAAGACTTTTGTCCAGAAGCTTTCCCTCTGGCAAACCTGCCCAGGCCCTAGTGTCTTCGAGCGAGCAAAGCGTAGTCTAGCCTACCTCGCCTGGCCCGTCATCTTCTATTCAGGGTTCAGCTACGGGTCATACCTGATATGGTTCAACGTGCTGAACGCAACGACGTCCATTATCCTCGGTGGCCCCGGCTACAACTTCAAGCCCTCGATGGTTGGCCTCAGCTACGTATCGTGCTGCATCGGCGTCGTCGCAGGCGCCCTTTTTTCGGGGCGTTTCAGCGACTGGCTCACGATCAAACTCGCCCGCCGCAACAACGGTGTGATGGAAGCGGAGCATCGCTTGTGGCCATTTGCCCTCTGTCTAGTCATGGTACCCGCGTTCCTCATCCTATGGGGTGTGGGTGCCGCACACGGCGTACACTGGTTTGGCCTCGTCTTCGCAATGGCCTGTGTCGCTTTCACTTCGTCGGTTGGCGTGACTATCAGCGTCAACTACATGATTGACAGCTACCATGACATCAGTGGTGATGCAATCGTCACGGTGATTCTCATTCGCAATACCATGTCGTTTGCCATCAGTTACGGGTACCTCAGCCCCCCTCCCCTCCCTCCCCTCCGCTCACGCCATAGAAGCTCACATTGCTGATGTGTAACAGTATAACCCCATGGCTAAGACACCTCGGCTACCAAAACTGCTTCATCTCCGCCGCGTTTGTCGGCATGGCTGCCTCGGCGGTATTCCTGTTCATGATCAAGTATGGAAAGGGCATGCGTGTCAGGAGCAGCAGTAAGTATTACAGCATCGTCAATGCCGAGAAGCACGTGTTGTAACGGTTGCCTTGGTTGCATCGAATTCGGTTGTCCGATGATGCACATTGCCGCCGCATTAGATTCTAGAATCAGGTAAATGGAATAGAGCATTAGCTAGACGGTTCGGGACTAAGGGCCCCGAGTGACGTGAAACTGATGACATATCCGCCTGAGGGAGCTCGAGCAAGAGAGCATCGTCTGTGTGGACTTCAAGTTGCGTTTCGACTGTAAAGCGACTAGTGTCGTTGATTACGATTCATCAATCATGGCATGACATGGCAAAGTTGATAGGCACAGAAGACATAAAAATTAAGGTAAATGGATACATAATCAAAGCATCTAATCGTAAAACACAAAGAATGCGCTCTCAGCCCATAGCAATGAGCTTAACTTTTATCATAAACATTCGTTAAGTCAATCTAGAGTGCGAAAAGCACAAACACCGCCAGACCGCCAAGCTGAACCGCCATCCGAAGTGGAACGCTAAGCTCGCTACCAGCACCCTCGAAAGGCTGGGGTGTAGGCTTGCCTCCCTTGCCACCAGTGGGGCTGGCCATGCCTCCAGTTCCCTTGGGGCCAGCCTTTCCGTCCACCTGGAAGAAGTTTGCTGCAACCGGGGCGCTCAAAGAATGCTGCTTCATAAAAGCATTGATGTCAAAGTTGATACGGGCAGTCATGTTGGCAAATGTCGAGGCCGGGACTTGGAGTTTATCGGGCTGCATGAACAAGAGCTCGACATAGCGATGGGCCATCGTGTCCGTTGCTGGCGGGTTTGGGGAAATGTATGGTGCCGGGCCTTTCTCAGTCGACTGGAGAAGCGTCGTCGTTCCGTTGGCTTTGCCCTTGGCTGCCTTGAAGCCGGTCGTCATGTCGTGGAGAAGTACGCGGCGTTTAGTGCTACCGTTGCCGGGTGGCACGTCCAAGTCCAGCATAACGAACATGAATGTGCCGGCCATGTTGGCTTCTGCGCCCGTTAGACCAATTGTGGGTGCGGCGGCGACATCTGAACAAATTAGCCATGTTTATTGATAGTCACGTGAGGCACTTACCAGCTTTTGGAAGCATCTCTCCGGGGGTTTTGACGGTAACCGCTTTGAACATGACTTCGAGTTTGCTCTTGGCCTCAGGTGTGAAGCCCTTTGGTACTTGCGCCAGCGCAAGACCCATGAGGTTGGCTACGACTATCGACTTGGAGAAGTACATGATGTATGAGGAGTAATTGACGTGTGTGTGTTATTATTGAAGTCGGTGCGATAGGATGAAAGTGTAGAAGAAATGTTGCCCTGATGAGCCCAATGAGGGAATCTTTGGCCTAGTTATACAAGCACAGGCGTACGCGGCCCCGAGGCACAAATCCAGATGCCGTAGCACAGGCTGTCGCACTGCGATCAATGCGACTCATGGTTATTCTCCGTACGTAGGATGGTTCGCATACCCTTGAAACGGTTAGTGCACGAGGAAGCCGAACTGTCACACCTTGGCAAACATCGCGTTTACAAAGCCTAAAGCGTATCAAAGAAGGAATACTCGATTATTAGCCGGACTTTAAACCGCATGTGGCGCTGGGATCTAGGCAGTAGCAAGAGGCGCGGAGGAGCCTCAGACGTTTGGCTAGGCCGTTGAGGATGCCGCACGATTCCCGCCTCTTTGACAGTATTGGTTTGCGCGCCGCAGGCCCCGCAAGAATTGGTATGATGTCTTGTTGAGGCCGCTCATGGGCATGTCTGAACCGGTCTTTGGGGTCAGGCAAGTGTCGGCGTTGTCGTATCTCGGCCTTTTTCTTGGTTCAATTCGGGTCTCCAAGACGCCTCCCGGAACATGCTCAGCTCTTAGGCACCTGCACCTGCACAGGCAATCACTAGGTAGCTGGCGGAATCGGCGCCTGAGCGAAGATCACCGCCAATAGTCAGAATCATGGTTGTGCTTTCCAATGCTTCGCCTAAAGATGTGGACATGACGTGGTGACACGATGCAGTTGTTTTTGAAGCGGTGATTTTTCGCGAGGGGCAGCCTGGCCGGTTAAATTGGAGAGCTCGTTATGAACGTGTTTGGAATCTCAACGTAGGAGGACAGAATACGAAAAGATAGTTTGCGATGACGTTACCATTGTGACTTTCCACAAGGTTTAAAGATCTACACTTAGAGAGAAAACACGCTAGGTCACAGCCACTCACGTGATCGCGCGTACACAGCAGTCTGTGCTCCTAGCCTCGATGCCACCTTGCGGCCCTCACCACCGCGCAGCCTCCCCATGCTTTCGAAGATCGTCAATCGCAGCAGGCGGCGAGCATTGAACCTGTCTCTGCTGTACCGCAGACAAGGTTCGATGGCCACGCCCGCTTCCAACCAAGCTGCTGCCACTGTCAAGACAACCACGCCACATTGGCCTTTATCTTTCGCCCTACAACTGCCTGAACCCCAGCTCAGAGCTGCCCGCACCTACCGCTTCTCTCTGGAACCTGCTGCACCGCCAACATGGTGGAGCCACCGCTTATACCGGGGACCCGAAGGCAAGAAAGTCGAGATACTGTATAGCAAAACAAAGGCCGAATCAGAAGCCATCGCCCAGCGCTTTCTCGGTGAGCCCATTATTGGATTCGATATGGAGTGGCCGTGGGACGATTGGAAGAGAGAAGGCTTGCAAAACAAAGTCGGTTTAATCCAAATTGCTTCTGAAGACAAGATCGGCTTAATCCACATCGGACTACATTCGGGAACGACGACGGAAGAGATCATAGCACCGACATTGAAAAAGCTCATTGAAGATCCAAAGGTTGGAAAAGTGGGCGTCAGTATACTCGCCGCGGACTTCGCTAGACTGAGTCGGTTCTTTGATCTCAAGCCAAAAGGTGCTCTTGAGTTGAGTCATCTGTACCGATTGGTCAAGTTTGGGCCACAGAAGCCAGAACTCGTCTCCGTCAAACTTGTGAGTTTGGCGCAACAAGTCGAGGCACAGCTTGGGTTGCCATTGTACAAGGGCAATGTGCGGACAAGTGATTGGAGTAAGCCGCTGTCGCAGAAGCAAATCGACTATGCAGCTGGAGATGCGTACGCCGGATACATGCTGTACAAATGTATGAATGCGAAGCGCCTGGCAATGAGGCCTACTCCTCCTCCGCCAATAGACGCGGGGAAATATCCAGGCAGAAAAACGTCGAGAGATGATCCCATCATTTTAGACGTTGGGGATGGCACCACCATCACAACGGAGGAATTTTTTGGGGTCAAGCCTGCGAAGAGCGTGACACCATTGACAGCACCAGTCCCAGAACCAACTACAGATCCACTTGATGCTACATCGCAGGCCCTGTATGATGCGTTACTCGCGCGCCGGGCGCTTGTTGCTGAGAAAGCAGGCATACAACCAACGCAAGTCATTCACGATTCTATACTCAAAGCCATTGCACTCGCGCGCCCCCATGACACGCCTAGCCTTCTTGCAGTCAAAGGCATCGGCAAGGTTCAGCAATCAAAGTACGGCGACGGTTGGCTCGAGGTTGTTTCACTTTTCCTAAAAGCCAATGACATCGAGCTACCGACCAGCGCTGCCGACCCTTCAGCGTCAAAGACGGAAGCACCAGCTCCTCAGACTTTACTGCGGACCCAGAAACAGCGTCAAGTTTCTGTAGACTCATCTTCGTCTTCATCATCCCCGGCGTTCGATGACCCCCCAGTTCCCAAGGCCCCCCAGCTACGCACAGGTCTCTCATTCACCCTAGCTGAATCGTCGCTCGGCGCAACCAGCACAGCACTAGACAGCAAAGACGCCGACTACAACTCTGACGACAGTCTCCCATCGCTCGACTTTGACACGCCTCAAATCGCCACATCCATAGCCTCCAGCGCAAAGCGCAAACGGAACGAGAGTCCAACAGAGCCACAATCACAAAAACAAAAACAATACAACAGAACCCACGGCTCGCCTGTTCAAACTCCACCACACCCTGAAACCCCGCACTCCACAGCGGGCCCATCACAACCTCCGCCAGCACTCGGCGTGTCAAGCTCCGCTTCCCGCCGCCGCACCGGCACCATCGCCACACCAACCCCAGCCTCGTCTTCGACCGCAAAGTCAAAATTCCCTCGGCCCTTTTCAAACGACCCCTCCATATCGCACGCCCGCGCCGTGTCTCAGGCCCTCGGAAATAATATCGTTGCTGGTACGAGTACGTCGTCGCGTCAACCTTCTGCAACGACAACAACAACAACAGCACAACCAGTGCCCATCGCCTCGGATCCCGAGCTCGCTTCTCGCATCGCAAAATCTAAACTCCTGGCTTTTAGTAACCTCGTCGCGAGTAAGCTGGCGGCGGAGAAGAAGAAGCGCCTGCAGGACCGCGACCACGACTCATCTGCTGCTGTCAGTGCGCCCCAACTCGTCACACCGCATACGCTCGACTTGATTGTGCAGGCGCGGCCGCAGACGCAGGCGGAACTGGAGCGCATACCTGGTGTCGACGGATTACTCGTGGCGTGTGAGAAGACGGGCATGAATTTGTTGAGGAACGTGGTGAAATTTGTGGGAGCGGGAAGCAATGAGCAGGAGGCCAGGCCTTCAGATAAGCAACAAACGCATTTTTAAAATGCGTAAAGGAATTGATCTGAAAAACTCCTCTCTCGTTATCTACTCCCCCTAACTTTGCCATTCTTGCTAGTGGTTTCCTCTGATAACTGCCAGTACTTGCTGTATGAGTGCTTTCGACATGCTAACGCAGTGGCTTCCATAACGCAGTACAAAAGTCCATCCCTTTCCCCTAACTATGTGGTTTTTGCTTCGTATCCGCTGTGCCTATGGAGAAAGATCCTGTTAGGTTATTAAAACTCATTCCTTGAACATAACAATGTACTCACACCAAGTGCTCCGAGCAGCACATTTAGATAGAACCCTGGTGAAGAATCTCAATGTTTTCAGAAATTTTGTTCTTCTTTCCACTCCAAGCGGAGACAGTCAGCACTAGCGCGATCGCTACAAAGGAATATAATGCAGTATGCTGCTGCGACGGTGTAATAACGACAATTTTCTTTGTCTTTCAACATGAGCTCACGCTCCAAGGACAACTTGAATTCTTCCGGTGTATGATTTTTGGCTTTGATGTCCACTTTTGGAAGGTTTTAGATAGGAAGGTTCCCTCCCGCCGTGTGATATGGAGAGGCTAGGTGGTTGGATGTATTGTGTTTCTGTTTCCGTGACATTTTTCGAACCATCAAGGCGAAACAGTATGTATGAGTAATGAGAATGAGTAAAAGCGTCGTAGTGATAACCAATTGTCTGTCGTTGCTGTGGCATCTTGCGAACTGTCACTGCGAATGTTGTGTGCGTAATTAGGATGCGCAAAATTGTCGTGGAGATAGGATGTTGTCGGTTCATTGTCCCTCGAAACATTTTTTCGAATCGTAATCGCAAAAGGAGTAAAACTAACGAGAACGAGTAAAACTGTCATAGTGATGACTGGTATCCCGTTATTGAAGAGACGTTTTCCGAATCGTCAATGCGAAAGTAGTATGTGTGTGATGATGAGGATGAGAAAAAAAAGTGTGGTGGTGAAGGAATGAAGCTGGTTCATCGTAGCGAAGGGGGGCTTTATGTTCGTCATTCGGGGTTTAGATGCAGGTACGCTCGTGTTAACATTGGCAGGTGGAAAAGAGGCACGTAAACATCAAGCATGGGTTAGTAATTTCCACATGTAGAACAAGTCAGTTGGTACCCGGTCAATGGTGCAGGAACGGTAACCAATTATCTACGTAATCAAAACCTAGGTGAAGGCTGGGAAGGTATGGGTTTTTATTGATAGCAACAGTCTTATTGATAGCAACACATACGTTTAAGCCCACATGGCTCTGAACTTGGTGTCAAAATCCTCCTTGAGAGCCTTGAACGCTTTCAACACGTTGAGCAGACCCTCGCCTTCTTCCCAAGCAGGGGGCTCCTTGTCTTCATTGTCCTCTGCGTCCCAGCTCTCCTCGACCTCAGACTCCTCAGAGTCGCTGCCCATTTCGTCTTCCCATGATTCCTCTACCTTCTTCTTGAGCTTCTTCTTGGGCTGTATAGTAAGTTCTTGCTTTACAGGGCCCTTATTTGACGAGCCAGATGTGGTGGCACTAGCTTCAGTTGCAGTGTCACTTGGCAGCATCTTGTCTTCTCGGTTCTCTTCTTCTTCGTCTCCACCACCGCGGATATCGATGAAGTCCAGGTCCGATTCTGTGGCCAGACCCAAGAAGCTGGACAAGCTGGTAGTGATGGTCGCCAGCGTCATACTCAGGTCATTGAGCACGAACCATACATCTCCACGGCGGATCTTGTTGGCCTTTATGAGGGCCTCGACATCTCCATGCATAAAGAAGTCATACAGATATGCGTTGAGAGGCAATTCAGAGTCTTCGGGGTACAGACCAACGTGAGGTACGACGGCTTCCTCTAGGAAGACACCGGAACGGCTAGTAGAGCATAGATCATGAAGAGACTCAAACTTGTCGTCGTATCCGGACAGCGCAACGAACGCCGAGCGAGCCTTGATATTTTGGACCTGGTTTTGGTCCGACTTGGGGGTCTTGCTACCGACCGTGACGGCGGTCAACGGAAGGGTGTTATCCGGCTCTGGTACGTGCTGATCGACGAATGTGCGCACGTAAGCTGTGAATATATCGAGCGTAGTCTTGTTGTGACGGCGCAAAACATTCGCAGCTGTCTCTGGCATTGCTGGTAGAAACACGATTGATGGGCTCTTCTTGACCACCTCCTGCACGTACTCCTCATCCGCTTGTCGACAGTGACGCCGGCCAAACAAGTGTGACATTGTGAGCATAAGCTCACGAAGGACCGACTCCTTGTTTGTGTCAATCTTGGCGCACAGCTCATGGAAGTATCCGTCCTTGAGCAGGGCATGGAACGCAAACGATGAATTCTCGGTGAAATAAAGATGAGAAACTGCGCCAGCAAAGTTGAGGGGAATACCCTGCGCATCCAAAAGATACTGCCTGCGGAGATACTCGATTGAGAATCGCAAATGGTGGAGTACTGTCATCTTCGCATCCTGTCCGCCTAGATACAATCGCGGTTGTGACAGCAGGGCGTTGACGCAGCGGACGGCAAATGGTGCATTCTCCGATGAGTTCAACAAGGTGAACAACCGTAACACCAAAGTTGTTGTAATGGGGAAGTGGCCATTGAGATCGGGTAATCGGGAGCTGATGAGTTTGTGAATCTTGCTGAGCGACACGCCGTGGAATACGACGTTTCCAAGCATGTCGAAACCACGACGACCAGCACGACCAGCGGCCTGACGGAAGTTGAGAGCGGTCAAGAAGACGGAATCTCCTGAAAAGACAACAGTCTTACATGGCATGTTGATACCCAAGGCAAGCGTACCTGTTGCGATAACCACGCGCAGGTAGCCTTTGCGGAAGAGCATTTCAACACAGTACCGGTACTTGCGGTTCATACCAGCGTGATGCACACCGATTCCGCGCATAAGACCATCAATCAGCCATTCTTCCACGCCACGGTAGCGCAGCTCCTTTGCATGCACTGCAAACTCTTCTTGTGACAACTTTTTATGATCGGCAAAGTGGAAGCCATCAAGAGGCTTGTTCGGGTCAAATGAAGCAAAAGCGCTGACTTCGACGTTGGCCGCTTCCTTCATTTGATCCTGCTTGGTCATGCCCTTGGAAGCATCTCCGCGAAGGCCCTGCTTCTCACGTCGCTGAACCTCCTTCTTCCACTCTTCCCACTGCTGCAGCTTGATTTTCCACTTGGGGCTTGTCTCTTTCCAGGCAACTTCGGCGTCTACAAGTTGCTTCATGAGCGTACGGCACATCTTCTCGCAAATGGCGCGGTCGTAGTTGAAGATGATACCTGGCAGAGCATCTTGTTGCTGCAGGTCAGCTAAGAGGGGAAGTATGCTTGAAATGTCATGATTGATCTCCATTCCCAGCTCATCCACCTCTCCATTGTTATCGACCTCCTCTTCTTTGACGTCGTCGATGGGGTGATCTCCGAGTTTCTTCAGCGGACCGCTGAGGTCCTCGCGCACTTTCTCAAATGGTGACGCCTCATCCGCCATCCAAGCGGTAAGCAGTTTCTTGAGACCATCTTGCCATTTAATGATGTCCGCCTTCTTGATAACGGTAGGAAGGACCTCAGATGGGTTGAGCGACTTGTCGACGGGGTAATCCTTGGTTTGGTACTTGCACATAGTCTGCCACAGTGTAAGACAGTCCCGAGCTTCGAGGGATAGGTCGCTAGGAAGACCTCGGCTCCTGTTGATCAAGCTTGCAACAGGGTGCAAGAACGCAAAATCCGTGTGCTCGTCTAGACCCAGCTGTGCAAAGGATCGGTTCGCTGGGAGGGGGAGGTAGCTGGCTGGGTTACGCTTCGCAGGTGGTGTGTAGACGAACTTTCGAAGATCAGAGTATCGGTGCGGATGCTGTACCATTACCAACTCGTTACCGGCAGCCTTTTGTGTAGCTGAAAGCCAGTGGTTGAAAGACTCTGCATTACCAATCGTTGCAGAGAGGGCAATGATGGGGCAAGGAGCCATGAGCAGCAATTGCTCCCAGATCAATCCATCTTCAGCTTGACCAATGCAGTGAACTTCATCAAAGATGATCCATTTGACCCTCTCAGACCAACCCTTTGCGTTACTAGGCGCCAACAGCATGATCTGTAAGATGTGGGGCACCGTTACCAGGATCTGGCATCCAGTAGGGTTGTTGATCCGGTAGTCTCGCGTGTGAATACCCCACACAGACTGGCTGTATTTGTAGTTCTTGGAAAAGCGAGCTTGGATTTCAGCGGCAATCTGGTTGACCAGGGCCTTTGTCGGAGCAACATAAACCAGCACATCTTCGTTGTTGGCTTCCAGGACTTGTTTCATGGCATAGAACGATATGAATGTTTTACCAGCCGACGTTGGTGCAATAACGAGCAGGCTGCGGCGAGCATCAATCTCATCAAGCACTCGTCGCTGCCACGCATCTGGCTCAAACGGTACACGAGAGTCTGGTGCAGAGTCAATCGTTCGGTCAAAGTAAGGTCCACAATGAAGAAGCTGGAACTCTTCTGGGGATAGTGTCAGGGCAAGGTCTGATACTAAGGTCTCTTCCAAGGCCTGTCAAAGTCAGCAACGAGAACAGGAGACAAGTGGTGTTGAAGAGCGCGTGATGATGCAAGTCGGCGTAAGCAATACGCATCTTTCAGACAATATTTTACTTACAAATTTGAAGGGGAGCTTCCGATCGCCTTGTGTTGATGGTACCTGCAGCTTAGGCAACTTCAAGCGCTCTATAGTAGCTTTGAGGCATATCGCAATGGTCTTAGTAACAGTCTCGTGGTTACAGAGAGTGCGCGAAGTGTCGAAGAGGAGTGCTGCAACATAGACACCTTTGTCCTTGGTACCATCGCGGCAATGACGCAGCCACATCTCCAAGAGGACATTGAGCATGTAAATGCGCACATCGGCACCAATTACCTGGCGCTGAGCCTCGTTGCGGTCCGCCAGGTATTGTCTGGCCTTGTTGTATCGGGAAGCCAGATCGACCTGCTTTTCGAACCCAGCGCAAGAAACCGTCCAGGCCTGGTACCACTGCTTTGCATTCTCCTCATCCTTTCGCTTTGAGCTTGCTGCAATATTATCTAGCATAGCCTGCTTTGAAGCGTTGATGTTCTTGGAGCTTTGCCTCTGCACTTGCTTGGGGCGCTTGCTCTCTACACTTGCCGGCATGGGTTTCGATTTGTCTCCAAGAGTGATGACCTCGGGGTCTAGAACTTTGCCCACAGCATTGGTCAGACTGGCGGCGTACGAAGTCATCTCAGCCATGAAGAATTGATTCCGGCGGAGTGCTTTCTTTGCAATCTTAGGATCCTTCTCCACAACCACTCTGGACTTTGGGTTCAGAGATTTCTGATTGTGCCAATGCGTCACTTCACGAAAGATTGTAGCCGACGTCGGGTCTGCCTTGGCGCCGGAGCGAGATACCTCCAGGTGTATCGGGGCTAGATGTTTATCGAAAATGCTGTTTGAGAAGGGCAAGACTTTGTACTTGAAGCTTTCGTCGTCGTTGCTGGTCTCCGATGAGTCTTGTGCAGCCGAGGACGTGCTTGGCTGCGATGGGATCTCGAGGCCGTTGAGAGCTTTTGTAGCCTTAAGAAGGGTCTCAAAGTGCGCACTAGGCGTTGGTGAATCGGTACGCGCATATAAAGCGAACAGTCGTCCATCGATAAGGTCAGCTAGATCGCAATCTGGGTGACCAGCGAAAGCTTCTGTCCATGCTGGACTGCAGATGAACTTGCGTGCTTCGCGACAGAAGTCTATGATGAAGGTGTTGACCTCTTCAGGAATTTCCTGGTGTTCGATGATACGCTCCGACAGAGCTAGCTCTGAAAGCGCTGCTGCCTGGTGCAGTAGTATAGAAGTCATGTTCGCGTCTGAGGCAGAAAGCTTTGAAGCGACTAGCACCGTCAGATACTCACGCTCGGTCAGAGGCCGATCGGAGGACTCTCTAATTGTCTGTATGAAGCCGCGCATGTGCGACAGATCGACAATATCAGTGAGGTTCCTTGTCGGATGAGGAACCTAGCTTGGGTGTCAGTATATTGTAGATGACGTCATAGTGGTCTTGATGTACTTACTGCTGAAGAAACATCGAGAGTCATGGAACGCGCATGCTCTAGGACAGTGGTCACAACCTTTGTGTCCAGCCATTCGAGACCATTAACGAGTGCGGCACTGTAGCCACGTTGCATCATGCCGTAGATAAAAGTACGAAACGACGACTTGTACGTCTGATGTCGCTCCTTTACACTTGTATCCTCTGATTGGAGAGAGCCGAGATCATTCTGCAGTAGCATCCTCTTTCGAATGTCCGTGAACGAGGCACCATCATGACAAAGCACAAAGTAGATGTCGGTAGCACGCAGGTAGTCTGCGAATTCGTCTGAAGACGTGGAAGGGAAAGTATGGACCTCGGTCTCTTCGACAGCATCTGGCAAGTGGACCTGGAGATGGCGAATGATGGCTGCTCGTGCAAGCAGATACTTTTCGCTAATGGTGGGGGATGCATCTTGAGGCACGCAAAGATCTTGGTGTTCGTCGAAGAAAGCAATGTGGAAGTTGCAGCTCCGCGAAATGAGGCCCTGCAGAAATTTCTCGACAGCGTACGAGGCGTGTAGCAATTGGTAGCCCGAGGAGAAGTCGAGATGTGGGTCGCTAAAGCATTGAAGCAGGAGTGATTCGCCGTGCACGAGGAATCGCTCACTTCCTGCAAAGTCGCCTACCAGGTCGACCCGGCGGCTGTAGAGATCTGAGTACCATTGGAGGATGTGCTCGGCGGTATCCTGTTTGTCGGCAGCCATGGTGAGTCTGCACGAGGGCCGAGGGGGATGAAGCGGTTGGGTGGACAGGGAGATGGCAGAGAGAGGGGTGTTATCTCCAGTGGCAGCTGTGACGGTGGGTAACCGCTAGTGGCGTATAGTGGGACTGGTCGATCACGTGCCACGGACCAAACAAACTGGGCGGCGGCGTGCGTGTGAGGAGCCGCTGTGGGTGAATCCGAAGTAAGCCTGAGGGAGGCAGGGGAGGCAGAAGCAGAAATGAGGCAACGCGGGCGGGCGGTAGGGTGTGCACGCACGTTGAATCAGACGTTACTGTGAACTGGAGTGGAGCCGCACGTCTGGACTTGCGAATTTGGCAAAGCCGAAAAGGCGACGCGACTAGTGCGCGCTAATCAGTAAGCGAGGTGGGGGGGGAAGCCCCAGCGGCATTTCTTAGCACTGACAGCGAAGTGCGTTGGCTGGGCCATTGACAGGTCTGCTGGCTCGCGTGGTGGGGACCGGAACTGGTCCGCCCGTCTCTGCTACCCAGCGGGGTCTCGCAGGGCCGCCAATCCTTGCACAGCAGTGAGAACAGATGCCTCTGAGGGAACAATCAAAGGCTTGTGTGGATATTATTTGTATTGGCGAAAAGGGTGCTGGGCCATGCTCTACGAACAAGAGAGAGAGAGAGAGAGAGAGAGCACATCCGCAAAGACCAGCCGCACAAGAACACGGTTACCAATGTACCCAAACACTCCAGCGCCCCGCTGACGCCCTGGACAGGCAAAGCGACGTACAACGAAAAGCTTCCAAAAGCCCTGCTAGAACCCGGTCTTCGCAGGCCATGTTACCAGCACAGAATACCTGACAAAGCCCGGCGTGGCCGGCAAAGGCCTGAACAACGGAGGTAAATGAGCCAATCAAGAGGCGATGCGCATCACCCTCGGTGGGCAAATGCTGTACGAGAAGAAGTGCAGTTTGGCTTTTGTAGAAGAAACGTCAGACAGGACAGGGCGAGCACAGTGTGGACTGCTTACCGAGTTCGCTACACTGAGATAGACTCTAGATGTCAAGGGGCGCCAGCGACTCAATCTTGGTAGCACGTTAGCGAGATATAACACCCCCTGGAACACTACTCACAGAGACGATGCGACTCCAGTGAGCAGGGCTTGGTGGGGGCTGAGGGGGAGGTGATGGCGGGTCCTCTCTCGAGCGGTCTTGTGGCGGCATGGCAATGGCTGGGCTTGATCCGTCGTGGGCAGAGCGTGTGTTCACGACGTCAGGCGTGTTGCCAGTCGTGCATGTAGTCAACATGATCGTGGTGGCAGGGGATACAGCTGAGAGCGAGGTGAAGAAACACGATGCGAGGAGTCAGAGTGGCTAGCCTGAGACTGTGGTTTGACCAAGACTGTGGAGAAAAGAAGGAGAAGAGTGTTCTGCAGGACAAAACGCTAAAGTAGTCTCGAGGTTAAATAGTCTGCGACGCAGCTCTCCTACGCCTCCAATCCAAGGCCTCTAGGGACCGTCTAGTGGCTTACACGGGCATATGTCAAGCTGGCGTGCCCAAACAGCCACGGAAAAGACAACCAGAGTCGCAGCGGCCCGAACGGATAGACGGGTGGCGTCAGGAAGTACCAAGTCCGGAGCGGTGGATTGAGCTGAGATTATGGCGGTTTGGTAGAACAGAAGCACCAGCAGCAAATCAAGACGTCACCCTGGTGCAGGGCAGTCCAGGCCGTGGGCCGGATACTGACCTTGGAGAAGGTAGGTAGAAAAACGTGGCGGCGGGCGACAGTTGAGTAACTGTGGCACAAACGGTGAGCAAGGGTGAGTACTGCCCTACGACGGCGAGGCGCCGGGGAAGACGATCCGCAGCCGTCACGGGCATTGGGTGACATTGGTGGGCAAGCTTGCTTTCTCTCCAAGGTCGCATTGCAAAAGGCGGTCTACAAGGCGTGCGCCAGATGGATACGCGAGAGGTGCTGTGGGATCGGATGTTCCAGCGGGCAAAGTCGCCCTCCAGGCCCAGGGCGACGCGGACGGCCATGGCTCCGTAGGTGTAATGCGAGCACCGGCTGGTGTGTCATGGACGGCAGAGGCTACCACGTGTGAAGTGGCCATGTTTGTCTATTCGCAAGTGAAGCAAACAGCGGGCCAATGGCAGCGGCCGTGGTTCAGTCGACATGTCTACACGCTTGTTGATGTGGATACGTGCATGCGCAGCGAGCGTGGGCATCGGTGTGAACGGGGCCTGGCCGCGCGTGAAGTGGCCGGGCGAGGTGATGGTGGTCATGGTAGGCGGTGGTAGTGGTAGTGGTGGTGGTGGTGGTGGTCATGGCGGGCATGGCGATGGAGGTGCCCAGGCGCTCGGACGGGGCGGCGCGCCAAGACAAACGCGCGGAGCGTCACCCACCACCCATCGCGACTTCCTCTGGGCGCAGATTGGGCAAGCACAAGCACCAGCCGGCCCTCTCGCAGCACGTCGTCGCCTCATCGTATATGAAACACGGGGATACACAGGCCTCAATTTCCGCGGCGGCTCCTCCCCACTGCTCTTGCATGCGCGCGTCCGACATGTGCTTCACTGGCTCGTAGGGCTAACAATCACAAACTCGGTCGCTGCGTCACCCGCCTGGTGATACCCTCGCCGCCCTCCCATCGGCCCCCTCTCTACACCTGCGCCTCGCCCGTGGCCCTGCCAACATGTCCTCAGTGGGGAATCCCGACAATGTGCGAGACGTGGCCGAATCTGTGGGCATCGCCTCACTCGCCGACAACGTCGTGGAAGAGCTAGCGCGCGACGTCGACTTCCGCCTGGCCCAGGTCCTGGAGGAGGCGCTCAAGTTTATGCGACACGGGAAGCGGACAACGCTGAGCACACAGGACGTATCCAATGCCCTAAAGGTGCTCAATGTGGAGCCTCTCTACGGCTACGAATCTACCCGACCGTTGCGCTTCGGCGAGGCTTCGCTGGGGCCCGGCCAGCCCTTGTACTATGTCGAGGACGAAGAGGTCGATTTCGAGAAGCTCATCAACGCCCCCTTGCCCAAGGTGCCACGGGAAATCACCTTTACAGGTACGCTACAGCTCCCGTTATTTGCTAAGCCCACTTGCTGACCCTTCGCCAGCCCACTGGCTCGCCGTAGAGGGTGTCCAGCCCTCCATTCCCCAGAATCCCAACACCAACACAGCCGACCTGTTACCCAAGGGCCCCAACGCAAACCCGCACCTGGCTGCCGCCAACGGGCTCGACAACGTCAATGTCAAGCCCCTCGTCAAGCATGTGCTGTCCAAGGAATCACAGGAGCTGTTCAACAAGCTGTCGGGCGCCCTTGTCGACGAGACCAACATTGAGTGGCAGAATGCAGCACTGGCTGCAATCTCGACCGAGCCCGGCATACATCAGCTGACAACATACCTCTTGAGCTTCATAGCCGAGAAGGTTACACATAATATGAAGAACCTGTTCATCCTCAGCCAAATGATGCGCGCTTCCGAAGCCCTGTTAAATAACCAGGCCATTTACCTCGACCCCTATGTCGCATACATGGTCCCACCCATCCTGACGTGCTGCATTGGCGGAAAGCTGGGGCCAGCAAACCAGCAGGTGCCGTCCAACGCCTCATCAGAAACGCTGAGCGGCGCAGCGCCCGACTACAGCCGCGCTGCTTCAGACGCCTTTTACCTGCGGACCTTTGCAGCACACCTGCTGAGAAACATTTGCAGGAAGCACGGCTCATCAAACCAAGGGCTGAAGTCCAGGATTGCCCGCACATGCCTGAAGCAATTCATGGACCCCGACAAAACAGTCGGTGCACATTTCGGCGCACTCCAAGCCCTGCTTCTTGTCCTAGGCCCTTCGGATGCGCTTCGAGGATTAATCCTACCCAACCTTAAAATGTACAATGACGATTTCCTATCAAAGAAGCTGGCCGACGAGAGCACTCGCCACGATGCCGAGATTTTGCTTGAAGTACTTGTCGGTTCCTTCCCCGCCCTCGTCCCAAAAGTTATCAGAGAAAAGGCCGAAAAGGCCAAGCGTGAGGGAACACACGAAGCACCTAATCTCGACGACGTGCGAGCGAGACTGATCGACAAGGTCGGCGACTTGGTAGCTGGACGTCTGATTAGTAAGAAGATGGACCTGGAAGTGCATGAAATTCTGAGCAAAGACTTTGATATTTGAAAATACACAAATTTCTTTTTTTCTACCAGTGACATGGCCTGGCGTTGTTCATTTTATTTTTCTGGGCTTTGTTTCATGGGGGGGGTGTTATTGATAATAAAGGCGTTGGCTACGCTTTTTGCATGATACCATGTTTTTTTTTTGCTCCCTCATACAGGCAGCAATTTTTCACTCGTCTACCTAGCTTTTACAAAGAAATACAGACGATGTATTTTTGAATTCCTCCTCTTCCTCGTTTCCCCCACGCCCATTACATTCCACCACTTCACCTTCACCCCTCCGACCGCCCAACAGGCAACAAAGCCCCAACCCCGGCCTCGCCCTCCCCTGCCACCCAGCGCTTCGTCCTTATCACAAGCCCATCCAGCCTCCCACGCCACACTGCCCCGGAATTCAGCACCCCCATTACCGCACTGCTACGCCCTGCAGTACCTGCTCCAAGAGCCTCCTCCATGCCATCCGTATCCCCAGTACCTAGACTCTGTCCCTGCGCCGTACCAACAGAAGAAGCGTCTACTGGTTTACCAGTCCGAAACGGCAAATCACTATGTATATATTGTTTCTCGCGAGAAGGCCGAGTGAAGAATGTGGATTTGGGTGAAAACGGACGGATGGGCGGTGTGCTGGTTTGATGCAGGTGTAGGGGTGATGGTAGGGTGTGAATTACCGGGATGTTTTCTTGGATAGAGTCGAGAGTGTGTGGTGGTGGTTGTGCGACGGTATCAGTGTTTTGTTGTTTGCTTGGCGGTTCTTCGTCTTGATGGGGTTGGTCTTTGTCTTTGTCTTTGTCTTCGTCTTCGTCTTCGTCGTCAATCGAGGAAGAATATGATGATGATGAAGAAGAAGAAGAAGAATAGCACGATCCTTTATCCTCCCCCTCACATTCTCCACTCCCCACTCCCCCTCTCCACCGCCACACCACGAACCCCAGCACCCAAACGCCCAACAACACAGCTCCCACACACAGTACAATCACATGTATACCGCAAGACGGCCCTGAAACACAGCGAGTCCCGCATCCTTGGTCCATTGTCGGCATCGCCATTACAACTTGACTGCGCTCCGCTGCTTGAGCCCGACCGTCCATGTGTATCTCCGGTAGCTGTGAATACGAGGAGAAATGCATGTGTCGGGGGATTGGGTACGGTGTTCCAGTTGCAGCTCCAGCTCCGTCTGGCTTTTCCTTTTCCTCTTGCTCTTCATCTTTTTCTTTACTTGCATCTGCATCTGCATATACATCTGCACATGTATCTTGCAGCGCCAGCGCTGTCGCCATGACTCCATCATCATCATCATCATCATCACATCCCCTTCCATCCCACAATCCCAACCCCAACCTCGACCCCAACCAACGAAACCGCCACAGCACATCCTGAACCCTTAAACCCAGCACCCCATCTTCTCCCTCATCCCCCTTCCGTCGTCCCCGCTGTTCCACTATCATCATCTTCTCCCCCCTTTTATTTTTCCCCCGCTGCTGCTGCTGCTGCTGCTGCACACACACCTCGCTACCACTCGTATATCGAGCTATTTTCCAGTCCAATGCGATTCTGTCTGTGGGAAGATGATGAAATTTTTGACTTTAGACTTGGAAGTGAATTCCCACCCTCCCTCAAAAAAAGGTTAAAGGTGAAAGGTTAAAGGTTAAAAAAGGGAAAAGAGGAAATAGATCAAAGTATACTGTATGTATGCTGTATCCCTCGTTTGCGCGAATCGCAGATTAAAAAGGGTTAATACTATAGTGAGGTGTATGTCATACATATATACATATATACATACATATATATATATATATATATGTATTACATGATGCACGCAACCAAGACAAGTACAGAAACAAGGAAACAAGAAACTAGAAAAACAAAGCAGCATACACACACACACACATAACGGGTAGGTCAGTATGTCCCGTTGTCTTGAACATGTCCATACTGTCTCACTCACTGATTTACTCACCGCCTCGTTATTCATAGTTGTGTTTATGAAGAAAGATAATGATGGGAGTAGGAGACGAGGTGGAACATGAGTCCAGGATGCCGAGGAGGCAGCAGATGTGTGTGTGTGTGTGAGACATATACACACAAGTGTGGGCGAACAAAAAAAATTAAAAGGCGAGTGAGACGATTGAGTCACTGAGGGTGTGGATCAAGAATGATAGTCATGCATTGATTCAATCCACACAGGATAATAGAGGACACCAAATCAAGAACGATGATTAACAATGTTATACTACGCTACGCTATACTTATGCGTCATGCGCTGGTGGCGCAGCAAAAAACAACAACAAATCTCTAGTATCAAATACCCAAAAACAAAGACTACACACCCAGTGGAACATGCGTCCATCTAGAGTCAGATGTGGTATCCGTCTTTCCCCATGTCTTTCCATGTACTATAACTTCTTAGATGCTTGCAAATGCAACATTAAATGACTTTTGTGTTGAAAAAGACATTGCCGCGAAGATCGCAAAAAAAGGCAAAAAAAGCAAAAAAAAAACATTAACTGCAACAGAATGCGTCATGCACATTACTGTCGTGTACAAAAAAAAACACAATCGTATCTCGACCTTTATATAGGACACAATAAACATTCGCTCATCGTCGGTTGAAGTTGAGATATTTTGCGGCCATAAAGAGGATGATGAGGTTACTGGCAATGTAAACAATAAAGATGCCGAGATCTCTCCATCGGTTGTCGAAGCTGTAGCCGAGCGGGTTGTAAAATTGGTCTCCGATCTTGTATGCGCAGTACTCGCATACACTAGAGGCGTTGTCGCGGATGTAGCCAGGTGCACCGCTTGCGAAGAAGTCGCTCATGTAAGAGCCGCACGTCTGGCCCTGGGGAGCCTGGAAAGTGTTGAACTCGGCAGAGGTGCACTCGACAGATCGTCCGTGGAGTTCAGTAACAACCATACCACCAATCAAGCGTGTAAAGGGGTTAAGCTCGTATAGCCAGACACGCCAGAACTTGGGAATGGAGGGCTTGGGGATGGTGACACCGCAGAAGAGGGAGAAGATGATCTGGTACCATGGTCAGTAAGCAAGTCATGAGATGTGTGGGGAAATCTACTCACGATGATGAAGGGGTTGACGTAGGAGGCGAGGAACGGGTCGGGTGTCAGGGCAGCAATGGCTTGAGCCAAGGTAACCGAGAAAATCTCGGTAATCAAGATCATGAAGAACTGGTATCCGGCACGCGAGCTTGCCGAGTTGAGCCCAGGAATGTAGTAGAGCGGGATGAAGAAGAAGACGGCGCACAAGATGCTGTATGGCATCTCTGCTATGACCATGGACAAGGCGAATGGGAACGTCTTGTAGGCCTTTGAAATTTGCTCACGGAAAGAAATGGTGCGCTGTATGGCGTACTTTGGCTCGACTTGGGCGAGAATGAGAGCCGGAAGGACAGTAACCTGGAAGATGATGAAGATGCGGTACTGCAGAGATGACCGGGAGTTGTCGAGCTGAAGGTACATGAGACCTGTAAGCAGAGCAATGATGACGTGGTTGAACAGACGAGTGAAGCCGTAGTTGGGGGTACGCCAGAAGGAGAGGTTCTGGCGGTGGACAACCTTCTTGATCTGGTACGAGAGGGGAGTGGCATACTCCTTCTGGTCCACGGGTTCAGCGCTACCGACAGCAGCAAGACGCTCCTGCTTGACCTCGGCAATGTGTCGCTTGACCTCTGCGAATTCTTCAGAGTCGTCCCAAATATCAGCCCAGTCGCGGTCACCGATACGAGGTGCAGAGCCCGCGCCAACAGCATCCAGCATCCATTCTGCGGGGTTAGCAGCAGGAGGACAGTCGGCGCCGTGGCGGTGGAAGTAGTCGAGGAGAGCGTGAGCGTCTTTGCCAATGTCGCCAAAGTAGACACATCGGCCACCTCGCTGGAGGAGCAGGAGACGGTCGAAATTCTCAAACAGTGCAGAGTTGGGCTGGTGAATGGTGCACAGAATAGCCTGGCCGGCAGCAGCCAGCTTGCGGAGGAAGCGAACAATGTTGAAGGCGCTCTGAGAGTCGAGACCAGAGGTAGGCTCGTCCAGGAAGAGAAGCAGCTCGGGCTTGGCAGCAAGCTCAACGCCAATGGTCACACGCTTGCGCTGCTCAACCGCCAGACCACTCTCCGGGTCTCCGATGATGGCGTCGGCAATGTCCTCCATTTCCAACAAAGCAATAACCTCCTCGACGTACGCATACTTTTCGGCCTGGGGCGTTTCGAATGGCTGACGGAGATCGGCGGAGAAGCGGAGTGCTTCCCGTACAGTGGCGGCGGGCTCGTGGACGTCGAGTTGTTCAGCATAGGCAGTTCCACGCTGGAAGGCGATGCCAGGTGCTTTACCATCAACCAGCTTGTCGCCAGAAATGACACCAATATTCTTGCGGTTGGCAAGCACATCAAGAAGCGTCGTCTTGCCGGCACCCGAGGCTCCCATGAGGGCAGTCAGTTGGCCAGGCTTGACGTATCCGTAAATGTGCTTGAGCAGACGCAGCTCACCGCCGGGGATTGGAACATCGTAGCAGAGATCTTCCCACGTGAGGACCGACTTGGACTCAATGTTGAGTTCGGAACCCTCATCTTTGTTGGCGTCTCCACGGGTGCGCCTGCTACGCTTCTCCTGCAGTTTGGTATTGAGCTCTGCGAGCTCCTTGTCCTCCTTGACGAAAAAGGTGACTGTGCGACCGCCTGCGCCCCACTTGACAAACTCACCCAGGAATGCATTGGCAAGGAGAAAGAGAACAATGAGCGCAACCATGATACCAAAGTGCATCCAGAGATCACCCGAGTCCCACGAAAACGACGTCTTGACGTAATCAATACCCTTGATGATTCTGGATCCGGCCTTGCTGCCAGGCAGGGTGCAGACTTCAGCATTGAGATTGTTGTATCCTGCGCCCGACGGAATGATTGAGCTGCCAACACACGTCAAGTCGAGGTGACGGAACTCGTTCATCATCATGGCCGAGAAGCCGAGACCCAGGGCGTTGATGTAGAAAATCCACCGAAGCCAGACTTGTTCGGATTGCCACTGGATGAGATAACCGGACGTCAGCACGAAGAGGGTGATGATGGTGGCGGCCAGACGAATAGCAACATCAAAATCGGGACAAAGACAGCCGACTGTTCGGAAGAAGAGCGTCATGCCCAGGTAGGCAGTGATGATGATCAGGACAAAGATGAAGAAGGCTCCAGCATCCCGGACCAGGTTGGTCATGAAGTAGACAATGATGGAGAAGACCAAGATCTGCACCGAGGCAAACAAAAGATCGACACCAATCTGAGCTATCCAAAGGGCCGAGGGGCGGTGGAAGGTAAAGGCGCGGTGCTTGTTAACAATGGGCCGTCCCATCATGGTAGATCCGAGTTCAGAGAAGGCCTGGAAAGCGTTGAAGAGCAGAGCGATGAAGAGGACACCTCCACGTGTGAAGGCGCCTGCCGAAGTACGGGGAAGATCAAGCCAGACGGTACCGATGATGATGGCGATGGAGAGAGAGGTAATCCATGAGACAGCCAGAGCAAACTTGTCCTGCCACTTGAGCAAGAACTGGCGCTGTGCCAGAGCCCACACCTGGAGATAAAAGGGGATCGAGTAGACCGACTTCTGGGGCGCGTGTCGCTTGCTCTCCTTGACGGCGATTTGAAACTCTTCGTAGACGTGCTTCTCTTGGGCCATCTGGGCCTTGTAGGCAGTCATCTCGGCGTCAAGTCTGGCGGCCGTCTCGGACTTGTTGAAGGCCTCGGCGAGGGCATCGGGCGTCGAGGGGACGTCGTTTTCGCTCCGGCCCGCCTTGAACTCGCGCTCAAAGGCGTCTGTGCAGCCTGTAAGGTAGTCGGGCGTGGTTTGGCGAGGCTTCTCAAGGAAGCCGAGGCCTTCAAAGTAAGCACGGGCTTCCTGGGCAGGTCCAAAGTAGACCTGGCGTCCGCTGTCAATGACCATGACCTTGTCAAAGCACTTGTAAATGTTCTCCGAGGCCTGGTACAGCGACACAAATGTGGTTGTCTTGTAGATGTTTGTGAGGACTCTGAGCGAACGGGCATAGTCGACGGCCGTGGAAGCATCCAAACCTCTTGTGCTGTTGTCCCAGCTCATCAAAGAAGCTCCCGTGATCATGGTCTCAGCAATGGAAACACGTTTCCTCTCGCCTCCACTAACACCACGGACAAAGGGGTTGCCGACAATGGTGTTTCGCGTGTGCTCAATGTTGAACATCTTGAGCATGGTGTTGATGATCTTTTCCTTGAAGTCCTTTCGCGAAAGGCCGGCGGGCCGCTTGCCAGGCGCCTTTGTCTCGAGTGCAAAGTCGAGCGTTTGGCCAACGGTCAGAGTGGGATGGTGGTTCTCGTCTTCCTCGCAGTAGACGGCCTCGCCACGATACCTCTTGGCAAAGAGGTCGGCGTCGAATGGGCCGTACAAGACGTCTCCATCTATCTTTGTGTATCCGTATCGCTGGTTGCTGATGACCTTGAGGAAGGTGGTGCAACCACTGCCTGGCTTTCCGAGAACCAGGACCATCTCACCGGGCTTTACGACACCCTTGAAATCCTTGAGGATGTCGAACTCGGTGCCCTTCTTGCCCAGGCCCAGCAGGCTGGCGGCCGTTTCAACCACATTGAAAAAGGATACAAATGCATCGGGAAATGTCTGGACTCCATGTTAGCTGCGACGACGGACGTGCATGTCCCAAACCAAATGGCTTACCTTTACGTAATTCTTGACACCACCTGCGTGGGAGTTAGCGCTCATGTCATGTAGATGGTATGCAGGGTGGAGCCATACCAATACCGCTGACGGTGAGACCATCCCACATGACGCCGATGCGCTTCGACTTGATTCCAGCCGCCTCTTCTTCGTTGCGAGAACCGCGCAATGTTGCTTCGAGGTCAAAGGGCTCGTCCGAGGTGTCGGAGCCCTCTGCAGCCACCTTCTCGACATCGGCAGGGGCAGTCTTGTCCTTGCGGCTTTGCCTGCTCTGGACGCGACTCAGGCGGCGCGAGAGGTTGCTGGCGCGGGAAAGCTCTTTGGAGAGTTGGGCGAAATCCGACTCGGCACGCTGGACGTCGACGCCGTAGGGGTTTTCGGTTTCCTGTGGCTTGGGCGAGTTGCGCGCGGTGCTCTCGCCGCCAATCGAGGCTGTCCTCATACTGGCGTTGTCGTGTGCATGCTGGTTGCGATTGGGGTGGATGGGCTCGAAGGTGGCGCCCTCGGTGTGCTCGCGAGCGTGCGTGTTTTGTAGGCCGGCGTTGTCCATGGCAGGCGGGCGGTAGTGGGCGCGCGCCCTGGTGGTTGATCAAAGGGTCGCGAAGCTGTGTGCAGGCAGAGAGAGGGAACGACGGGCCAGTGCAGAGGGAGAATTTAAAGAAAGCAGCAGGCCGGGCAGACAATGGCCAAAACCAAAAAAAAAAAAAAAAAGAACGCAGCACCAAACAAAACGCAACGGGCAGCCTAGCGGCGGGGTGGGAAGGCGGTCGCGACAAGGCTAATGAAAAGAAGAAAAGAAATGTCAGGGCCGGAGATAAGAAGGACAGGAGACGGGCAGTGGGGCAGCTAGGCGTCGGGGCATTGGAGAGTCAAGGCCGAGTAGGGTGGATAGGCACGACGACATACTAGGATACGACTACTACTAGCAGGCGACGTTGACACGGGGTGAGGCGGCCGCGGCCGTGTCTGTGATGCACTCATAATGACTAAAGCGGGCGGCGCGTGCCTGAGCGCTAGGGTTGGGATGGCGCAAACGGTTGAGAAAGCATGGTTGGGGTTGGAGACAACAAGTGCGGCCAAACGAGTTTCAATGGGCCGAATATCTAGACGTCATGCCCAGTGTGCGCCATGGCGGCAGGCCGTCGAGGGCGACTGCCGGCACCGGTGTGCGGCATCCATGTGGGATGCCTCGGGCATGCATGGTGCAGGCCGGCCGTGACTGTGCTCACGGCCATGGCAGCAGGTGTGCTACTACGTCTGGCAGCTGTGACGGTGGCGGCGATGGTGGGCGTGGATGTGCGCGCGTGTGGGTGGGTGGGTGGGTTCGTCGTAGTCGTTGGTCGGTGGTCGGTGGTGGTGGTGGTGGATGGGGTCGGGGTTGAGGCGGCCTGCTTCCGCTAAGGCTGATGTTTTGTGGCGCACCGCTTAGCTGACGGGGCTCCACCCAATCCACTGCCGTGCATGTGCATGGCCTTGCATTCACGGGTTTGTCAGCGCGCCGAGTTCAGCGTCTTGGCCTATGACTCATGTTCTGGCCAGTTGTGGGCAGTCGCGCGCCCCGCTCGACTCGCAATCAGCATGTGGAGAGGCACCCTATAGTACTTTACTCTACGACTTACTGCTACTGGTATATACGCACATGTGCCGCGGCAGCTGGCCTGTCTTGTCTCGGGTCTGCTGCATCGTCGTCGCCCGCGGCAACAAGGTTTGGGGCGGCGGCAGCAGCAGCAGCAGCAGCACATAAGACGCAGCATTACCCCGAGCCCGCGCCCATATGTTTATAGGCTCCTGAGCGCTCGACGGACAGCATAACGCGGTTGGTGCGCGGTGCTGGTCCGGGGGAGGGCACGGGCGGCCATCCCTGTGCATGTACGGACGAGCAGCGGGAGCGCGTTTATCGGCAGCCCAGCCGGGTCGAGCACGCCCGCTCCACTTCTGTCGACTCATCCTGACCCATTCTAGAATCATCCGCGACTATTGGTGCTGCGCCCTTTCCCTGCTTCTGCTTATTCTTCGGTGCCCAGTGCTTCGGCACACACGCATACAAGTCCAAGTACATGCCCCCCTTTCTTCTCGCCATGGCCGCTGGTGTCAGAAGCAGCGCCGCCACCACCGCTTTCCTCTTCTGGTCGTGCGCCGCCCCGTCAGCCACTGACATAAGCATGCCGCGGAAAAACAAACATCCACCAGCTAACCGCCGCTAGCCTTGTCGCCAGGACAAGCTACCCCCCCCCCCCGTCTGCGTCCTGTCGCTCGTGTTTCTCCTTCCGCCCGTGCTTAACGCCGTTATTTCCACCTCATCCTGCAACTCATCACCCATGCCAGCGCGCATCCAAACCTGATACCCGAATCGTGAAACGCGCTAACCACTTCCAGCCGCCATCGCCCTCCGGCATTCGTCCGCACCCGCCACGCTTTCCTCGGACAGCGTCTGTCAAAAGTCATCGGTCTGAACCACCCTCTATCCACTTTTTTGGTATAATCCGACACCACATATTCATTTTATCGGTTGATTTGTTTTACCACTGTGCTCAACATGTTGCACGGTACATTTTGAAACGCGCCCGAGGCACCGAAGCACACAACACAAGATGATCTACTTCATCTTCGCCATCACATCATACGATGTCGACAGAATGGCTCGTTTGGTCTTTTCTATCCATGTGCCAACTTCAAAGATCCCCTGGCTAGCGCTGCTGAGAGTTTCTACCCCAGATGACTGGACACCTAATGCCAACCCATCGCTTCCGCTGCTGCTGCAAGTCAGCACATTGTATCCCCCCATGTACAAACTATAACACCCACAGCGCGACGCGACTCTCTGACGCCAGGTCATGTGCTCGCACGTGCCTCAACCACATGTTGAAAAAATATCCGTCTTTGTCCGTGCATTTCTGTTCATCACTTCCTAAGAAATGGTTTCACTTTCGTCCAAAACCTAGACGTGGGCAATGTATGCAACTTGGGCGCTGACGTAATCTACAAAGTGACCAACCCACAAATCTATACAAGAAAACAGATTTCACACATGCAAGAAAAATGAAAATACAAGATGCTTGCATTCACCCATCCATGCATGACTGTCGAAGAAAGAATATCAATCTCCAAAATTCTTCATCCAGACACTGTTACACTGACAATGAATTAACCGGTCCCTCTTCCTCGCTAATCTCCATCAACCATCTTGATCGGGCCCCTTACCACATACATCCATGCATGCATGCATACTCGCTCCATCACGTGCACCGTGCACCCGACCCTTTCCAGCAACCTCCCCCTCACCCATGTCCTTGCCGCACATCTACTTTGCTTTGTTTGGTTTAGTCGCTTTCTACTCTGAATCCTAAGCCTAGTCCTACTCTTACTCTTACTACTACTCGTCTTGCTACTACTCGTCCAACTACTTCCACCACGCAGCAGCAGTACGTGTTTTGCATGGTATTTATGACGTCTACCATAAGAGTACTACGGATTCTCTTCATACTACTACTATTTTCACCACTAATATACCAACGACGACGGCATTATAGAGGAGTGGTGGGAGAATAATTGGAGCAAGTGGTTTCTATGATATGCTATATAATGGCACAATGCACGACCCAAGACAGCAGCAATAAGTAGTAGACTACAGTATAATACAGGTGCTAGTCTGGTGGTAACCTCCCGTCTCTAGCCAAGTACATGTTCCTCTATTAAAGTGCTATGCTATGCTTCATCAGGTACAAGGCTGGAATATGCTAGGTGGGTGTGGGGAATACTGTGGTAATGCATAGCTGATTCTGTGGTGGGTGCTGCATTGGGAATATACAAAGGGGGGGGGGGAGAGAAAGTAGGGGAGTAAAGAAGTAGAGAGGAGAAGAGGAGAAGAAATCTATACCACCTGCTTACAACAAACCCGCTTAACAATACAAAAGACCGAAATATGTACACAACAGAGAAAGAAAAAAAAATATATATCAGCATTCTGTGCATTTTGCTTGTATTTATCCAAAGTAGACTGGCAGAAATCAAGTACTCGTCACACTTGTACTAGAGAAGAAGAGGAAGACATGCAGGAACAGATGCAGCATTCCCCCCCACCCCTCCACACATTCATACCCCAAGAACAAAAAAAAACAAATCCCACCTCAGAAAACCAGAAAACACTTCTACTTACACACTCCAAATATCACTGCTTGACGAAGGATATTCAAACCCAAAAAAAAATCAGGCATCAAGTTCGACACTCTGATATACTCTCATACCAGTTCTCCTGTACTGCAATATCAACTTGATCGTAATATCAACTTATTCGTAACAAGCCAACAATTGTATACCACTCACTTGCCTGTAGTCGCTATGGCAATGCTTTGGTTTTTTTTTTAGATAGTTTAGCGTATTTGCTACGACGATTGAGATTTGTGGATAGTAAGAATTTGGATAGATACTAATGTACTTTGTACCTGGTAAGACTATTTGGTGATGTATATTAAGAGGTGCTGGAGTTGGATGCGGGGGCTGACAATATACATAGAGAGAAGGAGAGAGAGAAGGAGAGAGAGAAGGAGAGAGAGAAGGAGAGAGAAGGAGAGAGAAGGAAATCCAGCCTATGCACACTCAATATAAACATATCCCTTGCAGATAGATATCAAAAAAAAATAAAAGTTGAATTTGGGTATGATTTTGCTAAGCCTTATCCTATCCACTCCACTCCACTCCACTCCACTCCACTCCATGCCATCTCCCGTTCGTTCATTCATTCATGTACCTCCCAACCTCCCCCTCCCTCCATCCGAACCTTGACTACTCCACCACTCCTCTCCAAAAACAAAAAAAAACGCTCAACATACGTACGTACATGGATGAACATGTTCTTTCTTTCTCGCACAAAAGAAAAAGCCGCAAAAGCCAAACTGGCCAAAAAAAAACTGGGTACTTAACAGACAAGAACAAGAACAAGAACAAGAACAAGGCTCTCTCTCTCTCTCACACACATACACTTTGCAGATAGATACATAGCAAAAGTACATGAGAGAGTAGATAAACTAAGCAAAGCAAAGCAGAGCGAAAGCAAATAAGCAAAGTACTTTCATCTTCCTCTTCTTCCTCTTGAACCATGCCCAAAAAACCCAGCACTCTTCTTCCCTGCTTTTCCCCTCGTCTTGCTCTTCTTGTACTGTATCAGCTTTACAACGAGTCAAGACAAGACAAGACGATGCAAGCAAACAAGGCCGCACCTTCAACAGAAAACACCAAAAAAATTGACAAGGGGATAACATGTGGAGCAACAGAATGGGCATTTTTTCTTCTTCTTCTTCTTCTTCTTCTCCTTTGATATCTGAACGTAGAAAAAAAAAGACGACGACAATACATCAGACGAGTTTCTGGGGGTAAATTGCAGGACCACCAAAAAAAAAAGAACGAGTCCACATACAACGACATGGGACAACGACCAACGACAAAATGCCCAACAGATGGCCGAACAACAACAAAAAAATACAGCACTACAACTACCTCTTCAACAAACCGGCTTCAAGTGCCAATTCTGATTTTTCATCCGGCACATTACTGCCAGCACTACCAGCACCAGCACCAGCACCAGCACCAGCACCACCGGGGAGAGGGACTCTAGACTTGGTCTCGGCATGTCCCAACGCCAGCTGCGACTGTGGGTATTGGTGTGAATGTGACTGCGACGACGAAGAAGGAGGCGGTCTCCTTCCAATACGCGCAAGCCAACTCTCCGCACTCTGCACGGTTCCATCAACGACGGTGGTAATCTGGCCCATCATGTCGAGACCCTCTTTGGCAAACGCCAGCATGCGGTTTGCGCCGCGGACTTCGTCGCCGCCCGTGCTGTCGTGGCTGGTGTTTCTGCTGGCGAGTTGCCAGCGCTGCGGCACGGATAAGAGTTGAGTGCGGACGACGGTTTGGGCGTTTTGCGGGAGGGCGCCGCCCGTGTAGCGCGAGACGGATTGGACGACGGATTGGAGCGTGGTCCAAATGTCTGATGAGAGGGCCTTGATGCGGTTGGCGATGCGGCGGACTTGGTCGTCCTTGTCGTGGTCGACTAGCCCCATTTGCGCCATGTTGCCGTTGAGCTGGGCCTTTTCGTCTTGGCTGGTGGATTGCCTCTGGTTGCGGAGGGCGGCCTCGTACTCTTCGAGGACGAGCTTGAGCGCACGCATGACCGAGTCAATGTGTGTTGTTGCGCTGCGGAGGAGCCCAAGACACAGCTTCAGCGAGCGGAGTGATGTCTCGGAGAGTGCTACACCGAGTCCAGACGTGGTCATGATGAGCTGTGTCGACCAGTTGACGCGACGGTCTTGTGGCGTGTTGGACCGTTGCTCTGGTGACTTTTGTGCATTCGCGTCTCCTGATACAACCGCCTCTTCGTAGTTTGGAGATCGCTGGTCGTCGTAGGCCGGCAGTGATTCAGTGTACGAAGACTGGGAGCCGCCTCTTGTCCGTGACGCTGCGGCAAGTGCATCATCGACATCCATGGCATCGTCTGCAGGGCTCGCGATCCTCTGCCTCTTGCTTCGAGAAGCGTCACCGTCGCCCTGTTCGAGATCGCTAGGCCGGCGGTGTCCTTCGCCTAGATATCGGCGCAGGCTCTTTTCCATGCCCGTCCTTCTGCCGACAGACGAGACTGTATTTACCATGGGCGACCCGATATTGCGCTCCAGCAGCTCTGCGCCGTACTGAACCAGGCGCGGCGTGTAGCCCTTGGTGGTGTTGTAGGCTGATATGGAGCCATTGATGGAGCTGCCCAGCCACGGGTGGTTTGAGGTAATCAGAGAAAGCAGCGGTTCCGGAGGTTCAGCCGTGGGCGAGCGGGCAGACAGGGTGAGAGATCGGGCTGTTGGCGAGCGAACAAAGTCTGTAGTCTCTTGTCAGCATGTCCTATACACGACTCGCGTCATAAGCACACCCCGCGTACCTGGATTCCCCAGCCCACTTAGCGCCTCAGCGGCCAACCGTACATCCGGGTCGTCCATACTGACGCTCGTTTCACGTCTGCTTGTCGTGTCGTCTGGCACGCTGCGTATGCTGGCCGTGTCCATGGGACTTCCCATGTCTTCGCGCGAGAAGCCCTCTGGCACGCTGGGAAAGGTCGCACTGTTGGGCGCGGGCAGCACGCCCCAATGCGGCGCCTCAAAGTGCGCGCGCGGGCTGTATTCTATCGAGTTGTGCGGCGTGTGGCGAGCCTTGGTCTCGGGCAGGTGCAGCGACTTGATGCCTGGAAGCCGTGCATTGTCGTGGTGGTTGTGCGTGGGGAGATGCGTGGGCACCGACGGCAGATGCAGCGACTCGGGCTCGTGTTGCGTGTATGCAGGCGGCGGGGCAGGCTGGAGCGGGCGCTCTTGTTCCATGGCGGAGTTGTCGTTGTCGGCGTTGTCGGTGTCGGCGTGGTTGAAGGGTGCGGCGCTTGTGATGCGGGCGACGGGTGCCCCACGTATGCTCGCTGTATGCGCCAACCACGGGCAGGCGATATTTTTCGCGATGGCGTGCGGGAGCGGTGCCGTGATGCGCTATGGCGGGCAAAGGCGTGGCAATGGTCCAGGACGGGGCCGGGGCAAAGGGCTCGAAAAGGGAATGGCACTTGGCGGGAGCGGAATCGGACGTCGGGGCGCAAATTGAGGGCGCGGCGGTGATGTCGGTCAGGGGAGGCGAGGCGTCAGGCCAGCGGCAGCATGGCAGGGCGGACAGCAGGCGGTGGTGGTGGTGGTGGCGGTGGTGGTAGTGAGCGGCGGGCAGTGGGCATGGCCGGTGTGGACGAGGCCAAGGATCGAGAGGAGCTGGGAGCGACAATGGGGGAGACGCCAGACGAAGAACGCCCGGCGGCAGCAAATTGGGGGTCACGACAAAAGCCATGAATCTCACATGTCAGTCCTATCACATGTCACCGGCGATCCACCACCACCACCGCCCACCACCCACCAGTCCACGCCACCCTTCCTGGCTTGGCACCCACTGCCCCGTGCGAATCAACACCCGTAGCCAGCCCAGTCTACATGTAAGTATGCACACCACGCCTACATACGTGTTCAGCCGTTTGCGCTGATGGCCTTCTGCAGCGTCGACGCGGGCGTTGGGCTGTTCCTCCTCCTCCACCACCACGCCGCATCTCACGAACCCACCCATGCCATGCCATGCACGTCGGCTCAACCACCAGCCGGAGCCGATAGGGACGTGGTCGACATGGGCATGGCCCGCAGCCCATCCACCGTTGGTCAGCCTTGTGCCTGTCTTACTCGATCCATCCACACACACACACACACACACACCCTCCACCTGCGCTTGCACGTGTAAATTACCTCAATTTGACCCAGCTTCCCCACATCAGCCCTGCAAACCTCCGATAGCCGCACCACCACCACCGCCACCACCACCACCCGGCACTTGACCTGCCGAGCCTGCTCACAACAAAGCACACGGACAACAGAACATGGCGAACCCTTCTGACTATTATGCATTATGTTTCGTTCGAGTGTCTTCTTCTTCTACGAGTGCGCAGACCGCCCCATGCCAAAGCCCCATACCAACACCAGAGTTGTCGTAACGCAATCCGACCAACCATGCGCTTACATGCTTTTATCGTAACACGGGGCCCGACCAAACCGTCCGGCCCCAAACATAGCAATTACAACAAGTATCAAAACCGCTGGCCCCTTGCGGCCATACCGTAGCAAGAATAAAGTCCCAGGAGCCCGGCCACGCTGGTGGCTCCTCTTTGCCAGACGTCCATGTGCGAAGCTGCGCCGCCCCAACCGTCGTTGCCGGCTAAGCGACGCACCTCGGCAGACACCACCATGGTCGCCGTCGCTTATGCCTTGCGGCTGCGGGTAGCCCGTCCGTTGGGCGTACCATTCGCCGACGTGCCCGTCGCAACGCCGTTGAGGGCAGCGCCGCGCGTAATCGACAGGCGCCTGCGGGCCTCGCCAACAGTCGGCACCTTCTCGTCCTTCATCTCCACCAATGCGCTGGTAGCCCGGCGGCGGCCCTTGGGCACCGGCTTCTTGTACGTGGCAAAGTAGAAGGCGAGGAACAGGAACAGGTACGACGTGATGATGCAGATGCCCGAGATGGCCGCAAATTCCTCGCCAGCACACTTGCCCATGTTGGGGAGGTGTGGCCAGTAGGTGCTGGTGAAGTAGGTCCACGACGCAAAGTAGATGAAGCCTGGTTCCCGTGTTAGCCATTGCCGCCTAGCGTACCGTAGAGAGCCGCCTTACCAAGGTCAAGCACAAACTGCGTGATTTGTCCAACCGTAATGTACTTCTTCCACCAGATGCGGATGCCTCGCGCGCTCTGGAAGTAGTACCAGTACATGACGACGTGGACCGCCAAGTTGAGCGTAATCACGGGCCATGACACGGGCGTGTGGCCGATGAGCTGCGTGTAGCAAAGCAGGGCCGTCGCACCATGGTGGTAGGTGTGGAGGAAAGCTGCAAAAAAAACAAATCATTAGCTTGACGCCACATAGGCTGCTATTAAATGCACATACTCAGGGGCTTCTTCTTCAAGAACAGGAAGCAAGTGTCAATCAGCTCGAGGAACTTGGTGAGGTAGTTGAGCTATGCAAACGTTAGCCCGGCCAGACAGTCGGTGTGCATGTGTACACGCAGCACGAAAAAAATACAACAAGGTAGAGAAAAAAAAGAGAACACGTACATAGTAGAGAATGACAAGCTTGTCGGTCCATCCACCCTGGTGGTCGCAAATGGCGAAGAAAAGACCCTTCCTAACCACCGTGGGGATCAATTGCTCGGCGAACAGCAGCAGCAGCGCCCCGCTAATGGCCGTCAGGTAGAAGTTGTGCACCTTGAACAGAAAGCTGAGCTTGAAGGGCTCGCGATTGCGCATGAGCTCGCGCCCGCCGAAAATTACAACGTAGTATGCCATGAGCGTCACGACACACGTCTTGAAGGTCGAAAGCGGCGTCTCGCCCTGCACGAAGCGGAAGTCCTGCGGCTTGTAGCCCGCAATGGACTCAAACGCCTTTTCGAAAATGGGCCACAGGGCCACGCCAAAAGGGCGGTCGAGCGTCGGCGCGCCGGCCTGGAGCCAGTCGGGGTTACCCATGTTTTTGCGGGAGATGTGTTATGTTTGTCGATTTGGGGGGTCGATGTTGGTCGTCGTCGTTGTCGTCGTCGTATTCGTGCAGAGGACAAGTTTATAAAGCACGGAGCTGGCGGAAGCGGTGGGATCGGGCGAGGGGATTTGTGTTGTTGTCGCGTGGATTCTGGGATAAGTTGCGCCCTATCGAATCGGGGGGGACGGCCTAGCCAAGTACGCAAGGGAACAACCAGCGAGAGAGAAGGGAAAGGTAATGGGAACCCAACGGGAACACACACACACACACACACACACACGAACACACACACCAAGGCGAGGGGGCGCAAAGGAGCGACAAAGAGAACGATGTGAAGAAGCGAATCTCACACCCAACGAGCAGAGAGAGAAAACAAGTGCAGACGTGCCAGAAGCCAGGGCCGGGCGACAGTTTTCTTTACTGCAGCGCTGGCCGGAAAGGAGGTCGGAAATGACCGCTGGCGTCGTCCGCCCATTGGCGCAGATCTGGCCTAACGAGCCGCTGGCCTCTCTCGTCCGAATTGCTCGTCTGCTCCTACACACATGGGGAGGGGGGGCCTTTTTGCATGATTGACCCCCAAGCACGGCCATGGTCCTGCTGGCCAACTCGCACTCGCTGCTTTCACCTTCACTTTGGCTTCGCTGCTGACTTGCTTGCCGCCAAGCCTTACACGCAGGTGCAGGTAGAGTGAGCGAGATGGCATCATCGCCCTGCCATGCCGCATGCCGCATGCCACATGCTTGTCGGCTGCGAGCCCTACCAATGTTTCGAAACACGCTCCAAGTGCCATGCCATGCTCCATCCCTGTCCTCACGCGCCTCGCACGTAAGTGCCCACAATGCCATGATGATTCTGATGCCCAGCTCTGCCGGATGCTGGCGCAGAGCCTGGGGGGAGGGGGCGTGGCACGTCCCAAAGCGGCATAGCCTCGGAGGCCTCGGCCTACCGCGCCCGACAAAGCCCCTTATTGTCCCTCGCAGCCGCATTACTTGTATGGGCTAGCTGGCTTACATACACACAGCACATTCGGCCCACCATACCGCCACATGTCGTCTTCACCGCAACGACGGTGAGCCATGGCTAATATATATACATACACAACAGGCCATGCTCCCCCTTGCCTCTTCGGCAGCATGACAAATTGACAACCGTGTCTACAACTGCCCTGTGTCCAATAAACTCTAGCCCTATACTTAACAAGACAGTAGCCCATTCATCCTGCCCACATGCCTGCACTGCCTGCTCCCTTGTTTTTTTGGCTGGGACCCGTCCCTGCATACACCACACACACACACACACACAAGTACCCTGGGCCCCATGCTCGAGCCCCTCACGACACCCGGCACACAATGCTTCTTGAACATCTGCTATTGCATATACATTGGTACAGGGAACCCCTAGCAGGTCACCCTCACTACTCTCTATAGGGCCCCCAAGACAGAAAAAAAGAAGAACATCCAGAACACCATTGTGTCAAAATCCGTCTTCTTTTGGGGGACTCTGGAACCCGCGCAACCGCTTAATGCCAACAAGAAACGTGCCATATCGCCACTACAAGCTATACTCAAAAGCCTACGCAGAGACCAAGACAACATGAAAAAAAAACACAAAAAGGACAAAGCAGCACACTGCACTCTACGAGCTCGTGACCCGCGTAATGCTACCCCCAGAATTGGCCCTTGCCCGTCCAGAAGGCGCTCGCGACGAGACAGCGTGGCCGGATGAAGAGTTGGGCCGGCTGTTGCTGCGAGGTCGACCAGCCGATCGGCGAGCACTCGACGACACATGGTGCTCCCCTGATGAAGAATGGTGCCGTCGCTGCAAACACACAGAGCACAAACACGTCAGATCCACTTGAACCCAACGCAAGCCTTTGGACGGGAAGAAGAACAACAACAACAACAACAACAAGAAGAAGAGAAGAGAAGAAGAAGAAAAAAAAGACCTAGGAGTCTAGGGATAGAATTAAGAGTAAATCGATTCGGCCACAAAGAATGCTCGTCTCGAGTTCTAGGGACTTAAGAATCAACGTACCGAGGTTTGGCTGCCTTGACGCTCATAATCTTTCGGCCGCCTGTCTCTCGATGCCGCCCCATCGTCTTGAAGACGGAGATTTTCCAGTCGTCCTTGAGCAGAGTCATCCACGCGTGCCGACGACTTGTCCGCCGTGCCATTTGAGCGTGATTCTGCAAGCTTGGCCAATTTGTCCCAGCGGTCTAGTCGGCTTTGCTGCCTTTGCGTCGCGTTGTTTTGCGACTCGGCATAGTCGTGCGAGCAGTCGTCAAACAGCTGCGGATTGACTTCCATGAATAGCTTCATGGCATTGTATACCATGCCGTGAATTGTTCTACGTGTCCTCGTTAGCAGGTGGCATTGGGCCACGCAAGGGGGTGCTGTAGCATACCGATTCCAGTGGCCCTTTGAGTTTTCGTACAGCGGGGCAAACATGATGGGCAGGATGACCTCGACATTGTCACTGACGAGATTGCAAAAGTATTCGTTGTTCCAAAAGTACAGTGCTCTCTCGGCAACCTGGAAGTGCGGGCTGGCGACCGACTTGGCGAGCTGGTTGAACAGAGGTTCTTGCACCTTTGCAAACTCGGCCGGATCCATGACCTCGAAGATGTCCTCGACTTCGTTGAGGAACATGACCTCCTTGGTGCTGTTCACCTTTGGCCAATACCGGAGGAGGCCCAAAACAACCTGCACATGTAAGCCTAGCCGGTTAGACGGAGCGTGCCCACTCACCTCTTCTGTCAAGGCCGCATCCTTTTCCAAGAACTGGACAATGCAATATGCCAATTGCGGGTGGTACATGCTCAGACTCTTGACCTTGTGCAGCGGAATGAGCACCCTTGTGAGGAAGAGCTTGTGTTCCTCCTTGAGCGGAAGAGCAAACCCGTTGATAATGGAACCGAGGATTTCCAGCAGCTCAGCGATTCCATTGAAGCGCTCGGTCTCGTAAATGAATTGAAAGAAGACGTTGTTGATAGAACGGCGAATGTACGAACGCAGATTGAGAAACTTGCCGTATATACGATGCAGTGTGGTTTTCAAAAAGTCGCGCTCTCTAGGATCCTCTGAGTCGAAAAGATCGAGTAGCTGCAAACATTAGCCTCGCAGTCGTGCAATTTGTCCATGGCAGGTTACCTACGCTGAGCACAAAACTGTGGTCTATGTATGCTTTGGCAATGTTTGTGTTAAAGTCCTGGCTTTCGATGAAGCGCAGGAAGAACTCGTAGACAACCTGGATGTGCGGCCATGCCACCTCGAGCACGGGCTCGTCTTCCTCGGGATCAAAGGCCTCGCCTTGGGGGTTCATAGGGGGTGGAATGGGCCGGAACAGGTTCTTGGCAAACATTTCGACGACGCGAGGATACATCTTCTCCGTGATGACCTGGCGGTTGTTGGCCACATAGTCGAGTAGCTCGTGCAGGGCCAGGCGCTTGATCTCCTTGGACTTCATGTCGCCGCTGGCATCGTTGAAATCGAAGATGATGTTGCATTGGTCAATCTTCTGCATGAACAGCTCCTCGCGCTTGTTGGGGGGCACCTCGTGGAAGCCGGGCAGCTTCTCCAGTTCACGCTGGCGCTGGTCCGAGATGTCGAAACGCGACGAGTGCTGCCGCTTGGGCGTCCTAATACCTTCAATGTTGTCCTTGGGCGTCGCTTGAAGACGGTCGAATATGCCCGACTTCTGGCCCGCCTTGGGAGGCGCAAGGTCGCCCGGCATTGTCTCGGCGGCGCCCGGAGGAGGAACATGCTGCAGGCAATACTTAGTCTGCGTCTCTGAGATGCACGAGGGTGCGGCGCGCCAGTACTTACAGGAGCGCTCGGGCTAATGACGACGCTCGGTGCCAGGGGCTGGCCGAGCCTAGAGGGCGTGCCTGGGCCTGCAGCGCCGGCATTGCCAGGACCGGCGGGATTCATCGAGCCTTGTGCGGCGTAGGGTTGCTGGCCGGCGGCGAGCGAGCCCGAGGCAGGCTGCTGGCTGGGCTGCATCGAGGCGTGGTGGGCAGCGGCGCCATCGGCAGCGGGCTGGCTCTTGCTGCGCGCATCCGTGAGCTGCGTCTGGGACGACGAAGGGGTGGCTTGGGCTGAGCCCGAGGGCGAGTGCGAGGCAGCGAGCGACGGCGAGGCCGTGCCGGAGTTGGAGTCTTTCTTCTTAGACGACTTGCCATCCTTGCTTCGAGAAAGCTGTTCGGACTAGACATGTTAGCCTCTGCGCAGCACGAGGGGCAGCGGGCACGGCTGGGGACGCAGGGGCTGGGGGGCACACGGAGACTTACGACCCTTTGCCTAAAGCCCTTCATGGTTGTGCAGGAGCGCCCACAGCCACGTCGTGGGCTGCGGAGGTGTTGCGGAGGCGGGCGTCCGAGTCTGAGGCAGGCCCCGAGGCGTGTCTGTCGACGGGTCGCGGTCCGGGAGGGCCAATGGATGCGAGCAGAGGGGCGCAGGCAGGGGGGGCGTCGACGGGTGAGGAGGCGTGCAGCTCAGGCCGACATGGAGGAGGGACGCGTGAGGTAGCAGATGGTGGCTAGTGTAGCCGTCTAGGAGGGTGCACGCACGGGGAGGCTGTCGAGGGAGGGCAGGGCAGGGCAGAGCTTCGCGAGAGGGGGCGGGCAGCGGGCAGCGGGCAGCGGGCAGCGGGCAGACGGCAGCTGGGGGCCGTGGGCAACGCGGCGTGGTGACGTAGAAGCGATCGGCCAGAGCAGGCGGGCGTGCACGAGAGAGCTGGAGAGATGAAGTCCAGCAGCAGGTCGTCAACTGACTGACAACTCAGGGCTGCTGCCAGACGGCCAGCGTCGAGTGATTCGCGCTAGCCGTCCCGTAGCGAGGCCGTGCGTTTGGTTTGCCTTGGGTCGCAGCCCAGCCCGCCCCGCCGCCGCCGCCGCCGCCGCCGCCCGTCACGACATCATCCTGCGACCTGCGACGACTGCACACGCCCGCCGCGCATGGCCCCGCATGGCCGTCGCCACGCCAGCTCGTGAAACCCAGCGCGCGCCGTGGCTGGCCATCCCCTCGCGCGCCATCTCCGTGGTCGAGCACCCGGCCATCGTCAGGAACGTCGACAAGGGCATTGCCTCGCTGGGCGGGCCCGTCAAGCTGAGCAAGGTCCGCCGAACACGACGACGACGACTGCTGCTACCAAGCACCACGCTGACTTGTGGCCCAGGGCCTGCGTTCGAAACTGGAAACCACCGTCAACGCCGACGGCGACGACGAGCTCAAAAAACTCATTTCCGTCTCGCTGCGCCCCGACGACCCGTTTGCCAAGCGTCTGCTGTCCACGCCAGTGCGAACCAACAACGTGCTTCTCAAGGTGACAGTGCCCAAGCGGACCGGCCGCAAGCGGAGGCGCGGCTCTTCAGGGCCCTTTCTGCCCTTTCTGCCCCCGCACGCAATCGCTCCCAGCAGTAATGCACTCTGCGACGCCCACGCCTATGTCGACGCCCCAACCATCTACCGAAGTCTGCAGGACAATGCATCGACATACAAGGTCACCCTCGCCGGCGTCGTCGACGAGACTCACCGGTTCAGGAGTAAGCAGTCCACTGCCAACCAAGTGCAGTATCCATGGCTGACCACTCAGACATGCCCGACTTGCAGTACGCGGCCTCTCACAACCACACCATGCTCGGCCTGCGCAACCACATACTTCCCAGGCAATGTGAGACTACCCCAAAGCGTCCCTAGACACAGCTGATGCCTTTCCAGACGACCAGCTGAAAAAGTACCACATCAACACCGCGGCGGGCGCCGACTTGACCAAGAGTGTGGGCCCATCCGCAGAGTTTCTGCAGATGCCCATTGCATTCAATTACCGGTATGTGCAGGGCGGCACCCGTCCCACGCTTGCTAACGCCTCCTCAGATTCCAGCAAAACTCCAATGTCAAATACACCGACCAAGGCGTCGTCAACATCCAGAGGAGCCTGGCTTACAACACATACACCATTGTCAAGCCCACCGACGAGCATGTCCCCACCGGACCCAGACCGGGACTGCCTGCAGAGAGGGATCTCTCGCCTTACATGCAGTCGCTGATTGCCAACATCAGAGCCCTGCTTCTTCAAAGACCCATCGTCACCCGACAGCTCCTGTACAACAGGCTCGGATGGGACAAGCGCACCAAACTCCGACAGGCCGCCATATACTGTGGCTTCTTCTTCGAAAGTGGTCCATGGCGCGAGGCACTTGTACGGTGGGGAGTTGACCCTCGCAAGGACCCCGAGTACCGCAAATACCAAACAGTGTCTTTTCTGTCGTATATCAAGTCAGGCACATCAAAACACCGCGCAGTGTTTGATCAGCACGTCATGAAACTAGCAAAGATGTCCCCGGAAGAGCTGGAGTCTGAGCATACCTTTGACGGAGTCCATGTTTCGCAAACGGGAAACCTGTTCCAGTTTTGCGACATCACTGACCCGCTCATTTCCAAGATTTTGGCTACCAAAGACATCCGAACGACCTGTGCACCGACCTTTCAGGGCTGGTATCATGTCGGAACGTGGGCCAAAGCGACAGTGATCCTCAAGGATAAGATGAATGCAATCATCGGCGGCGAGAAGCCAGACGACTCGATATACCAGCGTATTATCGAATGGCCAGAGCTGTGGGATGACAAGGAAATGGCGGCCCAGTACAAAGCAGAGATTGACGATCGCCAGATTCGCCATGAAAAGAGAAGAGAGCATCAAGTCATGCACAACGTCCGCTGGGCTGCAAGAAACCCACGATACGCCTTTGAGAAGATGGAGACAGAGCATGATCAGCATGGGCACCCTGGCGAAGGAGAGGAGCCAGAGGAGGTTGATGTTCCTGAAGACATGACTGAAGACCCCGTCGTGGCCGACACAGTGTTAAACGCAGACATCGAGGCAGATGATAACGATGCGGGTGAGGATGGAGAGGGAGACGATGATGGTGAAGACGAAGACGAGATGCAAGACGACGAACAAGACGACGATTCATACGGGAGCTCAGAGGGGGAAAACGACAGCGACAGCCCTGTGATGTCTGTCCGGGCTGTCTCCGAAGGCCCAGCGCCATTTGGAGGATACTACAGAGTATAAAAGCCACGCACCATGATTTGTGACTTGATAAACAATCTGATTACAATCTCAACTCTGACAGCATTTCATCCTCTTCGTGTCTTGTGATAGACTTGTTTTACGGATTGAGTAATAGAGCGCAAAGTCTCACATGCGACTCAAGGAGAGCCGATCAAGAGTATGCAAACCGGGGCAAAGTTTGTATTTTGCGCTGGATTTTAAAATTACCTAGTTTCCTGTCTGTGCTTGACGTGCAGTGCGTGCACACGAGTGTAGTCTGCCTTCAGCCTTAGGAAAACGGCGACCCACTTTTCGGCGCTTGGCTTGGGTGCAACTCAGATCGCCTGAGCTTTCGTTTTCAGAACCTCCCGCGAAATCGCACCACCGACATCACCACTCGCCCACGTATCGCCGGCTTCGTACGCCCAGTAGCCTCCCATCACCCCCAAGTGCTATTCGCCAGCTAATTGAACCGCACCATGTCCTTTGTCCGCGCCGCGTCAAAGGTCAGCCGAGTGGGCGTGCGAGTCCCGGCCCACCGAGCAACCCCCGTTGCGTTGAACGCCCAGCGCACCTTCTCGCAGTCGGCTGTCCGAAAGAGCGACGCGCATGCCGAGGAGACCTTTGAGGAATTCACTGCCAGGTACGAGGAATCCGTGGAGGGGCTCGGGCGTCCGGGGAGGAATAGTGGGACCACAGACTGCGGACAGCCATTGAGCCGGATTGATTGCATCAGGAGCTACAGCGCTGACTCTTGTGTCTTGAATGCAGGTATGAGAAGGAATTCGAAAAGGTCAACGATGTCTTCGAGCTCCAGGTACGTTTGTTGTGCCCGGCATGCGGCCCGCACCGGTTTCGCCCGATGTGCACTGAGCCAGATGGTGGGCTGTTGTGCACCACAGCAATGCGCTAACATTCTCCAGCGAAACCTGAACAACTGCTTTGCCTACGATCTCGTCCCCTCTCCCGCAGTCATCACTGCCGCTCTCCGCGCCGCCAGGCGTGTCAACGACTTCCCCTCTGCTGTCCGAGTTTTTGAGGGTACGTTCTTCTCTGCACCCCACGCATGTGCATCTGGACATTTTGTGCAGAAGAAGAGCGTGGACATGTCAAAAAATGACGCAACCAGCGAGGCAGCTCTGGGCTAACATACGTCACAGGTATCAAGTTCAAGGTCGAGAACAAGGGTCAGTACGCCGAGTACCTCGAGGAGCTTGAGCCGATACGTGAGGAGCTCGGTATCCCCCTCAAGGAGACGCTGTATCCCGATGAGAAGTAGATGGTTCCAGGCTGATGTGCTCGCTATCTGATCATCTCCACCTTGACATCGAATACCTCGGAGCGACCCAATGTAAATGCCACATTTCAATTCCTTAACTAGATGAGAGACCAGAAGCGAGCGCAGCCTGTACAACTATGTGATGTATTGCAAATATGAATAGTAGTCAATGTGTGCTGAGGCGGGTTACGGTCATGGCGAAGCGTTAGCTAGACGCAGTAGGTAGACGGAAAGAGACTTCGAGTTCAATGGTCTCAATTGCCATGTGCCGTGTGCTTTGTAAACGTAGGGGCGTCCTGGTACACTGTATCTATTTTCGTTTACTGGCTGGTATGATTACTCGGTATGACGCCGCGCTGGTTTGAGAGCCATGGTCGTGAGTGCTCGTCTACTGAACTGGACATTTGAATATTGGCAATCCATTGTAATCAACACTTCCAAGGGTCGTGGGAAAGAAGACGATGACGGCGATACCTGTGTCTTGATCTGTTTATTCGCAAGCCGTTTGCTGGCTATGGACTGCTCTGACGCATGTTATCGGAGATTCACAAGCGCCGATAGCGCTAGGCCTTGACTGGAATAGTGGCAGGGGCCAATGCGGCCCAATCAGACGCCAGCAGCCCACGGAACTTGCCGGTTCAGAGTCCAGGGCATTTCCGCATCTGCAGTCGGTCGTCAGTTTGAGTGCTCTGCAGAGCTCCAGACGCGACCAATACCAGCACCTGCTGGACGCGCCCTCCACCCCCACCACCAGTCCTCATTTCTCCATAACGATTGTAATGATCACTCAGGGCTTCTCGCCTATCCCTTCCTTTTCAACCTTTTAATATTACCCATTGCAACCACCTACCGGCGTTCCAGTCACACCACTGGGCTGTCACCAACGTAAATGCGCCTGCCTTCTCTCACATCGGTCGCGCGACGCACTGGATAGCTACCACACGACATAGCGCAGCCTGAACGGGTTGCAAGCAGGGGGGACGAGCAGCTGCTAGCTGCAACCACCATCGTCATGGCGTCTCACAACTTCGAGGCCATGGCCTCCAAACTGGATGACCCCAACTCTGGTACAGGGCGCTCTACACCCGAGACGCACGATCGCACATGGTCGCGCACATCATCCAAAGCGAACAGAAGCTGACTGCCGCAGATCTCAGGGCCAAGGGTACGCAGGCAATCGAGATACGGGACAACATTGAGAGCTACTGTCAAGGGCAGCAGTACAGCGCATTCCTCAACCACCTCGTCCCCGTCTTCCTCAAGATACTCGATGGAAGCCCGGTCTTCATATCAACGTCGCCCGAACAGGTGAGCGCTCAGCTCTCAGCAACAGGGCAGCCTTCTGACTCAAAGACAGCGGATACGGAACTGCATCCTCGAAATTCTGCACCGACTGCCGATGAACCCGGCCGAGGCGATCGAACCACATGCGGCCAAAATTGTCGACAAGCTGATGAGCTTGGTCAAGTTGGAGAATGAGGACAACGCCGTCTTGTGTATGAAAACCATCATGGACTTTCAGCGCCACCAGACCAAGGTGCTGGCAGACCGCGTCCAGCCATTCCTGGACCTGATCCAAGAGATGTTTGAGACAATGGAGCAGGCAGTACACGACACATTCGATACCAGCGGACCTGCGTCAGCCTCGCAGGGCGTCCCATCGACACCGAACAACCACCAGTTCTCGCAATCTCCTCGGCCCAGTTCACCGGCAACCGCCCTTAACTCTGGCCCTGCAGGCGACCTTGGATCCGAACACCTACCCACACGCATGCTCCTGAAGGGAATGCAGTCGTTCAAGGTTCTCGCAGAGTGCCCGATTATTGTGGTATCGCTATTCCAGGCCTACAGGAACTGTGTGAACAAGAACGTGAAACTTTTTGTTCCGCTCATTAAGAATGTGCTTTTGCTCCAGGCGAAGCCGCAAGAGAAGGCGCATGAAGAGGCCAAGGCTCAGGGCAAGATATTCACCGGTGTCAGCAAGGAGATTCGGAATCGCGCGGCATTTGGTGACTTTATCACAGCCCAAGTTAAGACGATGAGCTTTCTGGCCTATCTCCTTCGGGTGTACGCAAACCAGCTGAACGACTTCCTACCAACTCTGCCGGATATTGTCGTTCGCTTGCTCAAAGATTGTCCACGGGAAAAATCAGGTGCACGTAAGGAGCTACTGGTTGCTATACGACACATCATCAACTTCAACTTTCGCAAGATCTTCTTGAAGAAAATCGACGAGCTCCTGGACGAAAGGACCCTCATTGGGGATGGCCTCACTGTATACGAAACCATGCGTCCACTTGCGTACAGTATGCTTGCAGATCTCATCCACCATTTGCGAGACTCGCTCTCGAAGGAGCAAATTCGCCGGACAGTCGAGGTATACACGAAGAACTTACATGACAGCTTTCCAGGAACCAGTTTCCAGACCATGAGTGCGAAACTCCTTCTGAACATGGCAGAGTGCATCGCAAAGCTGGAGCCGAAGGAGGACGCTCGGTACTTCCTGATCATGATTCTCAATGCCATTGGGGACAAGTTTGCTGCAATGAATCGCCAGTATCACAATGCCGTCAAGCTTTCAGCACAATACAGCCAACCATCAATCGATGCGACAGACGAGAACCACATGGCTGTTCAAGACAGTCCGCCAGACTGGGATGAGATTGACATTTTTAACGCAACACCGATCAAGACATCAAACCCACGAGACCGGAGTTCTGACCCAATTGCTGACAATAAATTCCTGTTCAAGAACTTACTACATGGACTCAAGAACCTCTTCTATCAACTTCGAGCGTGTAACCCAGCCAAGATAAAAGAAGAGATTGACCCAGCCAATGCCTCAGCCAATTGGCATGAGGTATCATTCGGTTACAATGCCGAAGAGGTGGAAGTTCTCATCAAGCTTTTCCGTGAAGGTGCAAAGGTGTTCCGTTATTACGGCACAGACAAGGCTCCCGAGGGCCAAGGACTGTCACCAGGAGATTTCATGGGCAACCAACATATGATGTCGAGCGGCAAGGAAGAGAAGGACCTACTGGAGACGTTTGCAACCGTCTTCCACCACATTGACCCGGCCACATTCCACGAAGTGTTTTCATCCGAGATACCCCATTTGTACGATATGATGTTCGATCACCCCGCATTACTCCACGTTCCCCAGTTCCTTCTCGCGTCCGAGGCCACATCCCCCAGCTTTTCGGGAATGCTGCTGCAGTTTCTCATGGACCGGATCGAAGAGGTTGGCACTGCAGATGTTAAAAAGTCATCCATTATGCTTCGCCTCTTCAAGCTGTCGTTTATGGCAGTTACTCTCTTTTCCGCTCAAAACGAGCAAGTCCTCCTGCCGCACGTCAGCAAGATCATCACCAAGTCGATTCAGCTGTCGACAACTGCCGAGGAGCCCATGAACTACTTTTTGCTACTTAGATCACTTTTCAGGAGCATTGGTGGTGGTAGGTTTGAGCACCTGTATAAGGAGATTCTTCCACTTCTGGAGATGTTACTGGACGTTCTCAACAACCTTTTGTTGACAGCACGCAAACCCGCCGAAAGGGACTTGTTTGTTGAACTTTCCTTGACAGTGCCGGCAAGGTTGAGCAACCTTTTGCCACACCTCAGTTACCTCATGAGACCGCTGGTCGTTGCCTTGCGAGCTGGATCTGATCTTGTAGGACAAGGACTTCGAACTCTGGAGCTTTGCGTGGATAATCTCACCGCAGACTACTTGGACCCTATAATGGCGCCCGTCATCGACGAACTGATGGCTGCTTTGTGGGAGCATCTGAAGCCAAATCCGTACAGCCACTTCCATGCCCACACTACAATGCGCATCCTTGGCAAACTAGGTGGCCGCAACCGCAAGTTCATCACAGGGCCGCCAGAGCTGAACTTCAAGCCGTATTCGGACGACCAAGCATCTGTTGATATACGTTTGATTGGATCCACCAAAGACCGCGCCTTTCCTGCGGCAATTGGAATCGACACTGCAATTGCAAAGCTTCACGAGATTCCCAAGACACCCGCAGCGAAGAAGTCCGACACGTTCCACAAGCAACAGGCTCTCCGCCTCATCACAGCACACACAAAGCTGCTGGTCGGCTTCGATAGCTTGCCCGAGGATTTTGCGCAACTGGTCCGCCTGCAAGCTAATGACTTGTGTGCTAAGAAGTTCGATGCCGGATATGATATTTTGACTGCGTCTGAGCGCGAGAAGTCAATCACCAAGAAGAGCATGGAACAAGAGACCTTGAAGAAGCTGCTCAAGGCTTGTATCTTTGCTGTGTCTATACCCGAGCTGAAGACCGACGCTGAGGCTTTAGTGAGCAACCTGGCAAAACATTTCACGCTTCTACAGCTCGCAACCCAGTTTGCAATACTCAAGCACAAGACCAAGCCGTTTGATGTGCATTCGGGCGAAGGACCTGTTGTGATCGAAACAGACGTCATTTCAGAAGCGATTGGCGAATCTCTTGCGTCAGAGCATGCTGCTGTGCGCGACGCTGCTGAGCAAGCCATCATAACCATGCGAGATGCCACAAAGGCTATTTTTGGGAATGACGGCGCACTCGACAAGTTCGTCTTCTTCACTGAGCTTTCGAGCACCTTCTGCCACAACTGCCATGCGGATGACTGGTTCATGAAGTCTGGTGGAACTCGGGGTATTGAGATCATGATCAAGCAGCTGGGGCTTCCTCTGACTTGGCTCGTTCCCCGTCACTTCGAGCTTGTCCGGGCTTTGAACTTTGTGATGAAGGACATGCCCATCGATCTCGACTCGAAGACACGCATACAAGCGGAAGGACTCATCCAGGACCTCATTCGGCGATGTCATAAAAAGATCAAGAAGGAAGATTTTGACAAGGGCAACAACATCACGCTGAGACTGTGTCAGCAGCTTGTGGGTGATTTGTCGCACATGAACAAGAATGTGCGAGAAGCGACACAAAAGGCTTTCCAGGTGCTATCCGATGTTACCGAGTTGAGTGTGAGCGACCTCATCACACCCGTCAAAGACAGACTTATCCTGCCCATCTGGACTAAGCCACTCCGAGCGTTGCCTTTCAGCATTCAGATCGCCTACATCGACGCCATCACCTTCTGTTTGAAACTCAAGAACAACATCCTTGAGTTCAATGAGCAGTTGACGAGGTTGCTGATGGAGTCCCTTGCACTGGCAGATGCGGAAGACGAGCATCTTGCAAGCAAGCCCTTTGAGCAAAGGAATGCAGATCACATCGTCAGCCTGCGAGTGGCCTGTATTCGTCTTCTCTCCACTGCCCAGAGCTTCCCCGAGTTCAGCACGACACCGCCAAACCAGACCTTCCTCCGAATCATCGCCGTCTTCTTCAAGTGTCTCTACTCCAAGTCCCCCGAGGTTATTGAGGCAGCCAACATTGGTCTCTCGGGCGTCATCTCAGCAACAAACAAGCTACCCAAGGATGTTCTACAAAGCGGGCTCCGTCCCATTTTGGTTAATCTCCAGGACCCACGAAAACTCTCCGTGGAAAACCTTGATGGCCTGGCGCGTTTGTTGAAGCTTCTCACCAACTACTTCAAGGTTGAGATTGGAACCCGCCTTCTCGATCACCTTAAGAGCATCGCCGATCAGAACAGTCTCCAGAAGATCTCGTTTACCATGATTGAACAAAACCCAAAGATGAAGATTGTGACTGGCATCTTCAACATCTTCCATCTGTTGCCTCCGGCGGCGGCTACTTTCCTCAAGCAAATTATTGAAAAGGTCATCGAGTTGGAAACTGCGCTCAGGAGGACTCATTACAGCCCATTCAGAGAGCCTTTGATCAAGTACCTCTGCATGTATCCAAAGGAAGCCTGGGATCACTTTGCTCCCAATTTGAAGGACCACACCCAAGGACGCTTCTTTGCCCAGCTCCTCGTAAACCCAGCTAGCGAGGCTCTCCGCAAGCAAGTCACAGAAGATGTTCCCGGCTTCTTGAGCGCCATCAGCCCTGAGGGTACCGAGAAGGAGAAATGCCAGGCTCAGCTCAACGGCATTCACATTGCATATGCTCTATGCCAATGTGAGGAAACCAGCAAGTGGCTTGTTTCGGATGCAGACCTACGAAAAGGCCTCTTCGAAGCGGCCCGATCATTGGAGAAGAAGCTCAGGGCAAACAGCCTAGACGCAGACTTGCGCTTGGCAACTGAACAGGCTGGTGACCAGATCATGATCATCTTCACCACATACCTGAAGCATGAGCCGAGCAGCTTGGACTTTTTCTTTGAGCTTGTCGATGCTGTTACATCTGAGGAATTGAAGGCTTCACCAAGGTTGTTCGATTTCATCTACGAACAGATCATCTCCAGTGAGTCTGTGGACTATTGGAAGACAATTGTGAACAAGTGTATCGACCTTTACACATCTCGCAACTCTTCGCAGAAGACCAAGACTTTCATCTTCCGGAACATTGTCAACCCCATCTTTGCCATGGATGTGAAGCGCAACTGGGAAATCTTGTTTGATCAAAAGACCAAGGGTACCAAGTTCATGGACAAGGCCATGACGGAAGCTATCCACAGCCGGCTATGGAAGCCACAATCCACGCTTGAGCTGTCCGAGGACACTGCCCAGCTTGGTGTAGACCACTCACGGATGGAGCTTCTTCAACTCACCACACTCCTTCTGAAGCACTACCCTGGTATGATACAAGATGCCCGCAAAGACGTCATCAAGTTTGCCTGGAACTACATCAAGCTTGAAGACATCATCAACAAGTACGCTGCTTACGTGCTCATTGCGTTCTTCATTGCTGCATTCGACACGCCTGTGAAGATTGCCGTGCAGGTCTATCAGGCACTCCTCAAGGCACATCAAAATGAGGGCCGCTCACTTGTGATGCAAGCACTGGAGCTCATGGCTCCTGTCCTGAAGAAGCGGATGCCGGCAGTGCCTGGAGCGGACTCCAAGATGCCTCGCTGGATTCAGTTCCCCCGCAAGATCCTTTCGGAGGAGAGCTCCAATCTACAGCAGTTGATGAGCATCTTCAACTTTTTGGTGCGGCATCCAGATCTTTTCTACGAGGGTAGAGAGCATCTGTCACCCATCATCATCACTGCGCTGTCCAAGATTGCACAACCTCCTAACCCATCGACCGACGCAAAGAAGCTGGCATTGAACTTGATCAGCCTCATCAGGACCTGGGAGGAACGCACAGCAAGTGAGAGCACTGGCTCATCGGATCGGTCATCAGAGTCCCCGCAAGCTATTAAGAGGCGTGCAGATGGATCTGCCGTGGTCCCAGCCTCCTCACCAAAGGGTTTTGTTGCAGGAGCTGGAATCCGGATGATGCTCATCAAGTACCTCATACAGTTCGTCGCGTACCTGCCAGAGCGCTTTCCCGTCGCTTCGCCGAAATCCAAGGAGACTGCCATGGTCGCCCCTAACGCTCCACAGCCTGCTGAAATCTGCAGGAAGGCTGTGCAGCTATTGCACGACTTACTCTCACCACGACTATGGAGCGACCTGGATCTCGACCTCATGCTTACCAAGAAGATTGAGGAGATTCTTCTGACGGAAATGAAGCAGGAAGACAAAGCCGAGGTTTTCACCACACGTATGATCAACACGCTCCAGATTGTCAAGGTCATCGTCAATGTCAAGCCTGACGACTGGGTGCTGCAACGCATCCCCCAGTTCCAAAAGATCCTGGACAAGCCCATTCGATCTGAGAACCCCGATGTACAAGCAAGCCTCCACGCGACGGATGAATCTGAGGATGGTGCCATGAAACTGAAGCCTATTCTCAAGCGCATACTCGAGGTGATGCCTGAGCCTGTTACAGATGACGAAGGTAACATTGAAGAATCGGCCTCGACCGAATTCGTCAACTTCCTTGGTACAATCGCAACCGAGGCACTCTCGAACAGCTCTTACGTTAGCGCCATAAACATCCTCTGGACCTTGTGCCAGAAACGGCCCGAGGAGATTGACCAGCACATCCCAGCAGTCATGAAGGCATTTCAGGGCAAGATGGCTAAAGATCACCTCGCGAGTAACAGTGGCGTTCCGGGACAGCCTGTACCGCCCGCCATGCGCCCTGAAGGTGCCAACCCTCCTACCGATCCTCGCGAAATCGAGATTCAAACAGATCTTGTGCTCAAGACTGTCGACATCTTAGCTGCCCGGATGAACGAACTTGGGGAGAACCGACGGCCGTACCTTAGTGTCCTTGCATCTCTTGTCGAGCGATCGCAGACTAACTCGGTCTGTATGAAGGTGCTGGATCTTGTTGAAGAGTGGATCTTCCGCTCTACTGAGCCTGTGCCAACACTTAAGGAGAAGACTGCAGTGCTCAGCAAGATGTTACTTTTTGAACACCGGCCTGACACATCACTCCTAACCCGCTTCTTAGATCTCGTCATCCGCATCTACGAGGACCCCAAGATTACCAGGAGCGAACTCACTGTGCGTATGGAACATGCTTTCTTGATTGGCACGCGCGCACAGGATGTCGAAATGCGCAACAGATACATGGCCATCTTCGACAAGAGCTTGAGTCGTACTGCGGCCAGTCGTCTAAGCTACGTGCTAGCTTCTCAGAACTGGGACACACTTTCTGACAGCTACTGGCTGAGTCAGGTCATTCACCTCATGTTCGGCTCAGTTGAGATGAATATGCCAGCGCAGCTTCATTCCGAGGACTTTCGCCTCATGCAGCCCAGCATGCTATTCGGGACTTATGCTCGAGACCCTAGGATTGGAGATGTCATGGTTGATGATGAGTTGGAGAACCTCGTCAACAGCCATCGCCGCTTCTGCAATCAGCTCGTCGATGTCAAGATCAAGGATATCTTTGAGCCACTCGGGCATTTGCAACACACTGATAGCAACCTAGCACACGAAATCTGGGTGGCTTTCTTCCCGCTAGCATGGACTGCACTCACCAAGGACGACCAGAGCGACCTCGAGAAGGGCATGGCTGCTTTGCTTACGAAGGACTACCACTCGCGTCAGCTGGACAAGCGCCCCAACTGTGTCGCAACCATGCTCGATGCCATCGTTCACTCTCGACCACGGGTCAAGTTCCCGCCTCATATCATGAAGTACTTGGCTCAGACGTACAATGCCTGGTACACTGCTGCTGTGTACATGGAAGATTCCGCCATTTCACCTGTCGTTGATGTTGAGAAGCTACGCGAGAGCAACCTGGATGCTTTGCTGGAGATCTACAGTGGACTGCAAGAAGACGACCTCTTCTACGGCACATGGCGTCGTCGCTGTCAATTCATTGAAAGCAATGCTGCTCTTTCGTACGAGCAGTGTGGCATTTGGGACAAGGCGCAGCAAATGTACGAGGCTGCGCAGATCAAGGCACGAACGTCTGTTCTTCCCTTCAGTACCGGCGAGTACATGCTCTGGGAGGATCACTGGGTCATCTGCGCGCAAAAGTTGCAACAGTGGGAGATTCTGAGTGACTTTGCTAAGCACGAGAATTTCAACGATCTTTACCTGGAGTCGACCTGGCGGGTCTTTGATGCCTGGCAGAATGCCGAGACACGCGAACAGCTTGATGCGACTATCAAGGCTGTCAGTGACGCGCCGACACCGCGAAGAGTCTTTTTCCAGACTTTCATGTCACTGCTCAAACTCCACAACAAGCAGGAGTCGCAGCCAGAGTTTCACCGACTTTGCGATGAGTCTATCCAGCTTTCTATTCGGAAATGGCACCAGCTTCCACGACGCATCACGCAAGCGCACATCCCGCTCCTGCAGCACTTCCAGCAGCTGGTTGAGTTGCACGATGCTAGTGTCATCTGCCAGAGCCTTGCTCAGACCACTCAAGTCAATCTGGATGTCAAATCACAAGAGCTTAAGCTGCTCCTCAGCACCTGGCGCGATCGCCTGCCAAATTTCTGGGACGATATCAATGCATGGCAGGATCTCGTCACTTGGCGTCAACACATCTTCCAGCTCATTAATGGTGTCTACCTGAACCTGTTGCCTCCCAACCAGAACAATGCCAGCGGCAACTCCTTTGCATACCGAGGCTACCACGAGACTGCATGGATCATCAACCGCTTTGCACATGTGGCTCGTAAACACAACCTGCCCGAAGTTTGCATCAACCAGCTGGGACGCATCTACACTCTTCCTAATATTGAGATCCAAGAAGCATTCCTGAAATTGCGCGAACAGGCAAAGTGCCACTACCAGATCAAGGCTGATCTCAATAGCGGTCTGGATGTGATTAACAACACCAATCTTAACTATTTTGGTCCAAATCAGAAGGCAGAGTTCTACACTCTCAAGGGCATGTTCCTGGCCAAGTTGGGGCAGAAGAATGAAGCCGGCGAGGCTTTTGGAACCGCGCTGTACTTTGACATTAAGCTGCCAAAGGCATGGGCAGAGTGGGGACGTTACAACGACATGCTGTTCAAGGAGGAGCCGCAAAACCTGGAGAGGGCCGAGGCAGCGCTCAGCTGCTACCTGGAAGCTGCCAGTCAGTTCAAGAATGCCAAGTCGAGGAAGCTGCTTGGGCGTGTCTTGTGGCTGCTCAGCTTGGACAACCCGGAGCGGAAATTGGCGGAGAAGTTTGAAGAGTTCAAGGGCGATACGCCAGCGTGGTACTGGATTACCTACATTCCGCAGCTGTTGAACAGTCTCTCGCGACAGGAAGCGCCTATTGCGAGGTCCATTCTCGGAAAACTGGCCAAGACGTACCCACAGGCGCTGTACTGCCATCTCCGAACGACACGAGAGGATATGGCCGTGCTCAAGAAGACGCACGAGGCAAAGGAAGCTAAGGAAAAGGCGGCGAAGGCGAAGCAGCAACAGGCTCAAGCCTCACCAGCCGTGAAGCAGGGTTCACCTGAAACGCAAGCTGGTTCCGGTGCCGCCAACCAGCCAGCGAACGCAGGCGCCGACACCAAGCCTGCTGCGAATGGAGCAACCAACGGTGCAGTTAAGACGGAGGGTGCAGCCCAAGGCAGTCCGAAGGGCAATGGCGTACCTGCCGCGGCCGATGCTCCTCCAGCACCAAAGAAGCCATGGGACCACGTGGAAGAGATCAGTGCCATTCTCAAGACGGCATTCCCTCTACTTGCACTATCCATGGAGACGATGCTCGACCAGATTCAGAAGAACTTCAAGTGTCCGCCTGACGAAGATGCTTACCGACTTATCGTGGCCTTGCTCAATGATGGCCTTTCTTATGTTGGTCGTCAGCCCAATCTCTATGCGAGAGAAATCAAACTGCCAGCATCGACCGAGGCTAACATCACGCGTTTCGCTGAGTCTGTTCTGCCACCACACATTCGTAAAGCTTTTGAGAAGGACTTTGTCACTAACAAGCCAACCATGTACGAATACATCCAGAAACTGCGTACATGGCGGAATCGCTTTGAAGAAAGGCTCGATCGCAGGAAGCTCACGGTGCCACTTGAGCAGTACACGCATCAGCTTAGCGAGTTCCGCTTCCTCAAGTTTGACGATGTCGAAGTGCCTGGACAGTATCTGCAACATCGAGACAAGAACTCCGACTTTGTGCGCATCGAGCGCTTCCTTCCTGATGTGGAGCTGGTGCGTGGCATCGGTATCTGTCATCGCCGTCTCAGGATTCGCGGCCATGATGGAAGCATTCATCCTTTTGCCATTCAATTCCCTGCTGCTAGGAGCTCACGGCGTGAAGAGCGCATCTTGCAATTGTTCCGTATCTTTAACGGCATCTTGGCAAAGCGCAAAGAGAGCCGTAGGAGGAACCTGCAGTTCCACCTTCCACTTATGATCCCGATTACGCCTAGTGTGCGCATGGTACAGGATGATGCGTCGTACATCAATATGCATGGCATTTATGAGGACTATTGCCGTAAGAATGGCATCAATAAAGATGAGCCCGTACTCTTTAGTATCGAGAAGCTTAGAGCTCTCCAGCCCGTAAGTTCTGACAATGATTCTCTGGACTACCAACAGTTACTAATGCAGCTGCAACAGAAAAACATCGATCACGCTAATAGCATCCGCCTCGAGACTTTTGCTGCTGTCCAAGAAAAATATGTGCCTCCGACAGTCATCCAGGACTACTTCCGCGCCACCTTCCCCACTTTTGATGACTTCTGGCTCTTCCGCCGTACCTTCAGTTACCAGCTGGCCGCTCTCACTTTCATGACCTATGTCATGCACATGAACACGCGTTTCCCGCAGAAGATTAGCGTGTCTCGATCCAGCGGCCGTATCTGGGGCTCTGAATTGATTCCCAGCATGGCGGTCGGCAAGCCAATTCTCCACAACTCGGAGCCCGTGCCTTTCCGTCTGACGCCCAACCTGCAAACCATAATGGGCCCGCTCAATCTCGAAGGCATCTTCGCACCCAGTGTCATGACGGTGGCTCGATGCTTGATTGAACCCGAGGGCGAGTTGGAGATGCAGCTTAGTATCTTCATGCGCGATGAGATGAACCACTGGTTCACAAGTCAACACAAAGCAGCCCAGTTGACACCCGAAGTCCTCAGGGAGAGTGTGCAGAACAACAGCGATCTGATTGTCAAGAGAGCTAGCGCGATCGGCAGTCTGCCGACTGGAGCCAATCTGCCGGCGAACCAAACTGTGGTCGATCTTGTTGCCGTAGCGGTGCACCCGGCTAAACTGAGTCAGTGCGACCCGCTTTGGATGGCGTACTTGTAAGCAGGAGTACATGGGTTGCGACATGGGGTTACGGTGTTTTGGGGGTGTGTTGGATTGGATTATACATGTATTCTTGGGTGGTTGGTTTGACCATTTCTATCCAGCGTTGACGTTTGGGTCAATGGAGTGTGGAATGGTGACATACCGTGTATCTGTGTTTTTTCTCTTCTTCTTTCGTTTCTAGCAATGGCGCTCTCGGAGGGTGAGGGAAAAGGAAAGCGCAGTTGATTCAACGTGTTTTTTTTTCATTCCTATGGGGTTTTCCTTTGGACAACGTTGTGATGGGGGTCTGTTTTTATATTCTTGTGTCAGGAATTGACTCGCACTTTTTTTTGGTATGCAATGCGATGAAGTGGCTGAATGTGTTTTTAAGGTACTCTTTTGGAGGGAGTGTTTATGGGTATACTTGGGTTCAATTGGAATGAGAGATATAACAATTCAAGGTTATGACTATGTGGCGTGGCGTTGGGTAGAAGCAAATTCATTGTTATTTTCATTTTGTGAGGGGTGGATGGCAAGATCGTGTCGCAACGCAGGGTGGATGTGGGATGGGACTTGAATAGTTAATCAGCGGTATGTACTGGTTTGATCAGATAATGACTATGAGGAAAGCCCTCTGTCTCTTCTCAGATTGTTTAACCTCATCGGATAGCAGATGATGCGAATACTCTACAAGTCTTTTGTGTATACAAAGTAACTGCCGGGCCTGCGCGCTGACATATACTATTCCATGCCTAGTACGTAATCAGTAGAATGCTGATTACTCGTACCTTTTCGGTTGCAGTAGCCTAATGGTATAGAGCTGAGCTTCTGACAGCAACGCCGCAATACGTTTCTCGATGAGGAAAAAGAAAGGCAATAGCTAAGATCTTGATTGGCACTTGCACGTTTGCATGAGACAGGATGGATTTCAGGACAGGGTTTCTCAAAATAGGCTCTAGTAACTATCTTGGTATAATCTCGGGAGGCTCGATATCGGCATTCTATGTACGCGCTTGTCAGATTAGGTCGTTGTCAGATAGTATTATCGTGCGTACTACGTACAGGATTAGTACAGTACATTAGTGATTACATATGTCATTCGGGCCGACCCCGTCCATTTCATCATTACAAGGCTTGCAGAATTACGTAGCGATCAGAGTGGGCCTTGGATCGAGCTAGCACATGACTCGATGCCCCTTTTTTTTACCTCAGTCCTACATGTTGTGAATGCTAAAACCTAAAACAGAACTTATACTTACATTTGGATATACAGGCGGCTATTATAAGTGACTTGTTAGCGCAACAACTGAACTGCAGACTTGACGAGCACATCTATATTGCTCCAGTTTACAAACCGAGTATACCTAGGCAAAGGCGACTGAAGCCAGACCTGGAGATGTTGTTTCACCGCTATTGTACGTAGAAAAAAAACGCAGATTTACGTTGCTAACGGCGGTACTAATAAACACCAAGACTTGGATTCTGAGGCACCACGTATATCTGTGGGCTAGGAAAACATTAGGCAGACTCGTCAGCGTGTTGTCTAAATCCTCCGCTTAATCCACATTCGCTACCCTATAAGACAGTATTGCAGATAAATAGGGTTGCCAGGCCTCTTTACTGAATTTTTTTTTAGCGTACACTAAAGTCTATAACTGTTCTCCTTCTTTCACTCATATACCTATACAACTTCCACTATTACCCCGTTATACATACGCGAATTGCCACTTGTATCAAAGTAGGTTCTGTCTTTTCTCTGTTTCAGCATGCAGATAGGTTAATGGCTATATGCAGAACAAAGCTTTGTTGTTCAACCTTTGTAGATGCAATTTTTTTTCTTTTCCCACTTTTTTCTAGGAGGGGGATACTTGATTTTTCCATTTACGTGAAAAAAGATGAAATGATACTAAGTATACTGGTATATTTTGCTCTGACATGCCAGATTAACGTCGCAATGCATGCAGCGTTACTTACTAGATTTCGAGTCTTCTAAAGAGGTGAACAGTACTTTGATCTGATCAATCCTGCCGCAATCCTGCTTCACTTGTTGGTCTGGACAGCTTCGGCCACTATTGCAAGAACCAACTTGGAAATAAGCAGACATTCTAAGAGAATATGTTTTGCTATATTATTGAACATCAGCGCGCTTACATAAATGTGAAGTATGTCATGTCTCTGCACAGACGTCGCTTAACATTTCCTTTTCGGGATGTAACGAAGCGCGATGGACACGGGTAGTGGTGTGTTGCGACGATCGGATGTCTGTGCGTACGAGATTTAGTTACTTATTAGGTAGTTTGCTGACATGGGGGGTGTCCTGCTGCGAAGAAGATAGCTGGAGGTATAACGTATTCATTACATGTATTAAGAAAAGGATTTGAGAGAATTATAGGAGCTAATCAAGCCAGTAGGTATAACATTGATACGGGAAAAGAAACAATCGTATTACTGGATTTTGGCATTTAAGCCAAAAGCCCAAGCGGGCAGAGCCGCACCGTCATTCCTTCTACACTGGCGCCACACGCGGAATCCCTCGAATACCATCCTGGGCAGATGCTGCGGCGCAGGTCTGTTTTCAGGCCTAGCCGCAAGACAGTGTCTGGCGAGCTGCACAAGCTGCAAGGAACCCGTGTACTGGCGGCCCAGCACCAGCTCGCTGTGGATAGCGTCCGAGGGGACGTGGGTCATCCTGGCTAGACAGTGCAGGACGACGCCGATGCCGAAGACGTCGCTTTGCGCACAGAAGGTTTCTTCGGGTGGCTCGAAGCGCGGGTCGCCTTGGCCGAGCAGGTCCTTGTGGCGCGAATAGAGATCCGTGGGTGAAACAACACAGCCAAAGTCGCCTAGCACAATAGATGGATACACCGTGAGAGCGTCGGCGGCCATAGGGTTAGTCCACGTCATAAAGACGTTGCCGGGCTTGATGTCGCGGTGGAGAAACGGGATCCAGCTGGGGCTCTGCTGTACGCTTCGCCCCTGGATGGCGCGCTGCCGTGTGCCGGCGTAGTCCTGGCCTGTTGCGAGAAAACACACGGCGAGTGCGAGGTCCCAGAATACGCGCCACAGAAAGCCCTCGTCCTGGAGACGTGTGCTGCGTGCGTTGTAGCGGAGGATCAGGGCGTCGAGGCTGCCCAGCTCGCAGTGCTGCATGTAGATGGAGGCATAGGGCCCGCTGACGTGGTATTTGAAGATGTGGACGAGGTGTGGATGGCTCTGGCATAGCAGCATGGCTTGGATTTCGCGCCTGGCGTAGCCTGAAGTGACGATGCGCTTTTCAATGTACACTTTGTTGGTGGCTAGGTGCTTGCTGAGGTATATGCCGGCATTTTGAGTGCCGTTGTCGCCGCCATGAGTTAGCTTCTTGATGGTCTGGAATTCTTTACAGCGGTGGTTCGCAGACATGGCGGGTTAGCTGTATAGCTATTTGATATATCATGCCTTTGGGAACTTCCGCTTGTAAGGCATGGCGAGTGCGGCTTGTTTTGAGGCTGTGGCGACATGGTGTGTTGTTCATGGTAGCTGGCACGTTGCGACGCAGCGTTTGTGAGAAGCGTGAATGAAACTATGTTCCAATCCGATCAAACGCTCGTCTCTCGAGTTGAATTCGGCCCCCGATTCAATGTTAGCCGCAAGCAGCTCACTGACGTCATCTCACATGGCGTCCAAGCATATGTACATAAGCCTCTAGCCCAGTGCTAGGCAAATCGGGTAATGTACCAGGTTGGCCCGTACCTAGCGCGATGCAAAAGGTGCAATCTACATCTGCCGTGCCGGGTCCAGCAATATCACAACTGGGGTAAACGTGCGCCCGATTGCGGGGTCTCAAACACTAAACCCGTTCAGCATCAGCCTCGGATCCCGACCACGGCACCAAATGCATCTCATGGCAGATGTTGGAAGTGGGGACTCCGTCGGTAGATATCGAGCACATATATAAGTAAGCGTGGGGGAAGCTATCTGTAACGTCTTCAGTTTCACCGCGCCTTTTGTTAGTCTCCTGGTAGCAACATATAACTAGTTGCTGTTCTCTTACACGCCATGAGATTTCTATATCCCATTGCTACCGCCCTCGCTGCGCTCACCCAGCTCACCATGGCCGCCCAGGAGCCCACGCCGCCGAATCTGACCTTTGTCTACAGCATGGAGGCGGAGCTGGCCAATGCTATTCCCATCAAAAACATTCCCGATGGAAAAGACCGCCAGATTATCCCCATTACCGGAGGCTGGTTCAAGGGCCCACGAGTTTCTGGTGAGTAAAAACCAGTGGCATATTAGCCATCCACTTCATGCCAAGAGAGAGAAGATTTTGCCGTAGACACAGCTCTTCATGATTCTGGACGCCACGCTTCTGCACACCAGGCGCTAACATCGCTCAGGCAAGATCCTCAACATTGGCGCCGACTGGCTTTTGGTCGACAGCCAAGGCAAAGGCCGTCCGGATACCCGATATGTTCTCCAGACGGACCAGGGCGAAATCATCTACGTGCGAACCGAGGGAGTGCCGCCAAAGATCGCAAATGGGCCCAACATGCTGAGGGCCAAGTTTGAGACGAGCACAAACAGCTCCGTCGCCTGGATGAACAACATCGCAGCTGTAGCCGTGCTGAGGGTAAAGAACCCCAATGCCGTCTTGATTGACATGTGGGAGGTACGTTTATGCTTTGATTGAAAGGAAATGAGCATCTGAAAGCTAATTGAATACAGGCGTCGCCGGCTCAGTAGGATTTGCATGGTCGGGTGAAATGTATATATGCAATACAATCTAAATATTGATTAGCGCCTGAATGCAAGAAAAAAAAGTTACATTGAGCGTTGTATACATGTACCACAAAGTATGCACGTGTAGAGAGCGAGCGGCAGTGGCGTTTTGTGGCTTGTAGCCGAAAATCCGAGATTGGCTCTGTGTGAAATTAGCGCGGGCTTAGCGTCCCGACTTCGCTCTCTACACTGCACCAAACTTCTGCGGCTGTACTGTGTTATTCGTCTAGTACCACATCTTACATTTCACATCTCACTAATACCATTATCATCCAAGTGTGTAAAGAGAAAAGGGGAAGAAGAAAAAAAGGCAGAATGGAATCACCATGGCACCTCCTCCCAGCAGACCTAATCGAGTTGCAAATCGGACAAATCGACCTCCTGCTCGCCATGTACCCGGACGAAACCATGATCGAAGAGGACTCAAAAGGCGTGCTTGACATACTCCGCGACGTCACCACCACTAGCGACACAGAGAAAGCCGAAGCCGTGGTTAAATCCACACCGAGTATCTCCGTGCTGCTCGACCTTCCGATCTCGCTAGAAGGAGAAGATGAGGAAGAGATGGATTCATCACGCAATCCCGCCGCCAAAAGACTGCTACGAATGGACCTCGGCATCCCCTTTGCATACCAGGGCAACTCGACACCACTGGATGCGCCGAATGTCAAAGTGCGAGTGCAGCAGCCGAACTGGATGAGCAAGGCAGCAACAGCGCAGCTCACATCCTGCAACAACAACAACAACAACTCCTCCTCAGACGCGGACGCAGATTCAGATCTCCTCAGCACCATCGACAGTATCCGGGAAAAAGCCCGCGCCCACCTCTCCAGCACCCTCAAACAAGAACACGACACACACAACGCCAACGGAAACCAGCAAAAACAGCAGTTAGTAAGAGTATTCTTCTACTTCCCCTCCATCAGCACGCGCTCCAAGCGCACAGACCTGATAACGCTGGCACCCGTCTACCGTCTCACTGGCTTCCTCTTCGCGGGGAAACCAGGGTTACTCTGTGTCGAGGGGACATCGACTGATATCGATGCGTATATGCGGTATATCAAGACGGAGAGCTGGGGCGATATCCCTGCACATCATAAGAAGGTTAGTGAGCGGTATCGCGAGGAGTGTGGTGGTGGTAGTGGTGGTAGTGCGGGTGGAGGCCGCGTGTTTGAGGATATGCGCGAGATTACCGATGTGGTGGGGGAGAGGCGCGGGACGAGGGCGAATAGAGGCGATATGAAGGCTGTGGAGGAGTGGCTTGTTGAGAGGGGGCTTGGCGAGGCGTTTGCAAAGGTATTGATGTAGTGTGGTGGTGGGTGGTGGATCATGGTATGTAGAGCTTGTGAGGTGCATGTTGACGTGAAACTTAGGCATGTTTGAAACATTGCAATGTGTGGTAGTTATCGGCTAGTTTGTTTGAAATGGTTGTGTTGTACGATTTTTTTTGTATTCGTCTCTAAAATGTACCGATACATCGTTACTTGTGTATATCCTGGAAATGGCCATGACGCATGACTCCCAAACGAAAGAGAGAGAGAGAGAGAGAGAAAGGAAATCTAGCACAGGCCAGTCAAAACGGCCATACCAGCAGTATGATCTACACCCGCAATCGCGCTGCCCTCATCTTGCAGCAACTTGTCGATGCGAACCTTGTTCTTGATTCTCCAGAATGCTTGCGCTCCTTCGACAAACCTCCGGCTAATGTCCTCGACCTCGTCTGCTGGACAAGCAGCAAAGCATAGTCTGAAGCACTTGAAGCTGTCTTTTTCCCGAATCTCGTCACTGGTTGCAAACATGCTGCCAGGAGCCACAAGACAGAGGAAAGGCTTGGTTGTCCAGAGCACCCAGAGGGCACGGGATAGGCGGGTGGGTGCAACTTGTCTGCAGAGCGGGTGCGAGGAAAAGTCGAAGCGAACCCATACAAACATGCCGCCAAGTGGGCGGACAAATGTGTACATCGGCGTCTTCTCGACAACCGCCCAATCGTCTCCTTCAGTAATGTCGACAAGACTCTGGCGGCGACCAGCCTTGACCACCTCTTTCCCGGCATCAAGGGTATCACACATCTTCTGCATGCGTCGCTCGTAGTTGCCTCTCAAGCCTTCAAGCCAGCGCACCCAGCCGTCGACTTTCCAGCCGCTTCCGTCTGCCGCGCCACCCTTGCCAGCGTCTTTTGATGACTGTGGACCCATGAGCAGTTCTGCAATCATCGACTGCACGAAACCAGACGGCTGCTGAGTCGAAGTCTCTGTAATGCGCAGGAGGCGCTCAATGAGGGCAGGCTGTGCGGTAATCCAGCCAAGGCGGCATCCTGGAGCGACCGTCTTGGAGAAAGTGTCGAGGCGTACTACGCGACCCTGGTAGTCAACGCTGAGATATGAGGGAATCAGGCTGTCCAAGAACTCGAAACCTGACGACTTCTTGGGCTTTGGGGGCGTGGAACCGCTAGGCAGCGACGAGGGGTACTGGAGGTACCAATATGGGTCATCTTCTACAATGACAATATCGTACTTTACGCAAAGCGCATAAATGTCGGTGCGCCGCTGCACAGACAGGGTGCCTGACGTGGGGTTCTGACCAATGGTCACCGTGTACATGATGTGGGGTCGGCGTCCCTTTGTCAAATCCCAGTTATCCAGGACATCCTGCAGACCGCCTGGTCCGGATACCCTCATGCCCTCGTCGTCAATGGCAACGGGTACAATGTTGAAACCTCGTGGCTTGGCAGTCTGGATGGCGTTCATGTAGGCGTATTTTTCGCATAGCAAGCCTGGTCGCTCATGGAGCGGGTCGTGTTCTGCTGCCCACTCGTCGCTGAGGGCGGTCAGGGTCTTGGAAAAGCCATCGGTGGAGCCACATGTCAAGAGGATCTCGGGGCCGTCCTTGTATGGAACAAACGGGTGTAGGTTTTCACGTGTGAACTGGCGAATGAACTGATACAGAGCCGGGTAGCCCTGGGCCTGGCCATACTGCAGTGCCGACTTGAGATCGATCATGCGCAGAGGATCCTGCACATTCGAGTCCTTGGGCACCACCAAACGCGACGAAGGTGGCGCCTTGCGCTTACGTGGCGAGGCCCATGGTAATCGCCAGGACGGGGGGTCGTCGGGAGGGGGGTCGAGGGGCTTGTTTGGGGAGGGCTGCCATCGGTCCGGGCGGGCGACTTTGGCCTCAAGGGTGTCGTATGGAAAGTAGTGGTCGTCGGGCAGACCTGGCACATGTTAGCTGCTGCGGGCTGGCATGACGCTTGTTTGCACGTACCTCCAGCTAATTGAGCAATGCCGGGAATGCTAAAGTATTTGTAGAAGTCTTTGATGGACGAAGCTTGTCGGGCTTTTGTGCTGCGTGACAGCAAATGGGCGAGACTGACGGGTTCGGGCAAAGAGGTAGGGTCTTCTGGGGATTGCGCCATGGCGGGCAGCAAGCTAGTAGCAGCAGCAGCAGCAGCAGTAACAGTAGCAGTAGTCAGCCTTGGTATACGTCTCGAAGAGGCCCAAGGCGACAATGGCAGTCAGAGGAAGACTAGAGGAGAGCAGAAGGATGGAGTCGCGTTGCCGCCCGTGGAATGGTCCGAGGTCCCGATAAGGGACTGATTAGAAATGGTGACGGGACGGGCTTAAGAGTGACCTCAGCACAGGTCGAGGCGGGCAGCTGCATGGATGCGTGTCGCAGCTAGACCGCAACGGGCCAGCCGTGGGCGTTGTCACTGTAAGGTAGCCTGGCGCATACCATGGCATACCATGGCCGTCAAGCTGCCACGACATGCATGGGACGAATCCACGCAACACGTCTGAATGCTGTCGCATCAACAAGTCGCACCGGCCCGCCCTCTGCTCTGCCACGTGCGGCGACTGCTGGTCGTGGGCTAGCGGCTTGGCGCCGTGACGGTGACGGTGAGCCGCCTCCCTCGCACGCTGCACCCGGTCTGCATGTGCCCAACAGCCAGCGGCCAGCGAAGACTCGGATGTGTTATGTGTCTCGATGCACACGAGCAGGACAAGCCATGTAGTCGTCGTCTCGTGTGTCTGTTCGGTCCCTGGTGCCTTACATGTGCTGGTCTGCATACGGGTAGTCGAAATAAGCCTCACCGCATCATTGGAAGCCCTGCTGCTACCCGTGCGTGGACTGGACCGACACGGGATGTTCACGCCTACATTGCGTTATTCTCTAGCCAAAGATTCACAGCTGCATAGGGCTGCATGCCAAACAAGGCTGCGCTGGGCTTCTCATGTAGCTGTTTCCACCGGAAAGGACATGGGACGAGACAGCCACGTGACATGTGCCCACGTGACATAGTTCACGTGACGTAGTCCACGTGACTAATCACCCACGTGACTCCACAGGAAACGGCGCAGTACAGCACGTGGCGGCCTGACGAAGCCTCACTCGAACTACCCAGGCACTGCCCTGTCCTTGGTGTCGATATTCCTCATCCGGAAGTCCATGTATGTACATATACGTCGCTCCATCGGCTGCACTTCCAATGCCCTTGGCCTGCTTGTCCAAGCAGCCAGTGCACTCCCTGCGGCCTTGAGAAGCCCAGCATCCCTGATGGCACCTGTCAAGTCAAAATGAGGCTGACCTTCCTTTGTGGATAGATGTCGGTGGCTAGTTTTGGCGGACAAAAGCCGCTCAGCGTCGACATTGGACAAGTCCGGCTGTGCCGGTAATAGACCGGCTGCCCCACAAGGCGATTATGCAGGTGCAGCGTCGGGAGCCTCCCCAGCCGCTTTCTTGGTTCACGCGCATGCGTCACCTGGGCTGCCATTTGTTTATATCCTCTGCCCCCTTCTCCCCCCCCCTCCTCCACCCCCGGCGCCACAGAGATATACACACATACCCTACAGGACATATCGCTACCACATCCTGCCCCGGGCTCCACGCGCGCATTGCCCCCGACATCCATCCCTTATCGATAACCACCCCCAAAGCCCCGGCGCATTGCGACCGCGGCGCCATCCACCGTCACAGTGTCGTCCCCAAAGTCCCGCCACGAGTTGGCCTCTCTCCCAGACATGGACCCGCAGGACTCGATCGACGATGACGAGGGCGCGCCTCCGCAGGCTTATCGCGACGACGAACATGCAACCGCCTCGGCTGCCACATTGGTTACCCATTCCGAGGCTCCGGATCGGGAGGACCACCATCCGCAACGACCCTCCTACGCCACCAGATACCTGCCCCCACGATTGCGCCGCTTCTGCCATAATGTCGTTGTCTGGGCCAAGGGCCCTCAGCCACCGCGCCCGTGGAAGATACGTCCCTTCTTCCCCAGGATCCAAACGGCGCCCATTCGCTTCTTGAACAACTACTTCCCCAAGAAGAAGCAGAAGATTGCCTTGCTCGTCTTCTTCTACTTTTGTTGGATCCTGACCTTTGGCTTGGTCTTGCATCGTAGTGCCTTTGCAGCAGACATACCCGGCTACGGCAGCCCCGTGCGCGTGCGATGTACTGATCGCTTTTGGAGCGATGGAAATGGCTGTGGCCTCAATGGCGACCTGTGCCGCCCGTTTGAGAACAGCACCATGCCTTTTCGCTGCCCAGCAAACTGCAAGCGCGTGCAAGTGATATATCCACATGCTGTTGGGGATCAGTTTGTGAGTTATCAACCCCTCGTCATAGGCGGGCCTACAGACGAGGAGGAAACGCTTGAAAACACATACTACCGTGCCGACTCGTTCATCTGCGCTGCCGCCATCCATGCTGGCTACATCAACGACGCTTCGGGAGGGTGTGGAGTCTTGGCACAGGCGGGCGAAAAGTCCAACTATCCCAGTGTGGATCGAAAGCACATCAAGAGCGTTGGCTTTGACTCGTACTTTCCGCGCTCCATCTCCTTTCTCGGTGGCGCCCAAGCCAAGTGCAGAGATCTAAGGTGGCCGTTGCTTGGTGTTTCGCTGACATTCACGATTCTCTTGTCGCTCTTTACCACATCGCCCTCCGTCTTCTTCACGTCCGTCTTCGTCGGCATCTTCTGCCATGTCGCGCTTGCTTCGGACCCGCCCAACATGACCGACTACTATGCCATTGTCAGCATAGCGCTAGCACGTCTGCTCCCGGCGTCGTTTTGCATGTATGCGGTTTACCGATTTGCCGTGCGTCGCCAGCTCGAGGGCCTGGATGCGCAGATTGAAAAGACGATTCTCTGGCTGGGAGGATGCTGGATAGGCGCTTTGAACAACTACACCTTTGACAAGATTCCCATCGAGCGCCTCACCCCTCACGAGATTAAAAACCAGCCAGGCGCCATCCCTGCGCTCATCATCATTGTCCTTACCCTGTTCTTCATTGCCCTCGGACAGGCCTGGGCGTTTAGGATTGAAGGACGCCTTCCTCGCTACCTGGCCATCTACGGCATCTTGGTTGCAGGCATACTCACCCTCGTTGCGATACCCAAGATGAACGTCCGGATCCATCATTACATTCTCGGCCTTCTCCTCGTTCCAGGCACGTCTATGCAGACACGACCCTCGCTCCTCTACCAAGGCATCCTCATCGGCTTATTCATCAATGGCATCGCGCGCTGGGGATTTGCCAGTATTCTGGAAACGCCGGGTGCGCTTCGTGGCGATGCGCCCAGTGGCACCCCTCTCCCAGTCATTACTGCGCCCGTCATTTACAACAACGTGGATCTTCCCCATGTCAAGGCCAACATTACTTTTGATTGGCAATTTCCATTTCCAAAGCCTTATGAGGGAATCAGCGTCTTAGTTAATGACGTGGAAAGATACCGCGAGTTTGAAGACCGGATGGAAGGAGACTGGACATGGACCAGGCACAAGGAGGGCATAAATGAGTACTTTCGCTTTGCATACTTGCAAGGAGGGGGGCGGGGTGATTACACAAAGGCGGGAGTGTGGAGAGCGGACGGCGGGTGGACAGAGATGGAGGCGGGGCCGTCGTGATGTTGTATATGTAGACTATAGTGTTACACAAGTAGAGAAGAATAGAGGTGCATTGCTATGCGGGATGAGAAGCTTGTGGCAAGCATCCAGCGGGTGGCCTGAGGTGCCAAGAGAGACGTCTCCAGTGTGCTGCTTTTGGACTGGCCGGTACTGGCATAGCCTCCGCCGCCGTCTATGCAGACGATGGATCGCCAGTCGTCAGCGTGGAACCGGATGACGAGGCGCCCCGCCAGCGAACCACCTGCATGCAACAAAGTGGCTCCCAGCCCCGTCTGTTGCTGTTGCAAAGTGTCCAAAGTTGTGGAGATGCTTCTGGAACCGCATCTTGAGCGGGCACCAGCCATTTGTCATGCCACTCACTGCCTCTGCCACTGCTCTCTACTCAGCTTACCGCTACGCACGCAATTCTGTCACAAGTTGACATGTCCGAACCAGGTTTGTCAGCGCAAAGTCAGAGTCGCGAGTGCCGCGTATTTACGGGGTTAAGGCCTGGATAGCCTTTGGCATGATTGGTGGGCGGTCGCGAGTGCAATCATGTCCCAGGGAGGGGTAAGCCATCACAAGTAAAAGTTGCGACACTTGTGCACTAGCTGACTTGGTCCCACCGGAAGGCTGCATTATAGGACCCAGAGAAGAAGGTGCGGGACCAAGTATAAGTAGGCCAGCGAAGCAGCTCCGGAAAGGCACTGCCAGCATTCCTACTACACCCACCTACTACAACCACCCAATTCCATACCACCACCACAATGGTCAAGATCATTTTCGGAGGCTTCGGTCTCTCCGACCAGGCATACTTCAACACACCCGAAGTGCGCAGTCAGGTCATCGACACGCTCCTCAGCAACGGCATCAAGAACATTGACACAGCACGCATATACCCCGGTTCCGAAGAAGCCATTGGCAAGCTCGAGAAGCGCAAGGAATTCACCATTGACACCAAGCTCCCCGGCGGCTTTGGCCCCGGCACCGCCACCAAAGACGGCGCCATCAACGACTCGCAAGACTCGCTGAAGCGCCTGCAGCTGGACCAAGTCGACATTCTGTACATCCACGCTCCCGAAACCAGCATCCCCATTGAAGAGACGCTCGAGGGCATCAACGAAGCCTACAAGAAGGGCGTGTTCCGCCGGTTCGGCCTAAGCAACTACGCCGCCGAGCAGGTGCAGCAGATCTACGACATCTGCAAGGCCAAGGGCTACCCGCTGCCGCAGGTGTTCCAGGGCAACTACAACCCCGTCGCACGCCACTACGAGGCGCAGCTCTTCCCCACGCTGCGCAAGCTCGGCATCCATTTCTACGCCTACTCGCCGCTGGCCGGCGGCTTCCTGACCAAAACAACGGCCGACCTGGATGCCGGCGGCGGCCGCTTCAACAAGGACGCCCTCGGCGGCTTGTACAGCAAGCTCTACGACCACGAGCCCCTGCGCCAGGCCCTCACCAAGTGGAACGAAATCGCAGAGAAGGAAGGCGTGTCCAAAGCCGAACTCGCCTACCGCTGGGTCGCCCATCACAGCGCCCTGCAGGGCGACGACGACGGCGTCATTTTCGGTGCCAGCAAGCCCGCGCAGGTCGAGCAAACTGCCCAGGGCATCAAGAAGGGCAAACTCAGCGATGAGGCTGTAAAGGGCATCGACGAGATTTGGGAGAGCGTCAAGAGTGTTGCTCCTGTGGATAACTATCATTCTAGGTAGAGGGTGGGATTGTTGCTGGAAAGACAACTGTGGCTTGTGGAATGAGGCATACAAAATAGATATACTACAGTACAATGAATGAATGAATGAATGAATGGATAAATCAATAAATGAATAAATGGATAAATCAAAACAAGTAAGTAAGTAAATTCATGCATATGCCTCCCTTTCGCCCCCTCGTGTGATTGATCTCGACTAGATACTGTTTCAAAATCAAGTCAAAAAAAAACCCCTCCCCCCCCCAAATAATATTTTCATACATATTCCTTCACTTTCTCTCTCGTATGTATTCCTCGAGTCCGAATTTCACCTTTCACTCTCAATCCACCCCGAATTCCCCTAAAAAAAAAGACAGATTCATGCATTTTCTCGCAGTACACACTGACTCGAATCTCCTATCTGCATCTCCCATCTGCAGCAAAGATGAAGAAAGAAAGAAAGAAAGAAAGAAAGAAGAAGAAGAAGAAGAAGAAGTATCATGCCTCAATACCCCTCCCCTCCCCTTCTCTTCCTCTTCACTCTACTTCCTCTTCACAACCGTAATCCCAGCCTGCTTCCCCTTTTTCCCTTTGCCTTTCCCATTCCCTTTCCCATTCTCATTCCCACTGTTCTTCTTCGTCGTGCCCTCATCAGGACCAAGTTTAACTTTCTTCCTGCTGGGCTGGCTTTGTTTCTGTTTGGATGTTGGATTGCGTTTTACGCCGTGTACTTGTGTTTTTGCTTTTGTGGTTGGTTTAGGCTTGGCTGTAGTAGTTGTAGTCTTGTGGGTTTCCAGGATACCTTGGTCATCTGCATCTGCATCACCCTCCTCACATTCACCACCTGCATCCTCTGCATTCTCTTCTTCCTCGTCGTCGCCATCCTCATGCCCCAGCAACCCATGCTCCTTGACATGAAAAATCACATCGAGCGCTACATCGCAAAACTCCTGGATGCCGCGGATCAACTCGAGATTCTTCTTGTTGCTTTCGAGGCCCGCGCGCCAGCGATCGAGGACTGCGAAGAAGATTTCGTCGGGGTTGGCGCTGCGGGCGGAGCGCGTGCGTGGGTATTCTGTTTCGTGTGAAGTTTTTGCTTTGGTTTTCTTGCTTCCTGCACCTGCACTACTACTACTACTACTACCACTACCACTACCACTACCGCCGCCAACGTGCTGCGAATTCCCACCGTGAGTACGAATCCGGCTTCCCGGCTCCTCATCCCCGATTTCAAACTGCACGTACGCCTCAATCACCATGACGGCGATAGTATGGAAATTCAGGAGCGCAACTGCGGGACACGGATCGGGTGTTGCGAGGGCGCGCTGAGCAGGGAGGAATACGTTGAGCAAGAGATGGGTTTCCTGGTCGGCGTGGTCGGGCGACAGGAGTAGTTCTTCGCGGACGAGGCCGGGCAGCGAGATCTTGGCGCTGGGAAGGTCGTTGGTCGGGGTCGGGGGTTGTACTTGGATGTCGTATTGGGGGAGTTTCCAGTCGAAGGCGGGGGTGGTGGTGGAAGGAGGAGGGTGCGAGACGAGCGGCGTAGAAGCGGTATCTGTATGCTGGACTTGGTGCTGGAGTGCCAGTGCAGGAGAATCGGGCTTGGAAATTGTCACTGTTGGACTGGTGCCGGATGGATGTCGTTTTACTCGCATTTTCAACGGCTCGTCATCATCTGAGCTGCCTCTTTTGTGCATTTCCTCCTCGCAGTCGTCTTCGTCCATGCGATCATCGTCTCTCTGCTGTGGCGTAGATTCTGGTGCAGTAGTACGCAAACCCGGGAGCGGCATGCCTATCATATTGCATCCCTGCGTCGGATACGGCGCCATGTAGGAATTCACCGGCATCTGCCCATGAGGAACCGATGGCTGCATCTGGCCCCCTTGATACTTCGCAGGCCCGTTCCCGAATCCAGGCTGCGGGTACCCGGGCTGCGGGGGAGCACGCTGATACGTCAATGGACCCATGAGGAATGAAGGAGTAGTAGCACTGTGCTGGTTTGGAGAGAAGCCAGAATAACCATACGCGTCTGGAGCCTGGTACGCTCTCTCTACCTGCAGGCGCCGCACATGCTCGAGCTGCCGCTTTTTCTCCGCGATTTGCGCCTGTAGCTGCTGTTGCCGGCTAAAGACATCGTCGAAATTCGGCTGTGGGTATGCTGGAATAGATGCTTGTAGGAGGCTCGGAGGCGCAGGCGCAAGCGTGTTGTATGGAGCAAAGTCGTTAGAGGTGAGGTAGTGGATGGGAACATCGCCCGTTGAATGGCGGAATAAGGGCGAGTTGCTGGTAAAGTTGAAAGGAGTGGAAAAGGAGTGGTGACGTGGAGTTTGGTCCATCTTGTGTTTAGGTGGTGTATCTACCAAGATGGATTTGGGTTGCTGTGGAGGGTTGGTGGTTGCCTTCTCTCCATCGACTTCCGTCCTTGTGTCTTGTAAGGCTAGCTTAGCGGTCTCGTAGCTCTCCTTGCGATGATGAGAAGCAGCCGTTTGTTCAGGGGTTGGAGTTGCATGGGGCTCTTCGTCTTTCTGCGCCGGTTTGCCACTGACTGTAGTCTGCAGTGATGCATGTCCGCTGCATGGCTCGCCTTGAACTCCACCACTCTCAAGAGAAACCGCCGACTGGGCAACGTTGTTGTGATCAGGCTCACCAGCGGTAACATCCACAGTCTGGTTATAGCCTTCGTCCTTTTCCCCATGAGAAGTCGCGCTTGTGCCTTGAGATGCATGAAACTCTATCCCTTGTCCTACTGTTGGACCAGGATACTCCGCTTGTTCGAGCTCTGCACATTCGACTCTCTTTCCAGTGACGTTGTCTTGGAGAATCTCTTTTGCTGGCTCACTCAAAGATTCCACAGTAGAAGAATGCACCTCATCCAGCTTCTCACTCTTGACTGGAGCATCGTTCGAGCTGACATCCTGATGCAGAGCCTCTGCCTCACGTTCAGGCTCTCGCTCCACAGAACCTGTTTTAGCATTGGCTTCTGGAACTCCCTTTGGCTGCGTAGACTGGCCAGAGCAGTTTGACAAGGTAAGTGCAAGAGTCTCAGTTCCTGCCGGAAGACCAGCTGTGTTGTCGGCGTTATCCTTGGACTTGACACCATGCTGTTCCTGTTGGCCCGTCTCTCGATTGTTCTTTGCGCACATAGTTTTGTCTTTTTCAGCGGGTGCCTCCTCTGGCTTGTCCTTGATAACACCTTCTTCACTATCACGTTGGGAGGTGTCCATCTCTTGGAGCTCGTGACTCGCAGCCTCGCCTTTGCAACGTCTAGATGCGGGACCCTCCATTTCTTTACGCACAGAGGAGCTATCAGGCTGTTCCCACTGAGAACAAGCACCTGCTTCTCGCGGGTCTTGCACGGTAGACTTGCTTGCGGGCTGCATACTGCACTGCACAGGCCGGCGCGCTATCCGACAATCAGTTATCGCGAAAGTTTGATTCATCTGCATACGTACCTTTGAGATAGATGAGTGCTTAATATCACTGTATGGCTGTCCCTGCAATAAAATAGCTGCTTTGAGAAACCGCTGATTGGGATGTTGTAGAAAGGGAGAAGAGTTGCGTACAGAAGAAAAGAGATAGACAAGAGCGGCTATTTATATGCTGTAGGCACCTCTCTCAGGCGAAGGCTTTGGGCAAGAGTTACACCGCTTCTCTCACCTTGTGGTGCGTTTGTCAGGTCCAAGAGAGTCACGTTTGGGCTGTAGGTAGCCTGGTGGCAGTGATTGCGCAAGACAGGATTCGGGATATTTGGGTGAAAGCGTGAGAGATGAGTAGGCTACATCGTTTGAACGTGGGGCGAAAGCATGTTTTGGCTGATGATAACCAGTCTTGGGTCTGCAGAGCGGTATACGGTTGGGATGTTTCAGTGCCACTGAGTAAAAGTGTGAGACGAAATCGAGATAAAATGACAGGACCTTGGGCACTTGGTTGAGCCTGCAAAGGGCAATCGATAGGGCAAGTAAGCTCAAAAATCTAGACAGAAGCGATATGTATGCTGAGAGTGTGGAAAGTCCCATCCATAGACCATCCATGGCAGAAAACCCAAATTCCCAGGGCCCAGAGATAATAAAGGATGAAAGCGTTTTTGTTACATCATGTCTAATAATTCGCCATCTGTGAGCTGGTATCTTTATCCATCACATAATCCCATTTTCTTATTCTATCTTCGCCACATCGGCCTTCAACCTCGTCACAAACCCATCGAAAAGCGGGTAGAGCGAGCAATCCCTATACTTGTCCACAAACCCGCCCTCCATGTTCTTTGCCGCGGCGACATCCTCCGTACTCATATCCTTACCATCCATTACAGTTCCTTTTGGATACACAGGCCGTGTCCCGCTCTCTACCAGCTCGACGAACGCGGGGTCTATAGGGACGCTGCCCAAGAAGGGGACTTCAAAGTCATTAGCCATGACCTGTCCCCCGCCTTTACTAAAAACATTTGTGCACTCCGAACAATTGGGACAGACGAAGCCGGCCATGTTCTCTATCACCCCCAGAACTCTTATGCCGGTTTTCTTGCAAAAGTTGAGTTCCTTTTTAACGTCACTGATGCTAATGGATTGTGGTGTTGTGACTACTACTGCGCCAGCAAGAAACGGGAGGTTCGGGTTGAGAGAGGGCGAAGGCGTCGTGTTCTTCAGCAGATTCTCGAGCAGGGAGATGTGCTCGTCCGAGGTGCCGGGCGGCGTGTCGATGAGTAGGTAGTCAAGCGGCGGCCAGAGGACATCGGTCAGGAATTGCCGGACCATTGCCGTCTTCTTGGGACCGCGCCAGATGACGGCGTCGGAGCGCGAAGCCAGGATAAAACCCAGTGACATGCATGACAAGGCCCCGATTTTCTGTCCCTCTGCACTGCGCGTCTCTTCTCCTTCTTCTTCCTTCTTCAATTTCTGCGCTGGCAACGTCTGCGCTTCGTGTACATCGACCGGTATCCAACCACCTGGGGCCTGCCTCACTTTTGAATCCTCAATGCCAAAGAATCGCGGTATGCTCGGGCCAGTAAGATCGATATCCAAGACGCCGACCGAGTGGCCTTGTAGCGACAGCGTAAGCGCGAGCTGTGTGGTTATGCTCGACTTGCCGACCCCGCCTTTGCCGGAGAGCACGAGGACGATGTTGCGGATGTTGTCGAGAGGCATGGCGGCTGGTTTGATATGGTTTGTTTGCTTGGTTCTGTGCAGTCTCAGTCGGGCGACTGTTGCGACCGGATATAGGTGACGTTGTCGGAAGAGGGTATGAGGCGCATGGTGTGAAGTGCTGAGGTTGTGGAGCGCTTTGAAATCCGACAAGCAGAAGTGGCGGTTTGCGGCGAGATCGGAGGTCCGACTTTCAGCCGAAACCGTCTGCTTGACGAGTATCGGAATTGATGCGTTTCAACCTGGAGTCTTTCTGGGGTTTTGTAAATTCGTGTTGAAGAGGCAGGTTAGACTTCCTACACACAATATTTGACCCCGCCATGTAGAATTGGCCATGGTCATGTTCTCTACGACTTGCTCTCCACTTATTCTAACCAGATCACAGCACAGCAGCTATCATATTGACAAGCCCAACTTGAACACATGCTTGAATACCCAACTTGTTTCAAAGTGCATCAACACCACTGTATGATATTCCCACGCGACTCCAAATACATGGCACATATCAGCGCAACCATGATCACCCTCATCTCCTTAGTGCGCAGCCTTTCTCATGGGTGCCTCACCACCAACCTCCAGCCTATATCCCTCTGCACCCTTCTCTGTCTCGAGATCCTTGGGCTTCGCCGCCTTGGCTCCCACCTCTGGGAATGCGAATGCCTTGCTCTTGCCGCCCTCCAGACCCTTCCAAACGCCGATTGTGTTCCAGTTGGTCCATGTTAGGGCGCCCACCCATGGCTGCACGTTCCAGCCCAGCTCCAACACTACGTCTGTCCTGTTGCCCAGCTTGCCGGTGATGTCCGTGATCTGGTACTTGGGCTTCTGGTTCTGGAGGTGAAGCTCGCCAATGGGGTAGGGAGATTCAGTCTTTTGCTTGGACGCGGCGCGCTTCCTGGCGGATTGCTTGGGGAGCTTCGACTTGGGGTCTGGGTGGACAAAGTGGTTCTGGTGCCAGGGCGCCGACGTGGATGCGAGGATGGCGTCCCAGATTATGGCTTCCGAGGGAGGCTCTGAGGCGCGCGTCGAGGGGTAGACGGCTTTGAGGTAGACAAAGACTTGCTTTGTGTTCCAGTTGAAGAGGCTGTTGAGATCTGGGGCAGAGTGTAAGCGGTTATTTCTTTTGGGTTTGTCTGCCTAAAACGCAGCCAAGGCATGAGTGCGAGACATACTGGCATCCAGGTCAAACTTGATATGCGCATACTCCTCCCTCTTGGACGAGTAGTAGTGCGGCCGGCCCTTGACTACCTGCACATTGCGCAACGATATGCTGGCCGAGGGATCTTGGGGCGAAATAAAACTGCTCAGCGCGATGACGGCCGCGACTGTGAAGGCGACGGTGGTGAAGAAACCGAAGACATTCTGCACCCGCACCAGATTCGAGTGCATGGTGGATGTGTGAGTGAGCGCTCGGCTCTCTGCAAGCGTGTGGGATACGAGTGAGAGCTTCTGGGGAGACAGACGCTCGTCAATGGGAGATGTGGAGATGTAGCCGCTGGTCTAAGTGGTCCTAACACGTATCTGGTCCTGTCGCACGGAGGTCGGAGCTCAGCCTTACCAGCCAGGGTCCACTAGCGTCGTTACGTCTCAAATACCTGGACCACACTTCACACCATCTTTCTTGCTTGTTATGTTTATTTGATAAGAGGACCTGAGATGGATTCAACGCCGCATATCTTTATATCCCCATTCGAACACCAATCGGTCCTCCATTGAAATCCAAGCATCAAGATCCACCTTCATACATTCAACCAATGATCTTATACACCCTCAAAACGAATAAAACTCAACCTCCGCAATGCCCGTCCGAGCAGGTATCATAATAGCGATAGGAAAGCCTCCATAGTCTGGGTCTTCGTTCGGCATCACGGCATTGGCACCACTCCTCGTCTCGTCGCCCCCCAACGTCCTCAGCGTCCGTAATTTACCCGTCTTCACATCCTCCACGACCTTTTCCTCGTTCTTCAGAATGCCATTGAACTTGGTGCCGGGTTTTGTTGATTCACCCATAATCTGGAAGCCCCATCCAATGAGGAGGAAACGCGCACCGCCACGATGAATCACCATGCCACTGCCCGTGCCTGGTTTCCCAAACACAAACGAGCGCTCGACAGTAATGTTCCAGTCGCCAAACCGCCGTCTGATGGGTTTCGATGGGTCTTTGTCGCCAGAAATTTCGTCGAAACAAAAGCCTACAGATGAGCCGGGATTTCTCTGTGCTTCCAGCACAAGCTGAGAAACCTGCGACAATAACCCGTAGTGCTTGGTAAAGGGATTGGTCTCGGGCTCCAGTGTGTCGATACCGAATGGACTAGCCAAGAGAGCTTGGAACGTTCCGTACGCTATCCAGATACGGCGAACGCCATACTCGTCTCTGCGTTGTTCTGGGATAAAGAGGATGTTTCTGCCATGCCGGTACTTGCCGCACAAAGTCGTGTAGTCGTTGAGATAAATGTCCGGCGCAATGAACTCCAGATTAGGTGCGTAGCGTAGCCATATATCAAGAACATTGGTGGTGCCGCCTCCAGAAGGGTAGTCGCCTGGCTCTCCGCCTCCACCTACAACAGTAGGAGTATTGTCGTCGGCATCCTCGCCTGCATAATTCTGCCACACGTTTGTGTAAAGCGGAAGTGGAAACTCGGCTTTACCCGCTGCTGCCACCCGGTCCAAGAAATGCGCATAGTGGTATGCCATGAAGAGTTCTTCCGTCCTGTTGCTTTTTCCAAACACCTCTTCCCACGACCCAGATTGCGGCTTCGACCGCGCAACAAACGTCTTGAGGTGGGACTTGAGATCAGTATGCAGCGACTCGTACTCTTCGCCCAGAAACTTGAGCAGATCCGCGGGCACAGGCTCTGCATATACCTTGTTCGCCCGCTCGCTCCCGTCTCGACTATCAAACAACAGCCCGACTTCATTCTCTACCTGGACCATCAAAACAGTGCTGTATTTCTCATCCACCTCCTTGACATGCGCAAGCAACCTGGCAAACGCCTTCGCATCCGCCTTGACATTCTCCTCGCAAAACAGCGACAGCACATCGGCAACCTGCACCACGCCCCCCGCCTTGCGCAATTCCGCGCGTGGAAACCGCTCTGGATTCGTTTTGACCCAGCCCGGCGCATAAGTCGATCTGCCTATGCAATTCCAAAATCAACCTTTCCCCTCACACGAAACCATCAGCTAGGAGTACAGATGAGGAAACTCACCATTCTTAAACGACCCAAACCACAACAGAATCAAATGCATGCCATGCTCGCGCGCACCCAGAATAACTCTATCCAGCTCTTCGAAATCGAATTTCCCTTCCTCAGGCTCAATCATTTCCCACGTGACGGATCCAAGAAGCGTATTTACATTCGTCGCCCGCATCTTGGGCCACACTTCACGCATGTATTGTGCGGATGAGAGCGACGAGTTCTGCAGTTCGCCGCCCAGCATGAGGAACGGCTCGCCATGGACAACAAGCTGTTTCGTGGTTCCATAGTCACGGAGGTGCGGGATGTGGGTGTTGGAAGCCATAATGTATCTTTCGAGGGAGGGGGGGGATGTTTCTCAAGGAAATTGACAAGTAGGAAGAGGTGTGAGGTAGGGAAAAGAAGATGCACTGACTGTATACATCACAGACGCTTTTCTTTCCTCTTTGAAAACGGTCAATTGCTTGTATGCCCTTCTCGTCCGCCCCACGTGCAGTGGCCAGCGGGGCTGCTGGTGCTGCTGCCAGGCGGGGTAATAGGTAATCACCGAGGGGCGAGCAGAAAGATGGATGCTGATATCTACCGGTTGCTAAAAGCGCGGCGTATCTACGACGTCAAACATCGATATCTAGTTTAAGATGGATCTGCACGGTAGAGATACTCAATTAGGTATACCGTACCTAGCATGCTCCGGCCAGTCTTTGGCATCCGACCTGCAAGCCCTCTCGTTACACGCTCGACTTTACCATACATACCTCATATCGACTAGCGCCCCATCACCCAAGTACCCCCATTCCCCGCGCCGCAGTAACAAGCTTTGGTATTCTGCAACGACTCCTCCATTCCCACTCCACCACTTAAGAAAACCCCACTCTCCTCAGGAACCCCTCGAAATCCGCAAACCCATCCCACCCGCCAACATCGCCCACGACGCCCTGGCTCCACTCAACGCCCTCCTTCGCCCCAGGCCCATAATACATCCAGTCTTTAATCATATCCATGTTTTCGCGCAGCTCCTCGCCCCCCTTCCACTCGCTATCCCGCATCTCATGAAACGTACACGGCTTCCCCGTGACAGCCTGGACTGCAGCACACACATCGAGTGGCGTGGCCCAGCCGCTCGCGGCGCGCACATGTTTCCCCATTGTCAAGTCCGGGCGCGCCAGACACGCAGCTACGAACCTGCCAAAATCATGTGCGACGTCCAGCATGGGGATCTGCGTGTGCGGGTGAAACAGCTGTGTCAGTGTATATCCGTCTCCGTTTTCCGCTGCCACGCGCTTGATAGACCCAGGTACATTTGCCATGAAGAATCCCGGTAGCACAAACGATGCGGGCTGGCCAGTCTCCAGTATGTATTCTTCAACTAGCGCCTTCGAGTCGAAGTGGTGCAGATTCGCCAGTTTCCCACCCGTGATTTTGGATACGTGAGGTAGCGACGACCAGATGAGGTGTGAGACCTTGGACTCGAGACACGCGTCGGTGAGGTTACGGCCCTGCTGCAGTTCGTGGGCTAGCGACGCTTTTTCCCAGTACTATGTATCAAGACGGTAAGTTATGTAGTTTGTTTTCATAAATAAAAAAACGAAGAAGACGAGATTGAAACGTGGGAAAGTTGGAGGTGTGAAGTTGGGAGACAGCGAGGGGAGAAAGGGAAACAAAGATCAGTTGGGTATTTTAAATAAGAAAAAAAATGCGAGGAACAATAGGTTAGTTATTCAAAGTCAAAAATACGGTAGGCAAGTTGAAAGAAGAAGAAGAAGGAGAAGAAGAAGAAGAAGAAGAAAACGAACTCATATCATCACCCTCAAATACTTACTTACATTGGTAACGCCAAACACCGCATCTGACCCCCGAATAGCCTGCAAAATCGACTCTTTACTATTCAAATCTGCATGTTATATTCCCCAGCATTAGTCATATAATATCAAACACTTTTTCCCTTCTCTCCTCCCTCCATCTCAACCCCCCCCATCAAAAACACCCAGAAAGGAAAAAAAGTAAAAGTAACTTACAGCAACCATCTCCACACCCCTCTCCACCATGGCCCTCGCATCAGGTTTATCAGGACTGCGCGTGATACCGCGGATGCGCCACTGTGTGCTGAGCTGTGCATGGACTAGGATGGCGCGGACGACGGAACCGCCTTGGTTGCCTGTTGCACCGAAGACGGTGATGAGTTTGGTCATTTTGCGGGAGGGGAGACGAAGGGAGTAAAGTGTGAGTAAGTGTGAGGGGTGTGAGGGGTGTGAGGAAGTGAGGGTATTTAAGCCTGGATGCAAAAAAACACAAGAATGGATAGTGGGAGAGAGTGAGAGAGGGAGGATACGAGAGCTAGATTGTTGCAGATAACTCGACTGCGTACGTATATGTATGTATGTATGTATGTATGTATATATGTACGACTTTACTGCATCACAAATGCAACTACAGTAGCTACCTACCTATGTAAGCACCTTTGTAATCCGTCCGCCTCCCCACCACCCATCCACACATACACACACAATAAAGTCCTTCCTTCCCCCATTCGCAGCACCAACGCCTCGATGGTCCATAGTCGAGAGCCATAGTACCATACCAGCGGCGATGAGTAACCATGTTCTAAGCAGCAGTCGCCGCTGAAGCGGCCCCCGTCGCCTGACAGGCCGAGTAATGCGCGTGCGGGGGTAGAAAAACTCGCTGTGTACATGATGCAGGGGAGGGATTTGCTGAGGGTGGGAAGGATGCTAGTGCTAGTGCCAGGCATGGATGTGCTTACACATTCGTGCATGTTGTGGCTTGCATGTAAGTGTAAGTACAAGAAGTAGCAGTAGTAGTAGGCCCCAGGTCCGCGGAATGGCAGAGAATGGCGGGGATTAGGGATGGAGGATTCTCTGGTGTTCAGCCAATGGGGTGTTGGAGACTACTTTATCTTTTTTTTTATTCGCTTGAATGGCTACGGGGTGAAGAATAGGAATGCAAAGCTGTCCTGCTATTTGCTAGTGCTTGTCAGGATGAGTAGGCGCCTGAATGCTTGGCCCCTCGTTTGCGTAATTGTTGATAGTGCTCTCTCTTGATTCAGTCGACTTTTCCTGTTGTCGTTCGCCATTTGGAGCCTGAAGTGGACAAAGAGCTCTCCTTCGCTTAGATTGGGGCGGACTAATGACTCCGATGAAGCTCTGTCTCTTAATTTTAGCCGGGACGACAGACGGTGCTTTGGAGTCGGATACAGCGGCACTAGCATCCTCGGATGCTCTTGTTATTGGCGTTGATGGGGCTAATATCGTGGAACTTGTGGAGGTAGGTTTGGGCGTATTTGGTCTCAATCTGTTCACTTCTGAGCCCTCGTCTTCATTCTCGTCACTAGAACATAGAGCTTCAGATACGCTGGATGCTTGGAACCTGCCTTCCTTCCTCTGTGGTGTCTCCGGTAAGGGAAGAGAACTCGAACGTTGCGTCGTCTTCTGCGTCGTCTCATCTGTGGTAGCAGTTACCTGGGATCCATTCATCTCTCGGACATACTTCTTAACCAACAAAGCAATATCTCTCGCATGTCCATCGAGATTCTGTGCGTCTGGTATTTCAAATTTCTCCTCAGCCATGCGTTCGAGGTCTTGCATGGTGACTGCGTCCTCCCACGTCCGGTCATGGTGGATTTTCCGGATTCTTGGATGGCGTAGCATCTCGAATGACGCGTTTTGCGGCGTCTCGAAGCCTCCACCAAGAATCTCGGCAACAAATGGCTTTCTAAATGCAACAGACATGCGTGGTGTGCAATCTCCAAAGTTTGAAATCTCAAACTCGTCCGTCCAACCGTCCTCACGCAAAGTGGCCTGACGAATATACCCTTGCACATTCAGGTATCTTGCGTCGGACTTGGGGATGCTCGTGTTGAGACATAGGCTGGCAACAACATTGAACCTAGGTCGTATGCCTGTACGCATGACTTCATCCTTGTTGATACAGCATCCCAGATGAAAGTTTGTCCAGTGCAGAGGTTTGAGATTGACTTTTGCCGCAACCTGAGCATCAAAGCTGGCACCAATAACGACAAAGTCGCCCAAGTCTCGTTGGCCGCCCATGTCGCACAAGTAATCCTTCTTCAGTTTGATGAAAAAACTTGCTTGACGATGCCCGTCACCGGTTAACAGGGGCAGGTAAGGCGTATACAATGGTTTCAGGACGAGCCCCTCTTGGCGATCGGCAAGGTTCCGGGCAAAAGTCTGTTTAAGGTCTGTTAAGCCACTCCCTGTCTTAAAATCCAACAGAGTCCACTCTGAGCGCATCGACCGACCGGGTATCACACGAACAAGTTTGCGAAGAATTTTTCGGCGGTCCTGCAGGCAGTGACGTAGGATGGGCTCGTCGTCCAGAGTCAAGACGTCGAAGAAGACGATCATGAGGTGTTCCCACTTGTGCGGTCGAGAGTCTTGCATCGTGCCTATGAAGGACCCTGAGCGCGTGACGTGCTTGCGAATCTTCGAGAAGGGCAAGATTTTCCTGTCTTCGTCACTGTATACCACCATTTCGCCGAGGACGATGCAATTCCTTTTGAACAGGGCGTCGGGTTGACCGATACGAAGAGCGTTGCGGATCGTGCCATCGATAGCGTGACGGTCGGCCGTTGCATCTTTTCCGTTCTTGGAGAAGATCCGCAGGCTATTCTTGCCTTTTTCCAGGTCGACGTGAATTTCACAGTACTCGCCGTCGTATTTGACTTCGGCGGCCCATGCACGGCTACCGACAAGTTGAATGCAGTTTTGGAATGACCATGCTTTGTAATAGCTTGGCCGCCCCATCTTGACACCCACCCTGGCCCTGAGTTTTTTCGCTGCCTCTATGCGCATGGCATTTGCCTCTGCAGGTTCAGGTGCTGCAGGGTAGCAGCTGAGTTCGCCCCTGAGGATATCGAATGCGGCGTCAAAGTCGTTCTGAAACATCAGTAGCTCCGGTAGAAGAAAGTGATAGCGCTGCATTACGAAAAGCTCGTCCAGCTGGATCGTACAGTAGTCTCGCAGTAGCAGGCGGACTAGCCATTTCGCTTCCCACGACTCAAGCCGTACAAAGATATGTTTCATCTCCGTGTCACTCTTGAAATCCAAGTCGCGCCGTTGTCGGATTTGCTCGTCGGAAAATCTATATTTGGCCGCCAATTGTACCAGAACACGGTCGACTTGGTCGACGGAGAGATGCTGTTTGCTGGAGAAGGTGCCATCCCAAGGCTTCATGGCGCGCTCGATGTATACACCCAAGTCGCCATGGGTACCCGTCTTCCAGCCATCGAAGAGGGCACGCTGTCCGTGGTTAAAGGCAAGTAGATGGGAGAGTGTCTTGGCGAGCAAGGGCGGTTGCAACCCGTAAACGCGATCTTTTCTCCGATGAGGGAACAGGACAGAGAGCACGGCTCCGCCATTCGTCGCTGGGTCGTCGAGAGCATCTCTTTGATCGAGAAACCACTTTGCAATAATGTCCCGAGCTTTGTCCTTGTCATGCTTTAAAGGTTCTCGCGACTGTTTTGCGGTTATGTCTTCGATGCTTTGCAGGAGGCTACAGATTGCATGGAACGTGATAGTCATAGTAGATCCAGATGCTGAATCTTCGATTCCCCAGAAGATTAGGCGTCGATTCAGAGCCTTGGGATCGATTGCGGATAAGCCAGCGTTGGGAAGCGCTCTATCGAAAGTACCGATGAGTGATCCCTGGCTACTCTCAAGTACCTTTCGGTTCAAGACCCAGATGTCGGGGAACCTTGCGGATGAACAATTGTAGCCCTTTGCCTGTATACCGCCGATGCTGATACCGGCTCAGGGCAGTATCGTCAGCACAACAGAGCAGGCGAATAAGCGCAACGGCATGAACCTGCTTTCAGGTTCAGTCACAGTGGAAACAGCAACGCAACAAGCGCCGGTTCGCAGCACGGGTACCTTGGAAAAGCAAGACGTAAAAGATATATGTTGGGATGCGTGGTACCAAAACACGGCAGGTGTGAGATATGGAAGAGGGGCGAGCACGCGCGGGCATCCTGCCTGAACGACAGCAACGCGCTAATGCGGGTCATCACGGGACCTAAGCAATATGTATTTCCGCACCAACGTGGGCGACGGGGCAACTTCGCATGACATTGCTCCCTTGGTCTGCCGTCGCCAAAGTAGTTGATACCAATGGCATCTTTACACAGTTTGCGACTCTACCACGTGCAGCCCTACGGCCAACCGGGGAGGTTTGGCCGCGGTACGGCTTGGCAATGACGCTAACTACGTACCGGAAGTCCGCATGGCCCCAAGTTCTACGTCATGAATAATTGACGTTGAACATCCGCGCCGGCTTTGAGTTTGGAGTCTGACGAGCATCTGATGAACTCTATGACACGAGGCCAAGGAAGAGAGAGAGAGAGAAAGAGCTTGTTATATATAACTGAGGGGGCTGTGTGCCATCCGAGTAAAATAAACGTTGGCGTGGGCTTTCTCCAGGCTTCGTACGCAACTGGACAGCCGTAAAATGTAAGTTTTCCAGGTATATACGGTTCCGCCGTACTCCGAACGGTGCTTCCCTGTCTACTCGATGGATTCCATGGTGTACTCGATGACTAACAGCGTTCCAGTTTTGATTGCCAACATGTCGAGCCAGCGCGAAAGCGTCGGGGATCCTCGGTCGGAAGCGTCGAAGAAAAAGGATCTGATTGCGCGCGGCGACTATACACCTACGCCCGCGGGCAAATTGACCTTTTTTCTGCTCCGCGGCGTTGAGCCTCTGCTCCAATACTCGATCCTAGCTCATGGCCTCGGCACGTCTGTCCTGCACCGCGTGGGACTGCGAACACTGCCGTGTGGCCTTCCTGCGCAGACGGGCATACGCGTGATTGATGGGTTGGGCTTGTCTCCGTACCGCTTGGTGTTGTTGGGAATGAGCATTGGAGCGGCAGTCAAGCAGAACATATGGGTCACGTCCCTGTCGGGGGAGCCAATGCCAGTGGGCGGGGCAGTCGTGGTAGGAGTGTTTAATGCGGCGTTCAATAGCCTGGCCTCGTATGCGTTCCTCACGACGATCACATCCGCGTCAACCGGAGGCAATTTCCCACAGCCGGCGCTCCTGGTTGGCGGCTCGCTCTATGTCGTCGGAATCCTGACCGAGCTCATTGCGGAGGTGCAGCGGAAGCGTTTCAAGGCGGACCCAAACAACAAGGGCAAGCTCTACTCGGGAGGCCTGTGGAGCTTTGCGCGACACATCAACTATGGGGGATACACGTTGTGGAGGGCTGGATACGCCATGGCTGGGGGAGGATTCGCGCTGGGCGCCTTGGTCGCATCCTTCTTCGCTTACGACTTCAGCCAGCGTGCCATTCCCGTCCTCGGCGAGTACTGTGAAAAGCGCTACGGGGCGCAGTACGACGAGTTCAAGAAGACGACGCCGTACAAGCTGATTCCGTATATTTACTGATATTCCATTGGGCGACGCTGGGACACGGCTGCAAAAAGCAGAGCGAGAATGTGGTGAATTCGGCAAGATCCGAGCCCTGTTCGGCTCCAGAAAAGCATATCATATAGCCTGCATCGTGTGGTTCCACGTGCCTGCTTAGTGTTTTTTTCTTTCTTCTTTTCTTTTCTACTATTCTCGCATCCGCTGCACAAAGGGCCGATATGTGCATGCACAAGGCCTTGGTAGTGCCGGCTTACACTGGAGCAGGCCTGCCGCGCCCCAGGGTCCTTTGATGCAATAATCAAAGTCCATCACATTTCGATAATGGCCACTACACCATTCACCATGGGCAGCAGCCGTCTCCGGCGACTAGCGCCTGACGGCCGGATCATCTGACATGAGTGGTGCATGCTTATGTCCCAAAGCAGCATCTCACGATAACGGCAGGCCGTGTGGGAGAGATATGGCATCCACTCGTTGTCGCACGATGCAGGTGCGGTTCTCGTCAAGATGGCATAGCCGATGCCGCATGTGGTGTTCACACCGTCGTGGTTCCAAGGGGCCTTTTGCCGACGCACGCCCCACCATGGGCATTTGCTATTGCGAAAGAACAAGTGGTACGCGATCTAGCATCCAGCTAGGAGATCTGCGGACGTTGTGCCACCACCTAGACGACCCGAGGGGTCGGGCGCTACAGGTAGTGTGTATGAAGGTATTCTTTTTTTTCCGTGGTGTGAGCGTCGCAGCACGACTCATGGCGTATTGTTTGGAGGGAGCAGGCATCTGTGTTTTCAAAACAAGCCTTGTTTAGCAGACGGGCGGGGGTACGGCTGTAAGAGGAAATGCGCGTGGTGTGGTAGGAGCCGGTACGGCGGCGGAGATGGGACCAGGCACAGTGTGTGTGTGTGGGTGTGCATGCAGGCAGGCAGGCAGCTGTTGACCTGTTTGTATACAGTACAGTACACACAGAGGATGGATGGACGGCAACTCGTGCAGCGCTGGGCAACGAGCGGCCGGCAGAGGGCCAGCAAGCGATGATCTGCAGAATCCTCAGCACTTCAGCTTTTCCAGGGTCCTCAGTGTGGCGGCTGGCGGAAACGATGCTGCTCCATGGTGCAAGGATGCGGATAGGCGATAGGGACACGGGCGCGTCTGCAGCAGCGCTACTCGCCGCAACCTCGCCCAATTTTCCAGAAATACATTTGTGGGCAAATTAGTCGCATCTCCACAGAAACAATTATCGATACAGACACGGAACGCTGGTTGTTTATCGATAGTGGTCAGGAGGTGGCTGTGGGGTCTCTCTTATTTTTTTTCTGCTGGATGCTTCGGCGATGACCGGCCGCTTTTTCTCATGCGAGCATGGTGGGCGATTAGAAGCCGCCGCGGCGGGCACTGGGCGATGGAGACGAAGAGGCTCAACAAGTTTTTTTTCTCGCTTGCAGCCAGCTTGGATGCTTGTAGCAGGCAGAGATCACGATCCGGAGGGGGGGGGTGTTGGCTGGCGTGGTGCCTATAGGCCGAGGGCGTGGCGTGCTACAGAGCGGGGAACGGCTGGTGGTGCATTGAAGCGTGCATGCAACCCCCACCAGGCGTGCAAGACGACATGCCGTGGGAGAGTAGGCCGAGTCGAGTGCGAGCAGCGTGTTCGTGCCGCTGCCCTGGGGCGAGGGGAGCGAGGGCGGGCATGGCACTTGCAGCTGAAACGCTGTGCTTTTTTGCCTTTGGCCTAGGCTTGGAGGCATGGCGGCGGTGCGTGCTGGAGCCAAGTGCTGTGGTGCCGCGGTGCAGTGAGGCATTTGACGTTGGCTGAGGTCATGACCTCGACGTAACCTCGTATCCAAAAGGCCGGCGCTTGTGCTGGGAGGCCATGAAACATGCGCGCGCCGGTTGGGCGGGCCAGCAGCAGTGGCAGCGGCAGCGGCAGTGGCAGTGGGTGGCACTGTAGCAGCAGCAGTAGCGGTAGTAGTAGCAGTAGCAGGACGTTAGCAGCAGCGGCGGCGATGGCGGCGATGGCGATGGCGATGGCGATGATGATGATGATGATGATGATGATGATGATGATGATGATGATGATGCAGTGCGGGCTGGGCTGGAGGGGGAGGGGGACATGGTGGAGCCGGGTTTGGCCATGCTTCCATGGGGGCATGCATGGGCACAGGTAGCGATAGGCGTAGCGTACCATGGCATAGGCAGGGTGGTATATGGGCAGAGGGCGGCCACGACCAGGACCAGGGATAGTCGGCAGACAGGGCCCAAGGAAGTAGTCGTGGGCCGTACAGGCGCCTGTTTTGGCGTCGAGGGGCGCGAGACATGTCCAGAGGCCAAGGGCGGGCACAATAGCACGCTGGATTCCGGTTTTGCTGCTGCAGCGATAGCAATAGCAGCGGGCTGCTAAGGGCGGGCGGGCGACTGGGTGTGGTGTGGTGTGGTGTTGTGTAGGGGGCGTGTGTGGTGTGTGGTGCGTGTGTGTGTGTGTGTGTGTGTGTGTGTGTGTGGTGTCGGGGGGCGTGCAAGCATCAAGGCCTTTCGTCATTGACGGCCGTGGGTGGAGAAGTCGTTCCCAGGCGTCGGCTCACACATTTCTAGCGCCGTCGCCCTCAACGGCAAGCACGGAGAGGCCAAGCATCCGCATCCATAGTACCGACAGGGCATTGCATACATGCATACTACTACTACCAACCTACCTACCTACACACATACATACATAGCCACTTGCGACTCGCTCGCTCGCTCTGTGTGTCTCCCTCTGTCTCTCCATATCGCCCCATCTCTCCCTCTGCGCGGCCTGCCTGCGGTGCTGTGCTAGTGGTAGTACTACTACTTGCTACTACACCCTCCCCCCCTCTCTCTCGGACTCGCTCCCCTCGGACTCCCTCCTACGCACATACTCCCTCCTACGCACATACTCCCTCCCTCGCCCTCTCACCCACCACACCCACCGCACTCACACCTCATTTCCCGCACGCTGCACCGCCATCGTCCGTGACCCACCCTGCTGCTGGCCCGCCGTCGCCGTCGCCGTCGCCGCCGCCGTAATAACGTTGGACTGCACCGGACCGGACTAGCTGGCTCACAAGGCGGCTGCATCTGTAAGTCAGCTTTTGACGCCAGGCCTTTTTTTTCACGATGCCATGCGAAGCTCCCACGCGGTGCACGCACTAAATGTGCTCAATGGCCTGCAAGCATCAGCCCGGCCGCCCTCGCCATGCATCAAACACCCTCTCCCACACGGCCCGTGTCAACTTTTCTTTTGCTGCCTTTGCTTCCTTCTTTCTCGCATGCGCCCTGGCTTAGTAGTAACCCGCTCTCCTAGTGCTCCCGCCCGCGTCGCTATTAAGCCTCCCAGCTGCCTCGCGCGCCCACGACTCTGCTGCCCTGCCCTGTCCTGCCCCCCCCCAGTCTCAGCTTCTCCTCGCATCCTGCCGCGGGGTGTGTGTGTGTGTGCCTCCATCCCCCCCCCCGCCGTGGTCCTGGCCTTCGCTGCCTCACCCCCCCCTCCGTCTGACGGCCGCCTACCATCAGCATCACTAATTCCTGTTACTATCGATTGCGCCCCCCTACCCTCACCGCACATCAGGCCATTGCCCGGAAGCAGTGGGAACTTGGTGCTGCGGGACGCCAGTGCAGAGTGAGCGCAGGGCTGCAGCGTACATCGTTGCAAGCGGGGCGCCAAGCGAGCAGATCCGCCATATCGCCATCCGCAGCCAGCTACATAATAAACGCCGGCTCCTCTTCGCCCGCGCCCTGGTACCAACACCACCACCACCACTGCCACACACCACAACCGCCCTTGCTTTTGTCCCCTCGCTCCCTTCTCCTGGCGCAGTCTTCCCCTGACGTCAGGGCGCTCATCCGTGTTTCACTCATTGCACACGCGTCGCCCGCGCCAGCCCGCTCTCCTTCCTTCAAGATGCAGGCCGTCATGGCTCAACCCCCACAATCCGCCGCCTACGGCGCTGTCCCTCTCCGCCGCAAGCCCATTCCCACCCCAGGCGTCGCAGTCCGCCCCGCCTCGCACCACCAGCACCAGCTCCAGCCCCAGCCGCCCTACAACGACGCCCAATTAATGGGCCACTCGCGAACACGCACAACCAGCTCGGGTGTCTTTCCCATGGGCTCGCCCACAACCGCCACCATGAATTCGCAATACCCATCCCAGTACCAGAGCAGCCTCCGCCGCACCCCGACCTCGTCGACCAGCTCCACCAACGGCACCCCCAACCGCTCCAATAGCGGCGCCCTTCGCCGCTCCTCTTCCACACGCTCCGGCGGCAACTCGCCCACGTCGTACGTGGCCATGATGCGGAAGCAAAAGGCGACGGTCTGGTGCGATCGCGCCCAGTACGAAGACCCCCGCATGCTCGCCCAGCAGCGCCAGGCTAAGATGCGAGCAAACATGGAGGTGGCCGGCGGTCCGCACCACGCGCCGCCCCGGAGTGCCTCGGGAGGGTCTGGCGTGGCCGGCGGCGTGCGGTCCAAGATTGGCCGTCACCATGGCCTGCCAAAGGCGTCATTGTACGCCCCAGTCACGTATGCAGGATCGGGCGTGCCCATGCGGCTGAGTGCTTCGGAAGTGGACGAAGGCGACGACGAGGAAACAGGTTCCATGCAAAACGGACAATATCACCACCGTACCGGCTCCGGCCGCAGCTCCCTGGGCTCAGGACGCCGCATATCCTACGCCAATCCCACGGGCCGCATATCGTCCAACAGCACCCCACCGCAGAATTCGTCTCCTGACGGTGAACTGGCCGATCTCAAGGAAGAACCCACTCCCTCTCCGGCCGAGTACGACCCCAACGCACCCAGCGACATGAGCTACTTCCACCACACAAAAACAAACGCCAGCACAGGCAGCGGAAGCAGCGGGGAACGCAACTTTGGCGACGTTGGCCAGATGCCTGCACGCGATCACCTCAAGGCGCCGACGGACAAGAAGGTCAGCAAAGACGAGCTCGTGCGAAGAGGAAGTGTGGACGAGAGGACCATGACCATGGGAACGCGGCTCTTTGTCGCCAACCCCGACCTCAGCGACTAGCAAACGAGAACAAGAGGCTCTTTATTTATCTATTTTCTGCGATACCCGACACCACGATTTTAGCGCTGCTTCTGGGCGATGCACACATGAGTACATGCAAAAGAAGAGCCGGCCATTCAGTACAAGGCGAGCCATTAGCAGCACCATTTTTTTTCTTCTCCTCTTTCGCTCAGCACATCAGCGTTGTCTTTGTTCATTTTTGGCACATTAGCATTTTCGCTTTTTATTATCTCGTCTGTTTTAGCATGTGCAAAAGCAGCGTTGGGCGGTTAGGAGTTTTGCCTCTTTCTGTTTTGGATAGACGGCGACACAGGATGAGGTTTCTCATTGTCACAACAGTTACCTTTTCTTCTTCTCTTCCTCTCTACGCGTATGCGACTGAGGTTCAGCGCTGCGGGCGCACCCTGGTGGTTCGCTCGTCCACCATCACCATACCATCATCACACACACACCCCCCCTTGTAAATACCATAGCACAGCCCACCATGCCTCGCGCTTTGGCCGTGGCAACGACTGATTGATTGCCTGCATACCCAGATACATAAACATAAGCATAAATACTATACCGCCTTGTGTTGGCAGATGACGGCTCCCTTGCACAAATGAATTGTTGGCGACGCGGCGAAACGGCCATTCTGCCATGTGCTCATCAACACGATATCGCCGTGATGAACTCATTTACGGCAACCAAGCCGGAGAGACAAAGACGGAGGCGGAGCTTCATTCGTTCCGTGTTGGTGTGGTCAAATGGGACGGCGCGGGCACGTGGGATAAAGGGGCGGCAATAGCACTTGCACTTGGGGCTACAGAGGGCCGATCATTGCGTGTACCTGCCAAGACGCCTGCTAATATTAAGTATTATAGCTGCTAAAAGAAGACGGACGAAATCATATATTGGTATTACATTACTACACGTGAAACGGGGGGCGCAGCTGGGTAATCAAGGGACGGGATCGAGGGATCGGGTCGGACTAGGTTTGACATGGATTGCATCGATTCCCCATTGCCCTTTCTATTACTGTCCGAGCTGCCCCGTAATATCTAGTATGTTGTGCGTCGGTATGTATGTACGTATGTGCTATGTACGTACACGAGTGCTCTGTGCTGGCTCAGGGTCCCGTGCCGCGGCGGCATCAGCTTTGGTTCTTTCTGTGCTGACTGTACAAAACAAAGTTTGATTGCCATCCAGCTGCAGTGCTGATTCTGCGGCGCCGTGGCGGTGTGCGGCCATCAGACGCGTGAAATGGCTGGCTTTGCATACAAAACTGCGTCACGCGTTCCTGGGCCCATTTCCTGGTCGCCGGTGCCTCTCACCCCGTCCCTGCCAAGATGTCCCAACTCGGCAGCTCACCGCAACATGGCTTGACCTTCCCACACCACAAGGCACCCAGACAAAGCACACAGCATGGCGCTCACTAATGGCACCGCCAACGCCAAAGTTGATGCCAAAGCCAATGGCACAGCCAACGGCGCCACAGAGTCTCACGCAAGCCAGAAGGTCTTGGACGATACGGCGGGTCTAATCAAGACCACGGACGGCCATGAAAAGACCGACTATACGCGATGGAGACTGAAAGACGACCGCGGCTGCCAGACGTGGCATTATCTGCAAACCGACGAGGAATTGAAGGCGTGGCCGCAGAGCACGGCGGACAAGTACTTTTTGGGCCTGGACACGGTGTGTTTACCCACGTCCACGCAGCCACGGCGACCATTCGATTGACATGTACAGGAACAACCCGACTGCAAGCCTGCAAAGACGCCCCTCGAAGCCGCGCACAATGGCCTCTCCTTCTTCTCGCAGCTTCAACTGCCCCCTGGTAACTGGGCCTGCGAGTACGGTGGGCCAATGTTTCTCCTCCCCGGCCTCGTCATTGTCTGGTATGTCACCGAGACAACCATACCCGCCTCCCACGCCATCGAGATCAAAAACTACCTCTTTGCCCGAACACACCCCCAAGACGGTGGATGGGGACTACACATTGAAGGCGAGAGCACCGTGTTTGGAACAGCAATGAACTACACGGTACTCAGGCTGCTGGGCGCAGATGCCCAAGACCCCAGGATGTGCAAAGCACGAGAGACGCTGTGGAAGTTGGGCGGCGCGCTCAACGCACCACACTGGGCCAAGTTCTGGCTGAGCGTCCTCGGTGTGACAGACTGGGACATTGTCAACCCCTGCCCACCCGAGGCTTGGTTGCTTCCGGACTGGGTTCCCATTGCCCCGTGGCGATGGTGGATACACATGCGACAGGTCTTCCTACCCATGTCGTACATTTATTCCAAAAAGTGGTCGTACCCTCTGAATGACCTCACACGCCAGCTCAGGGCAGAGCTACTCATGCGGCCGTACGAGACGATCAACTTTGATGCACACCGCAACACTATCGCGCCTACAGACGACTACCACCCCAAGTCTTGGTTCCTCAAGTTTTTGTTCTGGCTCGTGGTCGCCGTCTGGATTCCGTACCTTCGACCTGAGTGGATGGCGAAGCGTGCAGAGGAGCATGTCATGTGGCTCATTGAGGCTGAAGACGAGAACACCGAGTTTTCGAATTTGGGTCCGGTCAATGGCCCTATGAACATGTTGTGTGTGTACATCAGAGACGGCCCTGATTGCCATGCTTTCCGCGAGCACCAAAAGACGCTCTACGAGTTCATGTGGGTCAAGGACGAAGGTATGCTCATGAATGGCACCAACGGTGTACAAACATGGGATACTGCATTTGTCATTCAGGCTGTAGAATCATGTGGCTGGTCCAACAACAAGAAATGGGAGCCTGTGCTTTCCAAGGCGCTTGAATTCTTGGAAGACCAGCAAATTCTCACAGAGTCGAGAGACCAGCATGCCTGTTACCGCCAACAACGTAAAGGCGCATGGGGCTTTAGCACAAGGAAACAAGGATACACCGTCAGTGACTGTACGTCTGAAGCTATGAAGAGTGTCTTGATCCTGCAAAAAGACCGCCAGTATCCCCAGCTCATCAGTGAGCGCCGCATGAAAGACGCCATTGACGTCCTTCTCACAATGCAAAACAGCTCGGGCGGTTGCGCCACCTACGAACCCACCCGAGGCAGCGTTCTACTCGAGCATCTGAACGCGGCAGAGGTTTTTGGCAGAATCATGATAGAATACGACTACCCCGAGTGCACAACAGCCGTCGTCACAGCTCTCCACATGTTCCAGCACCATTTTCCCGACTACCGGGCTGACGAGATCACCGCTTTCCGTGAACGCGCCGTGGCCTATATTCGCGACGCCCAACGACCCGATGGATCCTGGTACGGCAGTTGGGGTATCTGCTTCACATACGCCGGCATGTTTGCTCTCGAATCCCTGAAGTGCTCTGGCGAACAATACAACAACTCTGAACGTGTACGACGCGCATGCCAATTCTTCCTGGACAAGCAAATGGAAGACGGAGGTTGGGGCGAGACGTACAAGAGCTGTGAACAGGGTGTCTGGCACCAACATCCGCAAAGCCAGGTTGTGCAAACTGCTTGGGTCATTATCGCCATGATTGAGGCCGGATACCCAGACAAGGCGCCGCTTGAGAAGGCCGTCAAGCTAATCATGAAGAGGCAGCAAGCCAACGGAGAGTGGCTCCAGGAGGCAATTGAGGGCGTCTTCAACAAGTCTTGGTAAGTCAGCATCGCATACGACAAGGATATACATGGGCTAACATGCAACAGTATGATTTCCTATCCAAACTACAAGTTCATCTTCCCCATCAAGGCGCTGGGTATGTACGCCAAGCGCTTTGGCGACGACGCTCTTTTTTAACGAGGTTCATGGAATGCACGTCTATCTGTCGACTGGACATGTGGGTTATGTGAAAAGGTTTCTGACGATTACGCTTCTCTATACTTACTTTACATACTACACTACGCTTACTATACTATTCATAATATCAAAACTATGCCATTCTTTGGAATATCGCTCAGACCGTCATCAGTTCAGTTCAGCGTCTTGTTCTCGTCTTCCTTGCTGTCCACTCCTATTCGCCCACCCATTCACCCACCCATTCACCCACCCATTCACTCCACTCTCCCCACTCTCCTAGCTTACGGAAATCAGGCACTCACCATGTTTCGTTTCCTGGATGGGAGAAAGCGAAGTAGAGCCAAGACTTTGCTTGGCAATAGTAGAGTGAAAGGAAAGGAGTGAGTTTGCTGTTGGCGTTGGCATTGGCATTCACCTTTTTCACCTTTTTCTTTCTTTCTTTCTCTCTCCCCCTCTCCTGCTAACAACACAAACAACCCGACCCCGAAAAATTATCACTGTTGTCCCTTTTGGGGGGAAAGAAGAAAGAGGATTAGGGAGAGGGAGAGATATGATGAAGTCTCAGCACTCGGGATGTCTGGTTGAGAAGAGAGGCGCTGGTTGTACGTGCGATATCGCGTGCGGAGAGGTGTGCTCGTGGGTGGAGCAACAGCAACACCAGCAACAGGAGCTGGAACAGCAGCAGGAGCTGAGACAGAGCTATGGCGGACAAGAGTGCAGTGGCTGGAGTGTCAAAGGAGACTTGGGGTGTGTGGATGGGGAGAGTAAGACTACGATTACGACTATGATTAATGCTACTGGTGGGAATTTACGAGATGCGGAAAATATGAGTGCGATACGTACTACAACAGCACTACCACTATCACTACCAATATCGTCACCAGCATCAACATCAGCATCGGCATCATCGTACTACTGGAGTACAGCATCTCCTGGATATATCCTTGGGTTTTCTAGCTTGGAGCTTGCGACGAGTTCTTCTTCTCCTTTTCCCTCTCATTCATCCTCCTCCTCCTCCTTCTTACCCTATTTCCATACGTCTTCGTCTTCTAGCACCGCTACTCCAACTGCTACTCCAACCACGCAGAACGAGAACGAAAACGAGAACGCCAATCAGAGCCAGAGCCAAAATCACAACCAGAAACGGAAGCAGAAACAGAGTCAGAAGCAGCATGGAGACATGTATTCAACACACTACTGGCGTGTCATCAGGCCGCTTCAACGAGGAGAAATGCTGTTTAGCATGGATATGCAGGTGCAGCGGGCCATGGCTGTTGTGGCGGGGTTTGTTGCGGTGGAAAAGGGGGATGGAGAGGGTGAGGGAAGGGGATTCGAAGCTGCGCTCCTACATAGATTCGCACACCGACACCGTTACAAACCTCTCTTTACACCCTTCACACCCGACTCTCCTATTGTCTTCCAGCACCGACGGACTCGTCAACATGTTTGACAGCGCCCAAGCAGACGAAGACGACGCCCTGTACCAAGTCATTAACCACGGCTCTGCCATTGCACACGCAGGCTTCATGTACCCCAGCGCCGATATCTACGCCCTCGGCACCGACGAGACGGTAAGTTTCTACGCGCTGCAAAGCCAGAAGGAGGAGGAAGAAGAGCCAGCGCCCAAAGCCTGCGGGGACGTCAGACAGGAACTCGATTGCGAGTACGTAGTAGACTTATGCTGGGTCGGACCGCAGCCCTGTGTCGCCGCGGGGAAGCACAGGTACGTTTGTTGCAGAGATAGTTTCAACCTACTTGATCATGCGAGCTGAAGCTGAAAGAAAAAAAAACAGCGACAAAACCCTCAGCCTCATACCCATTACCAAAGGCACAAACGGGCCTCTGGACTACGCGTTCGACCTCAAAAACAGCACGGTGCTGGCGGGTGCGCACGGCGAGGAGATTGTCCGCCATCTCTTCATCGATATGCATGTACGTAACGCCTCTTTTTTTCCCCCCCCATTTTACCTCCAAACATCGTACATATATCTAATACGCTAAGCAACAGACACACACGACGTACACGTGCGGCGAAGACGGCCACATCCGCGCATGGAAAGGCACAGACGACGCAACCATGGACGTCGACGAAGGCGCGACGTCAGCCAAGAAGAAGCGGAAGGAGAAGAAGGACAAGGAGAAGGCGAGGTTTAAGCCTTACTAGCACGTCTTGTCATTTTTGTGTCTTATGAGAGAGGAGACGCCCGTGTCTTGAGTTCACTCCCCCGATTACAGCGCGCCTGGAAGCCCAAATGAAAGAGAACTCTTTTCAAATACCGGAATATGGGTTTTCAAGGTTCTTTTGACTACAGTGTATAGCTAACACAAATAAAGAGAGAGAGAAAGAGAGAGAGAGAGGAGGGAGGGAGGGAGGGAGGGAGAGAGGGAGAGAAGGGTTGTAAAACCCAGTCGTACATCACACATCCTCTTACTTAACATTCCTCCTCTTCATCCAAGTCTCTCTACCCTCTTTCCCAGCATCCAGGTGCTGAGAGGTTGCGCTGGTCCCTGGAGAGGGTTAGTCGGGGTGCTTATGAGGGGTGGGACATGGTGAGATATGATACCATATGTAGACTGGAGAGCTGTTGGGGCCGTCTTCTGGGTTCTCGATCCCGGCTGCGATGAAGTTCTTCTCGGCGTCGCAGACCAGTGCTGAGATGAGTTTGTGTGCTGTACTACTTGTCAGTTGGACGGTCTTTAGAGTTGTAGGTCGCAGGGACTAACGGCTTTCGACCTGGAGTGCTTTTTGCCTGCTTCTCTTGTCCCAGAATCTAATCAATCCATCTCTTCCTGCAGTTGCAACAGCGTTGCTTGACGCATCGTTTGCTCGTTCCAGACATGTGATGTTGTCATGGGCCTTGGCGACATGTCCGTCGGGCCGCAAATCTGCTGTGAGGAAGCGGAGAGAGTCGTCTGAGGATATAAAGGCCAGCTGATCGGTAATCAAGTAGGTAAGAGGATCTTGCCGCGGCGATGTGGAGATGACTTTGTAGATGAAGGAGCCGGCTGCAAATCCAGCATCGGTGCTGGCGATTTCTCGAAGAGGCGCCATATTGGAGGAAGCGCTGGTAACGGTTGGCGTCACCAGTGTGTTGAAGGTACAGTTGTCACGGTAGAGAATGGCAAGGCGATGAAGAAATTTTCGCCGCAATGAGCGCGAGGTCTTTGCTTCATCTCATATATCATCAGATACGATGCACATCATCAGTCTGTTATCGAGTCGCGATCATCGTCATTCCATTGCGAAAACTATCCTATGCCAACGGACAGCATTTTCCTAGCTTGTCGTAGGCAATGGGTAGGGTTGGCAAAGGCACATTCCAGCGTCCAGTGTCCAGCTAACCAACGCAATTCTACACGTCGCGTCACGCTTGCCCAGCAATCAGAGATGAGGCCGGCGGCGCAAACATCGCTGACATCGCAACAATTGTATATGTAGCCTTGATATGAAACTCGTGCAGACACAGCTTTCGTCGACACAAGCGATTAATACAGGCGTCCCTCTCCGATCCCTTCAATAGCCCCATCTGCTGACATAACGCCAGCAGACAAAGTAGGCCGTCACTCCTGCAGCTCAGCACGTCAAGCGCTCCCTGCCGGCGATTTCGAGGTTCGTTGAAGAGGGAGAAAGGCGGCGCGGGCACACGCGAGAAAATATCGGGTGCCGGGGAAGCAGGTGACTAAGCAGTGTAATGCCGCGCCGGTGATTGGCCAGACAGGGGACCTCGGGAATCGGGAAGATTTGGGTCGCCCTCGACGACGACGACATCACCTTCTTGACAACAATCGACTTCCCACCGCCAATTGCTACCGGGAAACAGCATCATGGCCTCTCAGCGCATTTTCCAGCTTGGTCTGCGACGCGCAGCTGCGCCTGGCTTGAGGGTGCAGCCTGCCGGGCGCATGGTTCAGCGGAGGTATGTCATAGCTGCGGCAGCACAACGACGAAGCTCGTGTCTGCCGCCCGCCCACCACCAGAGCTGTAGTAACCAGGACATGTAGACTCGCAGCGACCGAACACACCTCGCAGTCCCAAGCCGCCGAGCTTCTCGCAAAGCAACGTGTCCAACGTCCCGTCTCGCCCCACCTTGCCATCTACAGGCCCCAGATCAACTGGGTCTCGTCGTCGCTCAACCGTATCTCTGGTCTTACCCTGGCTGGCCCCCTCTACATTTTCGGCATCGCATACCTCATCGCTCCCTACACCGGATGGCACCTTGAGACACAGTCGATGGTTGCAGCAGTTGCTGCGTGGCCCGTGGCAGCCAAGGCCGGCGTCAAGGTTTTCTTCGCATTCCCCTTCTTCTTCCACTCCCTCCAAGGTCTGAGGCACTTGACGTGGGACCTGGGATACGGATTCAAAAACCAGACCTTTATCCGCACTGGCTGGGCTGCAGTGGGCTTGTCGACCGCCATGGGCTTGTACTACGCTTTCCTGGGTTAAGCGAGCAGAGGCCGGTTTTGAGGGTAATCCTGGAAATGAGGTGGAAGCAAGGGCTGAAGATGGGTGCGAGGCGAAGATGGAGGCACCAAGAAATGTCGGGGAGCGACAATGGGGGCACACTTGGAGAAGATGGCGAGGGCGCCAATCTGTATTATGTGTATTTGAATGAAACATTGCATCCAATTACGGACAGAGCTGGGCTTCTGTTGATGTTCAGTCATGGATAGCAAGTAACGTATCTGTATTGCACTTCCAAGATTGCACCAGTGTAGTGTCCCAAATAGAGTGGGTAGAGGGGCTCTCTCACGACGACTAAGTATTGATAGGTGAACACTTGATTGCCAGTGTCACAGTCAGTTTGGCCAGCGTATAGTCTGTTCATGTGCTATAGCGTAACACAGGGCTGCTTATGTTGAACAATAGCATGTCTGGACCTTTGTGTCATGGCCAAAGAGGGGATAGAGGGGCTCTCACATGACTTCGCGTCGAGTGTGCCTCGTCCACTTGGCGCGTAACCGTCTCGGCTGCACCCGAGCGAGCAAAGAACAACCCATAGCCGCAAGCGCGCCTCGAGATGCATCATCGCAATGGAAGAATTACAGGCGCCCACGGTGCTCAGCGAAGATTTGTATGATGTGAGTTACCCTCTCCCGTGCCTCGAGTGCCGCATGGCGCGACACCAGACCCCGGCCGCCGATCATTCACGTCGCGGGACTGACGCCACCTCAGGATCCATCTCAGCTCTCCCAGGCCCTCCGGCAGCGGGACTGCAGCGATAAGCCATTCCACTTCACCACCTCGACCGAGACTCAGCACTCAACCTGCCACAGCGCCGCAGCCTTGCTCCATCGGCCTGTTTCTCCGCGACGCGCCGCACCCGCAGAACATGTCAAGCCCGTTCTGTCCAAACACCACAACGCACCCACCAGCACAGGCACCAGGACAGAAACCTCGGGAACAGCGAAGATGTTCAGTTTCAACATCATGGATGCGCCAGGAGACACCCAACCGGACAGCCAGATGCTAAAGACATGGACGAGCGGCGTCTACTCGACAACGACCGAGGGGAAAGACATTGCCTATCCCAAGTCGCTCTTCATTGAGCAGGACGAGGACAGTGGCGATGGCCTACCCACAGACGACATGGACATGGTCGCATCGAGTCAAGAAAACCACATTCCTACACCCACCAGTCCCACTAGAGTCGACACCGATGATGGTGGTTTTGCGCAGAACAGCCTCGCACCCACGAGTCCGTTCAAGTTTCAGACACCCGCATTGGCAGGTAGAGCGGGGGACAGCTCGGGTCAGATACTCAGCTCTGAAGCCCAATCGATCACAACACCTGGCCCCGTCGCTTCCACCAACTTCTTCTTTCCCTCGTTGAGCAATGCTGGCGAAGGGCTTAGTGCGCAGCCCATTTCCCTTACACAAGTGTTCAACAACACCCAGGCGCCCACCTCCCCTGCAGCAGGCGGCGGCGCCACTGATGATATTGTCTTTTCGCGCCCCTCTCCAGACTTCACGCATGTGCGACACTCGAGTCCAATACCAGCGTACTCGAGTCCCATCAAAGCCACTCAACCTGAAACTCCAAAATCTGACCCCGTTGTGCGATCTTCCAGTGAACCACGAACCGAGTACGTCACAATGAAAGAATCACAGGAGAGACGAAAATTGTCCGTAGGAGATGAGCACGGGACTCTGGTTCAACAGGACAGTTGGGAAGAGCTATCTCGCAGAGTCAAGGCCGAAAAGGCAACACAGCATGCCCACCGCCAGGTTGCCAGATCTTTATCAAGTGTCTCTGTGCCAACACCTGTATTCTCGAGGTCATCTAAGAGGGGCATAACGAATACTGACCATACATCACCCGTCAAGTCAAAGACATCGCGAGGTGGAGTGGATTGTGAGGTAGATGGCGATGATGTCACAATGGACGATCAGTCGCAACCCGCGACGGTGAATGAAGTGAATAAGCACAATGCAGAACACCCCGCCAATGAACCAGTAGAAAGCGTGCGTGACGCCGCACGGACTGGTGGGAGATGTAACAGCCACGACAATATTGTACAGGTGCCTAAGACCTCTTCACATCCTTACCGGACTCCTTCAGGCCAACTCTCGCGGGACTCTACTCAACCAGCCACTCAGTCTTCGCTCATGCACCCAGAACATCAACCGCAAGTGATTGGATCGCAAGAGAATTTACGTGCGCTATTCCAGCCACACAGCAGTAGAGAGTCGGTAGCCGTCATGGACTCTCAACCGGACGCCACTGTTGATTTCGACAGCGTTCCACGACCCAAATCACTTCGCTTTCCTTCGTCGCCATCTACGAATCAATACAGTATTAATCAGACTACAATGGCCACTAAGACTGGATATACAAGTCAGGTTATTTCATCCTCCATGCCGCCGATGCCACCCAAGTCTAGCCCCGAAGAAAACGTGACAAACGACGGTGAAGAACGCGTACCCAGCAGCCCGCCACTCTTACCACCTGATGATGCTGAGGTTGGAGATGGCGATGTGGAATACGATGAACATACTTACGATGAATATACCGAGGGCGCTGGAGGCCGAATCTCAGTATCACCAATCGTTGACGAGGACACGCTTATGGATGAAGAGGACGATTTACCAGTAAAGGAAAGAGTGGAAGGAGAAACCGTGACTGAGAACCACGGTGTCCAGCGAGATGAAGACGAATTAGAGTCGGCCAAGCCGGGTGAGGCGGATCTGGAAACGCATCAAGCACCAGAGGCTTTGGAGCAAGCACAGCGCAATGCAACAACAGGGCAGCCAAAACCGCCGCGTATGAAGCGTCAGGATACCATTCCGGAGACAGATGCGCTTGACGAGACACAGCCGTCGTTCTTCACAGACGAGAACTTGGAACAAGTTGCAGGGGGCGACACCGCCATGGGAAATGATGCCAACAGTACTGGACCTTTTCAGGCAGCTCAAGAAAAGCATCGCGGGTCCCAATCCAACATGCCGGCGCCCATTAGCTCAAGGGATAACGGAAGTGATGCAATTGCAGAAAGTAACCGCATCCGATGCTTAGATGACATCTACAATCTCCCCGAGACTCAATTTTCAGCAGCCGAAGAAGACGTAGAAATGCCTCAATTGAGTGGGACGGAGGATGATGATGGCGACATCTTCATGCGACATACTCCGCCAGCTCTACCATCTGCAAAGAGGCGCAAGGTCACATATACTGTCAAACGCAAAGCCTTTCGCGATTCGCCCAAGATAACAGCGGATACGGAATCGCTCTCAGATCCTCCATCGTCCTTTCCAGAACAGGTCCAGCCAGCGGTAGAGGAGAACCAGTCAACCGTATCGATTCATGAGCCCGAAGACCAGGGTGCTCTTACGGCGGTTGATGCAAGAGAAGAGGTGCGATCTTCTTACACTCGAACAACCTCTTTGAAGTCCAGGGTTCTCCCGAGGCCGCCCAAATTTCGTAACCAGAGGCAAGGGGCATTGAAACCGGTTTCGAGAGAGCTCTTGCAAAGCGTGTCTTCACCAGCACATTCTCCCCCAATGTCAAGAGGCCGCCCTCGCACTCGAACGAGCTCGCCAGTTACACCTACAAAACCCCGGGAAGCTGCTGCAAAACAGTCAACTCATGCCGAATTGGCTCCTGCTGATAGCGAATTGGCCATTCCTGTTAGCCCTGTTCCCCAGCCGGATAATGTTGAGATAGCAGAAACTGTACCTCAACGAACTACGACACCACCGGAAGTTATTGTGCCAAACAGAGTTTTTGCAGCCTGGCCTGGAAGTCACTATTATCCTGCTACATATATTGGTCGCGCAACGCCTCGCCAACTTCATATTCGTTATGATGACGGGAACACCACATCCATAGACGCAACAAATGTGAGAGCACTGGATCTCCGTGTAGGTGACCTTGTGAAGGTGGATGAGACGGGTATGAAGAAGAACATATATGTCGTGATAGGCTTCAAAGATAGGCTAGACGATCTTGATGGCGAAGAATATCCGACTACTGATCAGCGCGGACACGCCACGGTTGTTCTCGAGGAGAAGTCAAGGGAGAGTTTACCGGAGGTCAGATCAGCCCAGCCGGCTGAGCATATATCCGTGCCCATGGGCAGCATCTACTTGACTTCTTCCCTCTGGAAGCGACTCCGCGATCGATCCTTTACCGTTTCACCACTCGTCTCACCAGCCAAATCCACCTCGCGCGTTAGTACCTCTTTTGCAGACTCCTTTACCACTCCTTCATTTACACGCCGTGGAACAGCAGCACCGTTGCTTCTCAAAGACGTCACCACGCGCGCTGCATCTGTAGCGTCGACAGCCCGATCAGGCAGTGGGGTGTTTACAAACATGGCCTTTGTGCTCACTTCGACAACAGCAGATGTGGATAAGGACACTATTACCAGACTTATCAAAAGCAACAATGGCCAGGTTTTGGAGCATGGCTTCCACGAGCTTTTCGATTATGAGTCCGAAGGGGTCGCAAATTCGCCTCAGCATCGCCGTAGATCAACTTCTGCTGTTGAAGGATCTAGTGGACTCACACTCAAGCATGCATACAAGGACTTGGGCTTTGTTGCACTCATTTCGGACGCCCACTCTCGCAGCACCAAGTATGTTCAAGCTCTCGCGCTCAACATTCCTTGTCTACACCTTCGCTGGATCCACGATTCACTCAACGCCTCTCGCGCTGCGCCTTTCACTCGCTACCTTTTACCCGCGGGCGTTTCAAAGTTCCTCGACCCGAACGGTGTGATTCGCTCACGCACAATAGTTCCTTACGATCCAGCCAGCGACGAGGTTTCTTTTGCACAGATGATCCAAGACCGCGATCTTCTACTTCGTGGTCAGAATGTCCTCCTTGTGACTGGCAAATCGAAAAAGGAAATCGAAAAACGGCAACCATTTGTCTTCCTTTCGCATGCCCTTGGGTCCGCAACTGTTGGCCGCTGCACTGATATGGCTGCAGCATCAGACATGCTTTCCGACGGCAAATGGGACTGGTTGTATGTCGACAACGGTGAACGCGGTGTCGCCGAGGCAGCAGCTGCATTACTAGGCACAGGAAAGCCCGCATCAAGCAGCAAGCTCAAGAAGAGTGCGAAGAAGAGAAAGAGGGACACGGAAAGCGATGTTCAAGAAGATATTCTCATCAAAGCCGACATTGGCGGTAAGACTGTAAGAATCACATGTGCCGAGTTTGTCATCCAGAGCTTGATATTGGGTGCCTTGATTGAGGAATGAGTTTTCGTTTTACTTTTCACCCTTGAATTCCCTGTGGGCGAATGTTTTTCATTTCTTTTCTCCACCAAAACTTTTTCTGTCTTTTTCTCTCACATACGATTCGATCTGGCTTTCTTTTTTCTTCTTCTTCTCGAAAATGGTTAGAATGCGGCACTTGTGGTAAACGCTCTTTTTTTTATGTTCCTCTTTGCACTTTTCATGTATTGTACTATTACCCACATGAACTCACAACCACAGCCTCTTTCTTTTCTTGTATTCCCTTTTTCTTGTGCAGTTTTTCAAAAGAGGGGGCTTACAGTTTGGACGGACAGGGTGAATCGTATCTGGACACTGCGCAGAAGCTTGGAGAGAGGAAGAAAGGAAAGTGGGGGGGGGGGGGAATGTGCAGTGTATGAGGAGATAGAGTGGTATGATGTATTTACTTGTCCTATCCTTATTTCAAAGTACAAACGTATTGTATGGTGCATACATGAACACAGCATAGCACAGCACTCATGTTCGACTAAAGGGAGGTGTACATCATGCCATATAGCCCATTTACCACGCTATCAGCACAAATGCGTTGGGAATCTCTAGCCAAGAAGAAGGTCAGCCTTTCTTAATCTTTGTTCTGACTGCAATTGCTTATGCTAGTTCCATTTACATCTACACACAGGCATGAACACATCTTGCACATAGAGTAAAAAGAAAAAAAACGAGGAAAACCATTGACGACATTGCAATACTGCTTTCAGCGAGAAGGCGAAAAGAGGAAAGAACTGAACAGTTTCTACGCAGGTAGGTATATGCTTCAGCTACACGCGAGAAACTCAGTGTGAAACAAGTCTATAGGAGGAACTACGCACTTATATGTAGCAAGTACACTATACGATGTATCATCCCGGCAATAACGAAACTCCTCATCCTTTTGCTGCGTCGTACCGCCTATCCTAGCTTCTTGGTAACACTAGTGCAAATTGCAGAGAGGTAGCAATGATGTGTGTATACCAAGACCAAGCTTTTGTCTTGGTCACTTGATTGATTTAGCTACGAGAGAGGGGGTGGGGCTTCGTTGAACACGGTATAGGTATAAGCCAAGGTGATTCCAAATCATCAGCTAGAAAACATGTTTACAAACTATGCTATGTAGACTGTAACTTTCGTCTCACACTGTACCATGCTACATCCCAAATCCACACTCACACTCACACTCACACGACGCAGAAAAAGCTACTCGACAAACCCCTACACTACTACCGCTCGGAAACCTTTCCAACCCCCAACAAAACATTCACATGTAAACTCAACACCCCATACCCAAAAAAGATAGCTACAGCGGCAGCAGTACCCACAGGAACCCCCCTTCCCATCCGCACCATCTGCACCATGCCCGCCCCCCCCTCCTCCTTAATGCAGCGATAACGCACGACGACGTAGTCCCCAATATACAAATATGCAGTAATGAAGTCACAAGAAAGAAAAAAGAAGCATGCAGAAACCCCACGCATGGCCTTGCATCTTGCACAATAAACATCCTAACCCGCCGGGGCGCCTTCGCTTCTCGACATGGGGAACCACGCAATGCACATGCACACGCCGGGAGAGGGGGGGGGATGTTAGGTAGGGAAACTTGGATGTGCATATATACGTATAAACGGCCGCTTCGAGGATGAAATGAAGGCGGTGGTTAGGAGTGTGAATCTCAAAGGCAACAGTGGAGGATTGTGGAAAAGGCCTTTTTTTTCGGGGTTGAAAATAAGAATACTGGAATCTAGACTTTCATCTACAACTACAGATGATAATACTGAAAACGTCGGTGTGCCGTCGGTACAAACAACCCCCGTTTCGATTGCAGAATCAATAAAAAAAAGTAGACGAATACTTGCCTTGTCGCTGTTGTAGCGACGACGACGACGACGAACTAGGCGCGTGGCCCCTTGTCCGCCTTGTCTATTTTATCGAAATGGTGACGCCTGGAGGATTCCTGTTTGTGCTAGCACACAGGGCGCGTCCGCTGCCTCCCCCCCATTCTGCCTGAATGCAATAAGGCCAAGCCGGCAGGATCGCGCTTAGTGGCACAAGGGGGTGGTGGGTGGGGGTTACTTTGTAATCTGCAGTCGACGTTCGAGAAGGTACAAGTGGTATGCGTTTGCATGCAATAACAGCAAATGAGGAAAGCATAGGGAACAGCAAAAAGGGAAGGAAGAGGATAAAAAAAGGGGGGGTGGGGAGGGGAATGGAAGAATAGCGTGGGGTGATTTAGCCGTGGTTGTAGGAATCAAAGGAGGGAAGGAAGATATTGAAATTGGAAATGGAAGGGAAGGAAAGGAAAGGAAAGGAAAGGAAAGGACCAAAAAACTGGGGGCATAGGGTCAAAGGGAAAACAAAGCGTGCTGCGTGAGTCCGAGGATGCACAAGGGAAAACAGGTAAAGGAGGATATGCAAACATGGGTTTTCTTGCCTAGGCTGATAATTAGCATGTTCTTGTCGAGACATCTCTCATCTCGCAATGCTAGACGATTGGCTTGGCGCCTTGATGGCTTCGTCTTTTGAAGCTTGACATGTGAATAGGCCGCAGACAAGACCACGTTGACCTGTTCATAGCCCAACACGACAGCTATTAAGGACCCGCCTAGATGCAGCGCATAATGAGCGATTTTTCTTCTTCTTCAGCTGCCCATTGCACTTCTTTGTCAACGGGCGCCACTGCAGCCCTCGGGCAGCTTGGAAGCCTGTGGATCGACGGCTTGGTGAAGACTATGAGCTTACCGAGCCTCCATGGAGAATTCAGCTGCTTTGCCGATGTACAACACGATGTCTTGCATTGGGCTTTATGCAGTGCTGACCCGATATCTTTTGCCACAGTGGAATAGGCGTATGAGAGCTGGGCAGAGGGAGTTGGTGGAATCCTTCGTGCCAAGCCAGTTCGTTTGACAAACGCACTCGCGTGACAAAATACTGCTGGATATGCAGCCACGCGGCGTACAAAGGCAGGCCCAACCGACTTGTGCCATGCGCCGTCGATTCCTTCCAACGTAATACGCTCAAGACGGCACTGCTTTAGTTGGCTCTCGGTACATTGCTTCAGCCACGCTGCAAAAAAACCAATAATTGTCCACACGGCTTCAAATGCCGCCTCGCATACACAAACCCCCTGCACTGACATAGCCGTGCCGTCCGTGTCCGCGCGGGGTATCTTAGCATTAGTCGGCGGCGTGAAAGGGTAAAAAGCAACATATGTCTTGCCAGTGTCAGCCAGACAGCTAAAAGTGGTATCATGTTAAAGCAGCGTTGCAGCAGCGCAAGAGGATTGATTGTGCTGCCACTGCTGAGATGGGCTCGGTCAGTCGCTGCCACGTGCAGTGACTGGAGAATGTATCGCATATTGTCTTGGTACAAGTTGGTGGTTGCGCCGCTCGTGTTGTTACCTGCTGTAGGATTGATAGGAAGACCCCTGCGAGTCGGTGCAGCGCGTTAGGCATGTTAGCAACAAGTGTTTATGATGTGCATGATGGCGCGCGAAATACTCATCAGGTATCAATTGCGAATGCGGCGTGTGGAGATTTCCATCGAGGATCCATACTGTTTCAGTCTAGTCCAGGTGGGAGGAGCAAAGTATACACCTAGTGAGGCGAAAGCCATTCGTATGTCATGTACCAAAGCAGAAGCTCTGAGCAACAGAAAACCGTTTCAACCCTGCAATGGAGGCACCACCAACGGCCCAATGGACAGGAGTGGAAAAGAGCGTCTTCAGAAACACTGCGTACCTGCAGGCACGACTCCTGCGTCAGCTTTGTCACTGGCGTCTACACGCTGGGCTCGGCTGTGATCCGACGGACAATATACCAGATTCATTTAAGTCGATATTAAGGCCCGTGCCGATCAAACCCTGCTGAAGATTGGTGGTATGTACCGGTTCAAGCGTCCAAGTACTGGGAAAATGCCAGTACACACATATGCGAGTATTTGTGCCAGATTGACATATTGCGTGAACCGAGAAGTGGTTGATGTGAGCGGGGGACCGGTAACGAGCGCCACTGCCACTGTGCTTGAGGGTGAAGCAGCAGGGGGTTACCTGTCATGACCTTGGCACCGAGGTATGTGATGTGCCTAGGCCCGTTGTGACCTTGGATCTTCGCGGACCGACCAGGTTCATGGTTTGAAGCTCTTGTGGCAATCTATTGCCTGACTAGGGTGAGCGGAGCGGCAGTGAAATGTGGCCTGAGACCCCGTGCAGCAGTCAAGCCATGTACGGTGAATTTTGTTGAACGAAGGATTCGGCATGTATGCCTGGTCAACAAAAGTGCCTCGGTGATGCGCTTGGGTGCGGCCATGAATATTCCTTGATTGAGGCATAGCTGGTTACACAATCATGTGAGTTGATTGTCAACTAATGGATGTTTTGCTTGTATATTCGCTGTGCTGGCTCTGCTCCTCAACAATGCACGGCGTCCCAAGCAGGGATGTAGCGACTCGCTCTTTAGCCTCGGAATAACATGGGCTCGGCTGCTTCTGTCATGGCAGACATGGCAGCCAATGCACGGATAGAGCGCATCAAGATTGACTTTGCATATACTTGACGAGAAAGCAGCTCGCAATCGACACGGACAGGGCTGTGAGCCTGTGTGCCCCTAAGATGGGCTCGCGTAAGCATCGTTTCAGCCACCGCGACGCTTGAATGTGATTGGGCAGACGCCCATGACGGTTGGTGAAGAGGCTGGATAGTGTTTCTGCACACCATACTTGATACAGGACTGCTTACCTTGTAGCGCAGCTATAAATTGATTGCTATACTTGTTCATCAACCCTGCCGGATCTGCGGTAAGGGTGCCGTATCGACTTGTATTTATGCTGATGAAAGGGTGATAAGGAGGTAAATGGGCCTGATTGCGTATGGTGCGTGGGTGCTTAGCCGCGAAGTGGGCGCACAGGCGCATGTGCAGTAGACGTGTGAAGATGTGAAGGTGTCATGGAAAGATGCAGCATCGGCCGTGGGCTGAAGCCCAGCACGCATCGGGCTAGCGCCGTATACCCCGCCCCCGCCTTCCTCGTTGGGCGAGCCCTGGCCAAAAAAAAATTATTTACAGCAGCACCGAGTGCGACACCGAAACGCAGAGCCGACCCCCAACCATGGCAGGCCTGGACGAAGACAGCATAGACGAGATCCTCTACCTGGCGCGCGCAAATGAAGCAGCCGAACTCGAGTCATTCCTCTCTGGGCTCGCGGCGCAGACGAAGCGAACCAAGGCCGACCTGCTGACTGCGGCCATCGACCCGTATTCCAAGAACAGCGCGCTGCACTATGCTGCTGCTAACGGCCATAATAGTACGACGCCCACGTCTTGATACTGCCCTGCGCAATTCTGACCTGTGGTCTAGACATTATCAAACTACTCTTCTCGGCCAGCACAGAGAAGCCCAGCCCAGCCTTTCTGAATGCAACCAACGAGGCGGGCAACACGCCTCTTCACTGGGCCGCGCTAAACGGCCAACTCGAAAGCGTCAAGCTTCTCGTTCAGGCCGGCGTCGATGTCACCATTATCAACCGAGCGGGCCATGACGCCGTGTACGAGGCAGAGATCAACGACAAGAACGAGGTAGTTGACTGGCTACTTGGGGCCGTCGAAGAGCTCGAAAAGGGTATCGGCCACACGGGCGAATCCACTCTTGGAGAAAGCACCGATGCGGAAGCGGATGGCATCAACGACGACGGTGCGGCAAGTAACGATACACATGCCCAAGGGCCGTCAGTGGAGAATGTCCGGAAGCAGATGGAGGATTTGAACACGCAGGACGGTGCTCCCAAGCATGGTTGAGTGAGCTGAAACTGTTGACACCAATTAAACACACTGTTAGCGGCCTGCTCACTTGCCAGGAACCGTGATGGCTCCGCATCACCAGGAGCCTGTCCGACAAGGACGTCGTTGCATGACGTAGTCGCAGTTGAGATGGATGGACGGCACCCATGTCTCACGTCATCGGAGGCCATGATGCCTGTGGAGGAAACTGCCGAGTGTGTGACAGAGACTTTGGTGGGAAAGCAGATGGTAGAAATGGTGTCGTTAGATCCTAGGGTATGCGCTATAGCGTACAAGACCGGTTGCCGGCTTTTTTTTCCTCTCCAGGAGCAAGAGGTTACCACCTGGACCTCTTACCAAAAGCGCAGCAAACACGTCTAAATCAATGGCCAAAGAATAAGCGTGTTACAACAATCTGCCGTCCAAGCACGTGATGATAAGAAGGGCGTGCCCATGCAGTCCGGGTGCGGTTCGTTCCGCGGCGCTAAACAAGAAGATTCAAGACAAGTACAAACTCCGTTTAGGCCAAAAAGTTACAGCCATGCATCAAAAGGGGCAAAAGGCCAGTGTCAGACCCTACCTTGGAAGATATACGTAATCTCATCATCCCAAAAGGGTGCTGATGATGCCTAGTTCGCATTAGTGGACGTATTGACTTTTGCCGTCTTCTTCTTTCCTTACCGCCCATACGCGTTCAGTCGGAGCGGAGCCAGGCCTTGCGCTTCTCCTCCTTTTTCTCCTTGCGCTTTTCGTTGTATTCCTTGAGCTGTTTTTTGGACAGCGTTTTTGCGCGGCGCTCTGCCTTGAGGCTGCGGCCGTCGTGGCTGTTTGCCGCGGCATCTACATCGAAGAAGGCGTACATTTGGCGCTTGCTCTTGTTCTCGTCGTTGTGGAGTTCGGGCCCTTGGCCGGCCTGCTGGAACTTGCCCGTGAAACGGTTAAACTGTGCAGTAGCCGAATAGTCAGCACCATACGGCATGCGCGCGGCAGCAGCGGCAGTCTCCTCTGCCTCTTCCTCCTCCTTGGACGCCTCCTTGGCGTAATCTGCATTGGGATCGTAGCTGCCATGGATCGCTGGGTTGTAGCCGCCCCACTTGCGCTTAGGAGGAGAACTAGTGCCAGGCGCGCCAGAGCTCGAGGCCACTGCGGGCGTGCTGCCAGGGTGGTTTCTGTCGAGTTGACGTATTAGGCTGGGAAAGACAAACGAAGACGATGATAGTTAGCAAACCTGTCATACGAGCCGTAGGTGTACGTGGTGGCATCCGGGACGCGGGGGTTCTCCCACTGCGAGACGCCCGTCTTGTGGTTGTAAAAGTACCAGGCACCGGCGCTGTAGTCCCATCTGCTCTCCCAGCCGTCGTCGTCGGCGGCGGGAGCGGGCTCGTCTGGGAGCGGCGGTGCGCCATCGTCATATGGCAGCGGGGCCTCGGTGCTCGACGTGTAGCTGCCCTCGCGGTTGGGCGCGACTACGTCTGCGGCCTCTGGGGTGGCGGAGCGGCCGTCGCCGGGCTGCGCGGGGGCGGGTGCCGCTGGTGATGGATTGCGCGCCTGGTCTTGGAGGGCGGGTTGGGGGGCCATAGCGGGGGTGGAATCTACACACTTTACACTGTTAATGAAACAACATCCGGAGGCATGCACGTGAACGGGACGAGAGCGCGGGTGAGAGGCGGATGACGGGGGTGGTGGTGGTTGCTGGAGGTTGCTTGTGGTTGATGTTGCGCCTGTGCCTGTCGACTCGGGGCGCGCCTGCACAGACTCGGGCGGGGCTTGGCGGGCAAGGCGCTAGTTGCGTAAGCAGACGGTAGCGTGTGCGTGCATGTGACGAGGCGTGGAGGCGTCTCTCCCACACGCACACACCCTCACACGCACCCACACACGCACCCACACACGCACCCACACACACCTACACCCCCCTCCCCCCTCACTGCTGCCCTGCCCTGCCCTGCCACTGCGGCCACGGCCACCGCTACGGCTGCTACATTACCCCAACCCAACCCCCAACACTGGCGCTGCTCACGCCCATGACTCGCAAGCCGCCTCGCTTCGGTGGGCGGTGCAGCTCAACGGCGATCCGCCTGTGCCTTGCGCTGCGGTCCTTGCCAGCACCCGCTCCTTCGCCGGAGGGCGCGGCGTGTCGTGTCAAAAATACACACGCAGCAATGGTAGTGCACTGTGGGCGGCGTCATGGCAGGCAGCGGGCCACGGCAGCCGTCGCTAGATCGACATTACAGTAGCTTCACCTGCGGCATCCGCGCGCATCGCCTAGGCTCGCTCACCCTCATGCTCATTTGCGCAGTGGCAGTGGCAGTGGCAGTGGCAGTGGCAGCGGCAGTCTGTGACAGCGTGCCATGAGGAGGGCCAAACCAAACCATGATGCAACTACATGCCGTCTCCGCCCCCTCCCCTTTGGCGAGCTCCAGCACCCGCGGCCGCTCGACGAAACCGCGCCAGAGGCCTTGAGCCGTTCGGCGCGGGCCAAGATGGCTTCATGCAAGCAAAGCCAGACACGCGTTAGGGGATCCGGGACGCCCAAGAATCGAGATGGGCTCCATCCGCCGCTCAACGGCTGCTGTGAGCTCATTCCGATTGGTTTCCACCGCCGCTTTAGCATGCCCACCACTGTCTCTCCCGGCTGACAGCAGCAACAAGGGGCCTCGGCGGCGGCGTCGTCGTCGTCGTCGTTGCGCTGCAATGGCCCCGTGCGTGCTGGCGATACAGGGCCGCCCGCCGGAAAATCTGTCCGCGTGGCTCTCTCCACAGGCACCGCCGACGAGACAGCAACAGCAACACCACAAGCAACTACTACAACAACATCACCACCGCCGCCAACATGGTCTCCAACATGGTCTCCAACAACAAAGACGGCCCCTCGGCCCTCTCCCGCCCGGCAGCCAGGGCGGCCCTCACGGTGGCTGCGCTCCTGAGCTACCTCAGGCCCTTGGCCCCAACCCACAAACCAAAGCTTATTGGACAGAAGCGCTCCAGAACCTAACGCCAGGTCCCAGAGTTTCGCGGCAGAATAGCGAGGCCATGTTCGCTGCATTCCGTTCCCACGCTGCATGATCTGCACAGGTCATTAGTGTTAGCAGTAGCTGCGGTTGGCCAGTGCCGGGTTGGTACGATCTGGGGCTCCCATCGCCCACGACTGCAGTAACGTGCATCCGTCTGCATCGCACCCAGCCGGCTGCCTGCCCTTGGACGGTATCGACTCGATATCTGCAGCCAATATCCCGGCTGGCTTGCCCGCTACCCTGCTTTGTCCTAGCATCCTCGGGTCTCAAACAGCAGAGAGCTCCATGACCATGTCCCTGGCGGTCCGTCACTGCACGCCACTGGGATGATAGCTGGCCTACTTTGAAGCCGCGGTCGCTTCCCTTCGGAACCTGTTCTTACCAGGGCGTCCTAGTAAGCTCGTTACTGGCCGAGCTCCTGTCCCGCTGTCGTCTGCCCACCTCCGCCTCTGCTACCCGGTATTATCGTATTTATTGCTATATTATCCTTTGCCTCGCGACTAGGCAGTCCAAGCATTGTCCGCCGTGTGCTCGGTGTCGATTGCGCTCGCAAGGCCTGTCTGCGCCGCATATCACAACCCCTGCGTCTGTAAGTCCTTCCCGTGTCGCCCCTACACACGCTTCTTGACCTGCACCGGTGCTTTGTGCGTCGGTTGCTGTCCATAAGAAGCAGGAGGAGCGGACCTCCATCTCCAGACGTCAGCCCTGCACGGACTGTTGATTCTTTGGTATATTTTGTTTTCTCAAACTGCAATAGCACGCTGCAAATATTCCGGTGCTGGCCCACACACACGCCGCAATTGCTGTCTTGTTCGCTGGCAACCTCCTCAACCTCGCCCCGACACCCCTGTCCGCCCGACCAGATGATTGTTAGCTGATGCCTTGTTTACATCAGTATCGCACACTGAAGCCGTGCCTGAATCCCTCGTCGACGACGACAGGCCGTCCATAGCTCCTGCTGTCCCGAAAAAAATACCTGAATGTGCTCCATCGAGAGAGTGCACCGTGGGAGTTATCCAGTTTCAAAAGCCGAACATCAACCCCCCACACATCTTCTACTATGCTTCTCAACATGAGTCGCCCGGCTAGCATACCATCACACTCAGGTCCTCCGCCCTCATACAACTCGTACCCGACGCATCATGCTTCAGCATCTCGACCCGAAATCGTTGCGCCTGGCCATCAGGTTCGTCCCTCAGAAGCCAGTAGCAACCAAAAACTACCCAGTCTTCGTACGCTCTTGGAGCCAGAGCTACTCGACAAGAAGGCTTCCGATCCGCCACCGAGCGCGGCGGGCGCTCAGCTCTCGCATCCACATGGCGGGAGATACGGGTCTTCCAGTCCGACATTGAAACGGCGGCATGAGTACGACAGCCATTTCCATGGTTACCCAGAGCATAATTCTCTACCCTCTCAGCCACCCTATCACCATCGTCAACCCTTCACAGCCGCAAATGCTACTCCATCCACCGCTTCATCGACATCCAGCTCTGGCTTCGGCGTCAGCCGCGGAGAGCTTCACTGCCGCGAAAGTTTTGTCCACCCTTCGCCACATGATCTGACTGGCAACGGACGTCGACAGCCCTCATTAGTGTCTGATTCTGCGGGCGCAGTCGTGGCCCAGGCAGCCCAGCAAGAACTAGGCTTCGATCCGAGTAGGCCTGTTAGAATGCGACGATTAGACGGTTCTTCACGCGCACCGATACAAGCCTCGCGATGCGTTGGCCAGCGCGACATACCGGGTGAAGGGCTTTGCTATGTCTACGAGGATGGCACTTACTGCCGAGCCATCATAGATGGCGAGGCAGTCAACCCCTCGTGGGGCATCACAAAGGCTGGGAAGCCTCGTAAGCGACTTGCACAAGCTTGCTTGACTTGCCGAGAAAAGAAGATCAAGTGCGAACCCGGATATCCCAAATGCCACCAATGCGCCAAATCCCAAAGGGTATGCAGAGGGTAAGTGGCTATTTCCGTCCATACATCTTCGTCGTCTTCCTGTTCGGGTGCTGCAGCGCATTGACTTGCACACTCGACTATTCATGCGTGAACCACTTTGTGACAAATGCTAACCGCCGCCAGTGGTATCAATCAGAGCAATACGTCTGGCGATATTTCTCCGTCGAGCTCCGCTCCGCTATATAAGCACCCGTCATCTGAACTGCTCAGCCCTGCAGTAGGTTCAGACAGAACAAAAACTCTGGGAGAACTACGAGATCAATCAAAACCTTTTGACGCTTGGAACACCGGAACGCCTTACAGACCAAGGAAAATTCGATCAACCACGATTGCGAACAAGAGAGACATGTCGGTGCATTCCTTCGACTCTGATTGGAGTGGCTCCGCAAACGACCAGCATATGGAGGACCCTGGACGCGGCTCGTACTCTGACCAGCTTGCGCTGCAATGGGAACAAGACCCTTTCGAAACCGACCCGAGGCTTACAATGGATCTGGTGGAACTCTATTTTCTCCATGCTGGCCGTGCAACGTACAGCATGTTTCCACGCCGGCCCTTTATGAGGTGGGTGGAAACAAACCGTGACAAGAATCAAGACCACCTGATGCTCCTCTATTCTATCCTGGCAATGGGCTCCATTTTCGCAACAGATCCGGAGAGACGAGCGCTGGGCAAAAGATTCGCTTCGGTTGCGTCCTATGCGGCAGAAAAGCGCTTCGGAAAATTTACCTTGCAGCTGTGTCAGACTCGGCTGTTGCTCGCGCTTCATTTATTCGCCAAAGGCAAATCACAGGAAGCCTGGGACTACTGTGGCGCCGCTCTACGCGCCGTCAGTGCCTTGAAACTAAATGCCGAAGACGGTGTCCAAGACCTTGCTGACAACAATGTCAATATGGATTACGGGTTCGACCGTCGGACGTTTGAAGAATGCTGCCGTCGTACCTTTTGGTCTGGACTGCTGATGGATGTAAGTTGCGACATCATCAAGGACCCTACACCCGTTGAATTGACCCCCCAACAGCGATACAACGGCTTCATCGGGGGAACCTTTTTCGTCCTTAATCCGGAGGATGCTTTTGTCCGGCTTCCATGCCCGGATAGCATGTATGAGACCTCGACTCCATGCGATGCCCCGTTCTTTGACGAGGAGCTTCTGAGCAACCGAGCGGCACCCAACCCCGCTATGGGTCACATGGCCCACTTGTGTGTGGTCTCAACACTGTGGGGAGAGGTACTGACCTTTACTGGTCGAGCTGCGCGGCGACCCGACACTGGATATGAACGACATTATGAAACGTTTTATGCAAAAATCTACGAGAAGTTGGACGCTTGGCACGCCCTGTTGCCCGAAAAACTGCGTTATACCCCCCAAAACCTCGACGCAAGTATCATTGAAGGATATGCAGGCACCTTCATATCGATCCATGCTCTGTACTCGGCAGCTGTTATTCGACTGAATCGCCACGTCCGCGTGCACGCATTGCCGACAGAAAAAATATGCCGAAACCTAAAACAGGCCCTCGGCATGGCATCCAGCTTTCTCTCCATGATGCACACGCTCGCCCTGGTAAATCGTCAGCAGCGTCTTCCGGCTTCCGTTGCATCAGAGTTCATGTTTTCGACTCCATTCCCCGGCTATGCGCTTATGCTGTCGGTTGACGTGCTCACGTCTGCCGGCCTTATCTCCGCACTGCCCAATTTGATCGAGACACTGAGTACTACTGTTTCGTGCATCGATGAGTTGGCAAGCTTTTGGGCATCGGCAAAGACGCAACAGAAAACAGTGTCGCATCGTGTCAAGCAACTAACGGAAATTGCTGCGCAGGATGGACAAAATGTCAGGAGTGGCAACTACGGCAACTTCTGGAGGATGAACAACAGTCTGCAGACATCTTTTGGAAGCGATGATTTGTTGTACAAGGCCGAGGAACAGTTATTGTTTGGCGTTGTTGGTCAGCTTGCGAGTTAATAATTGCTTTGCCGCAAACAGTCATGGTGTAACCGCCATGAATATGCGTTGTCTTAATGGCATTATCGGCAAGGTGGTTTTGTACTTGAATCGCCTGGAGGCTTTGGTTTTGGATATTCATGCACCATCACCTTTCTTCTTGTGTTCAATTTGAATACAAACAGCATGGGTTGGGGAATCTGTATACGCAAAACGGCAGCCCCGTACGCGTATCAGCCAGCAACGAACAACCATGATGCCGGTTTCACACAATTGTAATATCCGGCTATTCTCTACTTGTACAGTCATTACGCGCACTATTTAAGGACTCGTTTAGGCGTTTGCTATATCTGAGCATGGTCAGGAACCAACAGGGGTTTGTTATGTCTCAAGGGAATGAATAAGCAACGACTGGTAACGCTTGACGCCATTTCTCATTCACTTCGCAGTGGAATATTGAACAGTCTTAGTATGAGTATTACAATGAGAGAACAACTTGAAGCCTCTCAATAGAGCTGTCCTCTTGCGGCATCACTGGAACGTCGGATCATTCGGCAATGCACGTCCAAGCTGTCAATCATTACGTTCTTTGACATCAGCCACACGACGGCGAGCCTTTGGTCTGGGTCAAGCGCCAGTGCCCAAGCTTCTTGCACAGCAGCATGACCAAGTGCGCCTGCGGTGCCACATGGCACAGCACGTTTTGCTCTCGGATTGTTACACCACGGCTGATGGGGCACAAGTGAGTACCCGTACCTTGCGCGTGGGGTGGTACTGAGCATGCTGAGACTGCAATAAGCAACCCACGAAGCAAGGTTGAACCATGTGGGGTTCCGGCTCAGACCAGGAAACTGTGCGACCACAGACACTGATGAACGTGCACCACACCCTCGTTGAGTTCGTCCGCTTGGGGCCCAGTGCGTCAACAACATCAGTGCCAGTGCCAGTGCCAGTGCCAGCAGCGCCAGCAGCAGCCTACTGCCAAGGTATGCAGGATTCGTCAACACTCAGTGATTAGTATACGCATGATGAAAGAGCTAACGTCAGAGTCCAGTCAGGTAGGTGATCATGACGACATGGCTACCTGTTCAAGTACCGGTATGGCGCTCAGCACGTGCATGGCACCAGTGTGTGGCTTTGGAAATCATCATGTCTACCGGACGATCTCTGCGCCACGCGAATCAAGTACCGGCTGGCAAATCTGTGTTGAACACGCATTGCCATCCGGCCCGCGTCCCTCAAATCGCCTGCACGTCGATCCTGATAGAGGTGAAGAAAGGGGCTGACGACAAGTCCTCGGCAGCACATCACTTCCACATTCGATACCGTCCAGTCCGAGTGTTTTGACTTGCACTCACACGGACAACGCCGATAAGATAGCTCGACGGGCTCGGAACTAAACTAAAAGGCTTGGGACGGCACTGGCCTTGAGCGCGCATCATGGCACGTTACGCACAAAGGCCCCGAAGTGCACCCGATTCCCGGGAACATCACGATGGTACCCCATTGCTTTGCACCGCTACTAAACTCCTAATACGTAACGGAGCTTGCGTCCGTTGTTGGGCCGGGGGCGGCCACCAGATACGAGCTGGATAGCCCCTTGGAAACACACTTCACAAACGTTATCGCGGATTCATCTGATGGGCCTGTAAGCATTCACTGCAAACGGCACGGAAGTACCTGCTGCTGCCAGTGACTCCCAGAAAAGAAGGCACCAAGGCAACTAGGTGTACTGCTACTCAGTCAGCTTGACACCCTTGCTACCGCTACTACGCCACTGACCGTCGGCCACCGATTCGCCCTCCCACGCGACTATCGGCCAAGGCAGATGAGAAAAGCACACCGGGCGAAGCACAAGCAAGGTTTTGCTAAGCGAATGAAGGATCAAAGGTACCGAAGTTGTCAATGCGGCCCCCTTCTGTCCATTCTCCATTACCGATTTCACGTACTTTTTCCGGAGCCAGCCTCTAGCCCGCCACTGCCTACATCCCACTACCGAAAAATAACGCCAGTCCAACGTAACGCTTGCCGCTAAGGATCAAAAACAAAATACGAATTCCCCGCTACTGAACAAAACCTTCATCATTTACGCCTCATCCTATCACAGTTTTGGAATCCATTTTATTGGGCAGAGACAGCAAGCACTCGATAAACTTTGTTTCCTAGTTCGGCATCTCGGTATGTTCTCTGGCGAGTAGGACAATCGACCTGGTGAGTATTTGCTTGTTTGCTTTCGTCGCTTTTTCTTGTTTGCTTTCTTTCTGGCCTTGATGGCTCACACCGGAGAATTCCATGTTTTGCGCATGTAACCGTGTACCACGTATGTACCCATCTATTCGGTGGCAAACAGTGCCGAGTACCACACACCTCTCCCCATCCCCACCAACCCGAGCAGAAGCACGAGCATGAGCATCATGCCCTAGTGTAGAAAGGCTAATAAAACAACGTGTCTCTTACAGCCCTAGAAGGAAAAAGAAATATACCTGCAATTTAGTGTCTGTGTGTGACAAGTATCCCACGTTTCTGGGACCCACTTGTCCCTTTCCCTCCAACCCCCCCTTTTGCCTTCCACTCTCATTTCTCCTTTCTTTTCTTTTTCGCTCAACCGTATCCGCACATTGGCCGGGAATAGTATACCGTACACCTATAGCAATCACATCACATCGCATAGCATAGCACAGCACAGCACAGCACAGCAGCCACATTCGCTTGGCGTCCGCCTCCCCCAGAGCCCACCCCCCTCGCTTACACCCGTTTTCCTTCACTGGAGGCCTAGTATCACCGTAGTCGCTTTCATAGCGCGCGGCCGCGTGCGGCCGTGTGCTTGTATCTCCGCCAGGCCTCTCGCTCAGCCGGCATGTAGGTGTACTTAGCTGCCACTACCACTGCGAAATCGGACCGAGACAAGACGACTCAGTCTTACACTAGGTGCATCGCTCCATGGCATCAGAAGCAGGGATTTTCAGAAAAAATAAATAAATAAACGAACAATAAGAGGTAGAGGCGGATCAAGACGAAGAGGCGCCACTGGGTCCGGAGATACGCCACGAGGTAACGTGTGTTCTACAGGAGTCTAGGTCTCTCGGTCTCTGGGTCTAGGTCTTCGGTTTCTGGACTGCTTGTCTACTTGCCCTTGAATATACACTAAACCAACCAGCCAGTCAGTCAGCCAGTCAGCCAGCTAACCAACCAGCCCACGAACTACCCTAAGCGAAGGGAAGTCACAAGCTGACTAGTTAGTCCGGTCGTTCGTGGGAGAAGCGGAGAGGCGAAAAAACAAGGGGAAACACGCAAGCGGGAGGGGTACTTATTGCGGTAGTATGTGCGAACCATGGCGTTGACGGATATCCGTAGTGCCATTCGTAGTGTATGCTTGACTGACAGAAATACCAACAACCCGAAATGTCGTTTACACAGTTTGACTAGTGAAGCAAAGCGAAGCGAGAAAAAAACGAGGCGAAAACAAATCAAGAAACACACACAGACCGCTAGCTAGATAGGTAAAGGCAAGGTAGTCCAAGACAAGTAAGCAACATACAGCGGAATTCCCCCCCTCCCCCTGCGAAACTCTGTACATGTATACGAAAGGATAGGCTTAGGCGTACGTACATAGACGAGCACATACCTTATTTTTTGTCTTTCGTATTGTAGACGCATTACTCGCTTCGTGGAATGAATCGCTAGTCGCACTGCTTTGGTACTAGCTTGAGCTTTGTGGGACTTGGAGTGATATGCTGCATTGTTTGCTTGCATAACTTAGCAGGACTTGTCAGTGGTGGCGGCTGCGTCTTATGTCTTGTGTAATGTAATGTAATGTAACGTGAATTTGCTTAGACAGGTAGGTAGGTTAGGTTAGGTTAGGTTAGGTTAGGTGTTGTGTGTACGCTGAAAAGGAGGAAATGTTGGGGTCTTGGAGAAGGTAGGTAGGTAGGTAGGTAGGTAAGTGAATGAGACGGAGGAAAAAGAGAAGGGAGAATGCTAGGTTGATAGTTTGATGCGTTACATGTCTTTGTTTTTCTTATTGTAGAGATGACTCAGTTTGTTAGGATTAAATATGTAAGATTGTGAGAATCTGTGTATATGGGGTGTAGTTGAGGTTGTAGAATCTAAAATTCTCTCTCTCTCTCTCTCTCTCTCTCTCTGTGTGTGTGTGTGCGTTAGACTTAGCACGTATTCCACAGAATCTGGACGTTGTGGTTGAGATTTAGGTCCAAATATACTTAGGCTTCAAGTGAATTCTGTCCAGGCAAAGATAACTATGTAAACAGAATTAAACCAACACACTTCTCTTTCCTCCTGCGAAGCTTTTGCCCAGCTGCCCGCATTCAACCCAAACATGTCTGCTATTTGCACGTTAGAGGAAAACCCCGTTTCACGTATTTCTCCCTCTTTCTCTCTCTCTCTTAGTCTAGACAGGTAATACGTTGATAGGTACTACTGCTACGATATAAACATGGTGTAGCATTCCTAGTATCTCTCTTTTTGATTATTTGAACAGCTGGATACATTCAAAACACAGCTCACCTTTTTTTTCTAGAAGTCTGCTGTCACTGTCAAATACCCATCAAAAAAACACTTTCTGAATAGTCCATCTCTACTATTTGTGAACCTGGCGGGTGATACGAGCCTGTTCAACTTTGTCGATTTATCTTTATCTTTTATTGAAAGTGATACACAGTTTTGATTCGTGTGGAAAGAGAAAAAAAAACCCCCCCCATAGTCCATCTCCGCCTTGTATCAATTCCCTGCACTTACGTCCTCCCCTTCTATTCCTCCACTCAACCCTTTCCCCACCAAAAGAAAAGAGAGCGCTTTTAATATACCCAAGATCTATCCATCCATCGATTCAAAACACTCATCCTTCCCACCTACTCCCCTACCATCTATCCACCCCTTTCCAAACCAACCCACACCCACATATCCCTCAAACCAAAGCACACAAATACAGCACCCATACAAATGCAACAGGAGGCGATAAGGGAGCCCGATCAACTTTATCAATGTAATTTATCAGAATTGATAACCAGACTTGATTCGCGAAAAAGTAGGGAATCATATAAATGAATATGCCACTATACACAGTACCCATTGCCCATTGCCCATTACCCCAATATCCACCACTAACCCCCCTCTTATTTCCAACAGCATTATTCCCATATGAAGCCGAAAAAAAATGCATGTAACCAGGTCTTTTACTCATACGATACGATATGAGAAGCAAATTAGTCCATCAAGCTAGATAGATAGATGTATGCAGTACATAGTATGAACATCACGATGAATACCAATAAGCAGTATAATAGCGACCAAGATATGGCGGGACAGGACAAGACATGGCGTGACAAAGCACAAGCAGCGGCATTAGAATCGAGTATAGGTTAGATCCGAAGTAGACATGCTTCGTGAAGGAAAAAAAGACCCCCCCCCCCTTCCATTTTGTGGTAAATTTTTTTTCCCTCTCTCTGCTCGCATTGTGCAAGTCCGCAGGGTTGACATGTTGGAATGGCTTGGGAGAACACATGATTTCTCTTGATGCATTACTTGATCAAGTTTCATATGCAGGTTCACTGATATATGCGTTAGAACGTTGAAATGACTTGGTAGAACAAGTATTCTCTCTCTCTCTCTCTCCGAATTCATTACTTTTATCAAGTTTCACATCCAAGTTTCACTGATACACATCAAGTGGCACAGATAAAGACGGACGGCAAAGAAGAAGAGAAAAAAAACAAGCCATCATGTTCATCCAGACTACAGATTGTTATCCGCCTTGAACTTGTCCCAGGCCTCATTGAGCGTTGCAAAGACAGCTGCACTAATCATCTTCTGCTCGGTGGTTGCGTCTTGAGAAATCTAGTCATTCATGGGTTAGCATATCTGGTTCACTGACTCCTCGCTACTAGTAAAAACATACCTTGTCGGGATGCACCTTGGCAATGGCCTTCATGTAGATAATCTTGACCTTGTTTGGCATGACCAGATCACCCATGTTGACCTTCTTCCAGCCTGCATCTTCCCAGAGTACCTTGTCCAGACTACCAAGCAAGGCTCGCAAATTGTCCGCCTTTGTACCTTTCCATGCAATGAGTTTGGCATCGACTTGGTCTGTAAGAGCAAACTTCTCGTCGTCTGCACGTTCTGCAGCGGCGTTGGCGGCTTTCATACGTTTGACGGCTTCCGAGTCGGCTGTAGAAGCACCGCCGAGGTCCGACATTGCAGATGGTTTAGGAGCTGCAGGCTTGCGAGCTGGAGGTGGGCGACTCGCTGCCGCAGGTTTATTGCTGCTGCCATTTGCGGCCTTCTCACAGCGATTACGACCTGAAATGGCAACGGCACCACCCACGCCGTTTTGGACAGCTTCTTTCCATACCACGTGTGCTTCGGCCCACTTCTCCATGCTCTCAAGAGCTTCTGCCTTGCGCATAAGTGCTTTGCCATAAAATTCCTTCATGTCCTTTTCGCCTTCTGCACCGCCCGTAGCAATCTTCTCGCCTTCACCTTTGGATGCTCCAATAATGGCCAATGCGGCGTCTGCATCAGAAATGGCTGCTTTCGGGTCGCCGACCTTGATGTTTGTAATTGCGCGGTTGCACAGCACGATGATAGTCACGGGATGTGACTGTGGAAGGGGAGTAAGCGCAGACGAGTAGGCATCGTGGGCAGCCGAGTAGTCTCCACGCTTGAACGCTTCTGATCCTTTCTGCCGGTCAGCCGAAGATGAAGTGAGAGCCAAAGACGAGACTTGAGGGATCTGTCGTGGGGGAGCTTTGGGTCTAGGCGGTGTTGGTGTGCGTGCCGGAGGTCGGCTTGTTGCGTTTGAGGTTGCTTTGAAAAAGGGGTTATTGGATTGTGGCGATGTTGGTTGGCGTGAAGCCTGCGCCGGCGGTGCAGGCTCTGAAGAGAAAAGATCGACTTGCTGTTCCGGTTGAGGGGTGGCCTTTTTTCGACGTGCCGGGCTTACATATGCCTGAGGACTTTGTTCTTCTACCTCTTGACGAGTCAATCGGGCTGCGGGTCGCTTGTCCACTTTGGGGGCTTGTTGTCGTTGAGATGGTGATTGAGAAGACATGCGGTCAGGGTAGCCGCTTCGATCAGCCTCTTGCTCTCGCCTTTGTCGAACTGGCAGCGGCTCCGCGTGTTGGCGCATTTCGTTCGTCCGAGAAGACCTGGTGGGGCGACCACCAGCTTCCAGCATCATAGCCTCGTCCGTAGCGGCCTGATCAGTTCTTTGCTGTCTACCTGAGCGAGGGGCGGCTTCTGCTGCCTGGGCATCACGCATCCATTTCGGCATGTTGGGATCACTCTCTTGCTGAAAGTCGGCCATGGCCTTTTGCACTTGCTTGCGGCCCGTCTTCCAGAGAGAATTTGCAGACTTGAATAGGTTGTTGCCAATTTCCGAAGCCATTTGCGTAACATCCTTCTCTTGACCGTAACCATCTTGCCTGCGCGAACTAGACCGACTTCGGCCTCCATCATCTTGCATCCAAGCTGGCCTGGATCCACCTGCGCGAGGCTCTCTCGACGATGCCCGCCCGCTGTGCCTGCTACTTTCTCGTCTTGATGAATCGTCAAAATCATCGTGTTCGTGACGTGATCGATCGCGGCTCTGTGATTGTGTGTGTTGCTTCGCCTCCGCATGTGCCTGGTTCAGCAACCAGCCTACCGCACCCTGTACGTCTAGACCAGACTCTGTAGTAGCCAATGCAATTGCAGACTTTTCTGCCGGAAAACCCATGTCCACCAATTCGGCGACGGCCTTGTCGTGCGCGTTCTGGGGGCCTGGCGAAGGACGGCGGCTGGTTTCTGACGTTGTCTCGCGGGCTGCCAGCTTAGGCTCCTCCTTGTGCTGAAACTCCGAGACGGGTTTACCCAGCAGGCCTAGTATATCGTCGTCGTCGTTGGTATCGTTTGCCGGAGGTGGGTGTGCAGGCGAAGCCGATTTTTGGGCCATTTGCTTGAGACCAAACACGTCGTCATCGTCGTCCAGGAGCGCATTGTTGCTGACAGCGGGTGGCGGCAAGGGGGTGTTGCCTCGAGAAACGTTGGCACTGTATGCAGGCGTGCTCCGACCGCTGGTTTGCGAAGGGACGGGGAAATGACTTGACGCGTCTACAGGAGCAGCCGAGTTGAAGGCTGCTAACAAATCAGCTTCGTCGGGCGAGGGTGGCTCAGGCCGCCTCAAGCTGGTGTCCAAGCCGGCGAATGGCTTGTTGATGGTTTGTGATAATCGTTGGTTGGTGAAGGGGTTGTTTGACAGGCGCGGGGCAGCAGTTATTGCAGGCCCTTGTGTGCTGTTCCCTCCCAACGTATCCCAATGCTTGGAATCGGCGCCTCCAAACGCAGTCTCCCATTGCTTTTGTTTTTCAGCTTCCTGTCTCGCCTTCTCGGCTTGTATCTGCTTCTGTCGTTCCTGTAGCGAAAGGTTGTTGGTTGAGTCTTTGGGCTTGTTAGAGGACACGAGACTCGCGAAGCTGTCGCCGGCGGGGGTTGCTGGCTTCGAGAGGGCTTTGAGGGGCTGGTTGCCACTGAGGCTTGCGCCCAGGCCGGAGGGCTGTGCAGAAAGCGTCGAGAGGGGGGTTGATCTGCCAGAGAGCTGGGGCGTGGGGCTTTGGCGGAACGGTGGGAGGGCGGCGGGGGTGCTGGCGGTGGCGGGCTTTTTGGCGGGCTGGGACCAGTCGAGGCCGGCTAAATCATCCATTGCGATGGTGTGGTTGTTGTTACAGACGTGTCAGGGAATGTGCATCGAAATCAAAAAAGTCATATCATGGTTGCGGGCGGGGTGCATTACACGTCAAGCTGGGGGAGAGTTGAGCAGCGGGCACATGGGCGGGCGGGCGCGCTTGCTCGCTTCGCGCCACAGGTACCGCCGGGGCACGTGACACATGCAGGGTCCTCGGTAGTGTTGCAGCCCAAAGTCAATTGGACGGCAAAAGCAACCACGGCGATGCATTCTACGTTGCAACCGGAGCCGCATGGGGTGCAGCAGTGCTTTTCGGAGCAGGTGTTTGGCTGGGGAGCGTTGCATTGGTGTGCAAAAATAAGATGAAGAACAGCAGAGACGATCATGGCGGCCCCTGTGCGCACAAGTATACGTGGCTCAAGGGCTCCAAAAGCTTCCCTGCGGTCGGGGGCACAAGGGCCAGAAAGACGTTGCACGTGAAGGCGTGGGAGATGTTGCACAGCCGGGGTTGCATCAAGCGGGTCCCAGAGGCAGGGCGGAATGCATGGGAGCGAGCAGTCCTCCCGAGCTTTGCACCGCGCGATGGAAAGTGGAGTGCAGGGTCGACGAGTGTGAGACAAGCGGCAGGTCGAACGCACGAATGGCACGAGCAAGCCTGGGACCACGGCTGTCAGGTTAAGATTTGGTCAGTGTAAGCATAAGCCTGCGTCGAACCGCGACCGCGGAGATGGGGACCGCAGCACGTCCTGGCGTGAACGGACTGTCCCGACTGCAAGGCCCCTGAGCGAGCCTTTTGCAAGGCTTCCCTCGCCCAGCAGCGCCAGCGGCGAATCGAATCGACGTGATTCGGCTGCCGTGGGCGTGTCGTCTGACTCAGGCCGAAAGACAGGCAGATGACCATTACTCGGAGGCGGCACTGTATCCGGCCCCGCGCGCGGCTAGTGGGCTGGCCGAGGTGAAGGGGAGTGGGCGTGGGCGTGGGCGTGGGAGCAGCAGAGGGTCGCGGTGGCGGGCGGGTGGGCGGGCTGCTGTGGGCAGAGGGTGCTGGTGCGGTGCCCGGTGTGTGTTTGCGAGCGTGGCTGTGTTGGGCACCACGACGACGAGGGCGGCGGCGGGCACGGCTTGACCGTGGCATCGAGGCGTCTTATTAGGCTGATCATAACAGGCAGCTCGAGCCTTGACGGGACGAGGACAGACCACACTGGGCGCTCAGATAATATGGCGGATTTGCCGAGCCGCGAACCCGCGGCCACGGTAGCAGAGTCGTGGTTCCCGCGTCTCCCCGATGTAAGTGATGGGATAATGAGTCAGGGGGGCGCAGGGCAGGCCGACACAGTGTAATGCGGGCGCTGTCAGTTGTGTGGCAGCGTACAGAAGCCGAAGGTTTGGCGAGCAGGTGCTAGTCGTCGGGCGTCGTCGTGGTAGGCGTCGTCGTGGTAGGCGTCGTCGTGGTAGGCGTCGTCGTGGCAGGCGTCTGGCGGGCGGGCATGCACGTGTACAGCGGCCGTCGAGCATGTGTGTGGAGGATATGTACATACATAGCCAGGTACCTGTGTGCGTGCAGGCCGTGGCTAGCCCAAAGGGGGCCAGGACCGATGCCGTGTGTTGCTTTACCGCTTCGAGCAAGGAGCAGGCGTGTGTCCCGCAGAGACTTCGGCGGTACTGGAGGAAGAGGCACCGTGGAGCGAACGGTACATGGGCCAGGCACGAACGCCGTACTAGGCCGCAAGCGGAACAAATTGGGTGGAGCGCAAGCACAGCATAGCACAGCAGCGCAGCGAGGCGGCCGGGCGTGGACTGGCGGCGGTGGTGGTGGTGGTGGTGGTGGGCGTGGGAGCGGGCGTCGTGGGCGTGGTGTCGTTGTCGTTGGCGGCGGCGGCGGTGGGAATTGTCATGATGATGGATGGGGATAGTGTGATTGCCATACTATGCCTATGACTATGACTATGACTACGACCACTACCACGACCACGACTACTACTACTACCACCACCACACTACCGTCCTGCGACCACGACACGACTACCCCGACGGCTACTCGTAGCGCCCATGTCGCGCAGCAGTAGTCCGCGTCGGGTGTAGGGCACAGGCACCGTTCGGTAGAGTTGCAAGCCGTACCTGGCCCGCCTGGTCGCAACATGCTCGAGGGTTTATTGCGGCCCTGCTAGCGCCGTCGCTGGTGCCGTCTTGTCGACACGGAAGAGCCAGGGGGGCCTCCTCCCCCGACGGCACCGCCTATGCTGCCGCTCCAAATACATTATTGTTCAATTCACCACCAGGAGGCGACGCGTCGCGACGCTCCAGACTCGCCACGCCTATTTGGAGTCGTCAAACCCCCTCCTCGCCCACCGCCCGCCCGCCCGCCCGACCGCCTCTGCCTCGCCCACCCCGCCGCCCACGCCCGCGACTGCTGGCTGCTCGACGCCCTCGACAGCGGACCTCGCGCAGCCCACTCCCCCCTCCCCCCCCCTCCAAACCCCCAACCCCCAAGCCCCTCCAAGCCCGCGTGAGGATCCCCTTGCGCTTTAAGCTCCACCACAGCAGTCGCTTCCGGTTTCTTCGTCCAGGGATCTCCCCGTAACGGTCCCGCCCAGCCAACAAGCGCGGCGATCGCCGTCTTTGGAGCAACCTCGAACACACCTCGACGGCCTTTCCTACTACTCTCCCCCAGCAATCCTCGCCAGGTCCACTCCTCCGCCCGCCCGCCTTTTTTTGTGTTTTATTTTTTGAGTTTTGCCTTGCCCACGATGCGTCTCTTTGGCCGCAAGGGCTCCAAGCCCCAGGTTTCGCCCAGTGGCAGCCACCCAAACAGTTCGAATGGCTCGTTGCGCTCCCCTGGCCCCACGCCAAACGGCTCTCGCCCGACCAGCTTTCCAGACGTGCCTCTGCCCAAGGCGCCCGATCCATCGCTCGACCCCGCCGGCTACCTGCGCAGCATCTATGCGGTGCGCGACCGCTCCAAGCTGGTGCTGGAAAAGGCAAAGAAGAACCAGCGCGTTCCGTTGATATTGCGCAAGCCCGCGCTCTTGATCCTCGGGCTTCAGGGTCAAGACGCCTACGTCGATGAAGAGACCACCGTTTCGATATTCCGGCAGTCCCGTCAGCAGCTCGGCGCCGGCAAAGTGGACGTGAAGCAGCTTGGTCATGGGCACCATGAGCGAATAGGCCAGCCATTGCGTGAGCTTGTGCAGCGGAACAATGTTTTCCCAGGGGTGGGTTGGATGCGACGGCATGACCGAACAGGGCCAAGCGTCGCCCATGGGCACGCCGTCAATCTGGGTTCTCGACGGGGGCCAGATGGGGGTCAGGCTGTCCATGAGCATGTTCCAAAAGGTGGGGAGAGGGATAATGGGAACCGACGATGCTTGTGTGGTGGGGTGGGAGAGGAGGTAGTCTGACCATGTTAGTGCAAGCATCAGCCGACGGGACTAAATACGCATACCGAGCATGTTTCCGGGGCGGGCCTCGAGGCCAAAGACCTCTTGGTTCTGCAGCGCTTCTCCGAGGCGGAGGAGCAGACTGGTGCGACCCTCGAGGCCGTCAATTGGGTTCGACGACGTCACTTGCAGACCACGCGCTACTGTGGCGACGTCCAGCTTCTTCAGCCCCGCACTGTCCACTTGGAAGGGCTCTCTGGGGTCGCTGCTGAAGGTGCCGGCCTTGAACATCTCCAGGCTGGCCACGGCGAGGCCCTCGCTGCGGCGGTAGATTCTGCCCGACTCCTTGCTCTTGTACTGCCACTTGGTGCCGGCGCCAGCGTCGAGCAGGACGGAAACGAGGAACAGGTCGAGCAGGCGGCGCGTGCGCTCCTGGTTGTCGACGGTCGAGGGCCACGAGGCCATGAGCTGGTCAATTCGCGGGCGGCCGCCAACGTCAAAGTGTTGCCATCTGCCGTGGGGCGGGATTGCGGCGTAGTCGGGGGCATAGTCGCGCTGGACAGGGGGGGGCCGAGAGTTAGAGCAGCGTCTCGACGAGCGGTTTGGGGGGGGGGGGGGCGCAGGCAGTCTCACCTTGATTATGGACACGACAAAGCTAGCGACGTCTCCAAACTTGGTCATGTCGACGGTGAAGTGCTTGAGCAACAAACAGGACAGCCGAGCATGGAAGTAGTGCCCATGTTCACGGCCGACGACGATGTCATTGTCGAGTGGCGCGCCGTCACGGTGGGACTGCTGGACGAGCTGCTGGAACAAGTGAACAAGTTGTTGCGCTTGAATGGGCCGGACAAGCTGACCCTGGCCCAGATGCTCGAAGCGGGGAGCTGGAAGGTAAGTTCTCGCGCGACACCACAAAAACCAACCGAGGACACTGCTGACTCGACATAACAGGGAGGTCGAGAAATTGCCGAAGTGTCGCGGCCCAACACTAAAGAACCGCCGATCATGATCCTCTCGGACGGCACTGTTTTCTAAGATACCCCTTTCTTCAATTGTTCCGCTTTTTTCTTTTCCTTCACTTCTTTTACATACGGACCGCGTGCAGCGGAAGCGCGCTCCCGATCCCGAGTGAGAGTCCCTCGCCCACGCCGCGATCTGGACCTTCTAATTATGGCCCAGTGCATGGGATTTCATGATACACGATCTTGACGGTCGCATTTGGTGGCACAGATTTTTTTTTGTTCATATGTTCTGCTTGGCCGCGTCAGCCACATGTACATCTTGTTGCTATTTACACACTCCCCCGCAGTCGGAACTGCCCATTCCCTATGTTGTAATGCTTGGAGAGGTACCAAGGGGGCTATTTGGGAATCTAAAAAAATTTGACCAATTCGCCGGGGAGTCAAGCCGGCCTATTGAAGGGCGGGACGTTGCAATTGTGCAATTTGCAATTAGCAATCTGATTTGATTTGCAATCCATGCGACGTTGATTCATCAGCACCGTACGCGGTGCTTGGGAGATGCCGGCCCCGCGCTTGCATGTGACTGGCCTCTGGCTGCTCTGGCCGCTGTTGCCGTTGTGCTATTAATACAAGGATACCCTTTATAGGTCCCCACGTGTGTGTGTGCATGTATGTGTGTGCATGCACATGTGTGTGTGTGTGGGCGTGCTGAAGATCGTGGAGAACGGAAGTGCCCCACCACCGCCAAGCAGAGGAGGGTAGGTGCTGCCACGGCAGCGTGCAGAGGTCGCGTCAAAGCTCCACGCCTCCCCCTCGTCCATTGCTGTTTGCGATACGTCATCTTCATCCCCAGACAACCAGCAACCACCCTAACCATCCGCATTCCCGCCAGCGACGTGACGCGGCTCTCGCCTTTGCTTGTCTAGCTGTGCCCACCCCTGCGCCCAATTAGCTCGCGCATCGCCCCAGCATCATCAACCCTCTCCACGCCCACGATGAATTCGGCCAAGCGCCAGAAGCAGCGCAAGGTGCTGCTCATGGGCAAGAGCGGCGCCGGCAAGTCGTCAATGAGGAGCATCGTCTTCAGCAACTATGTCGCCAAGGACGTGCGTAGACTGGGCGCGACCATCGACGTCGAGCACAGCAACATCAAGTTCATGGGCAACCTGATGCTCAACCTCTGGGATTGCGGAGGGTGAGCGCACCACCAGACGGCATGCCCAGCTGAGCCGAGCTGACCGGGCGCAGTCAAGATGGCTTCGTCGAAAACTACCTCAACCAGTCTAGGAACCACGTCTTTGGATCGGTCGCCGTTCTCATCTTTGTCTTCGATATCGAATCCCGCGAGTTTGCCGCCGACGTCGTCTCCTACTCAAATATCATCCGCGCCCTCCACGAATGCAGTCCCAGCGCCAAGGTCTTTTGCCTCATACACAAGATGGATCTCGTGCAAGCGCGCCTGCGCCAGGCCATGTTCGACGAGCGCGCCGAGTACATCCGGGAGGCGAGCGAGGGCTTCAAGGATACGGTCGAGTTCTTTGCGACAAGTATTTGGGACCAGAGCTTGTACAAAGCCTGGACCAAGATCATTTACTACTTGATACCAAATGCCGGCACCATTGAGGCTTTGCTCGAGCAACTTGCCGAGGTGATTGATGCAAGGGAATTGATATTGTACGAGCGGACAACATGTCTTACTGTAGCGCATGTCACGAGACACACCGAGGAGGGCAATCCCTTTACCGACCGATTCGAACGCATCTCGAGCATCCTCAAGACACACAAGCAAAGCATGGCGTATGTAGCCTTCCTATCCTGCGGCCGCCCTTTGAATCCTACTAACCTGTCGCCGCAGAAAACACACCAACATCCCGGCTGGCAGTGCAAATTTTGCCGAGATGCAAATCAAAACCGGTCGCTTCATGTTCTTTATCACTCGCCTTACCGAAAACACCAACCTCGCCGTTGCAATACCGCCCTCTGAACAAGTCTTTAATGCCGCACGCGTGAACATTTTCCAAGTACGACCGAAATTCGCCGAGCTGGACATTGCGGCCAAGCCCCGTCCACCAATCCAGCAGGCGTTTGCTGGATCCGCAGATACCATGGGAGATGTTTCAGAGAGAGCCAAGGGAAGAGATACGGCCATGCATGGCTCTGCCAACTAGGAGGTGCAGGTTTATTATGACAATTCCAAGAGGATTGATTGATCAAAAGGCGTCATGACATCAAGTGGGAAACAGCAGTTGCCGCGAGTTAAAGGGAGCCGGTGGAATGAAGAAGTTGCCAAGGCCAAGAAGTTTCTGCAAGACTACGCTTCACTGGGAATGTGAGCGATTTGGAGGAACAAGGTGCGTACACGATACTTGGCTTTGTTGATCAAACGAGGCTGTAGGACATGTAGACATTCAAGTGGAAAAGGCACCATGTCCGATTTGGTGTTTTCCGCGAGGTCTGTAACAAGCGCGCTAGCACAGCGAGTGCGCCAGAGAGTCATTGAAATCATTCGTAAACCCAGCACTAGGGTACTTTTGCGACGGAGCAACGAAGAATCAGGAGTTAGCGCAAGGGGCAGTCTGGACCCAGAGACGGATGCAGCCGATACGAGAAAAAAACACAGCTCGGAGTTGCCGAATGCTGGGCGCCATGACGACAAGACATGCATGTATGTAGATGGAAAACAAGATCAACAAGCAAGCAGCTAGCCCGCCAGCCAGCCGACCCTTTTTTTCAGCCCTGCAATTAGATAAGCCTTCACGCAGGATATCCCGATATACAATCACAGCAAATGTAGAACAAAACAACTATGCAGGTTCAAAAAGCACGCCAACGCTGTATATTTCCACACTTGCCCGCGTATAGCGCGCGCACGCGTAATCTAATCCCAGTCTATATGACCAACCGCCGTCACCAGCAGCATCGCTCCCTCCCTTCCCCCGGCCATGCACTCCCCTCGCCAGCCAAGAAACCAGGGAGTCAAAAAAAAGCCACATGCACAGCAACCGGGAAAGGATAGGCTGCAGGTGTGGATTGCAGGGTACGTATGTAGCAAATGGTCTCGACCGTTGCCCTTCCCCCCCCCCTTCGACCTTACTTACCCCTCCCTTGCCCATGAACAAGTGCAAGGTCAAAAACACACCAACCAAAAACAAAGCTAAGCTAAGCTAAGCTGATCCAAGAACCCTTGCTGCACATCCCGCGGCCTCCCCTCCTTCTCTTCCATCATGCTCAAGCTCTAGCTTAAGACTCTAGCTCTAGCTCTAGCTCAAGCGCCTCCCCCCCCCCTTCCCCCCGCCCGCTCCAATCCTAGGGCGCACATGCGCTGCATACGCGCTGCTGCTGCTGCTGCTAGTATTACTTACTTGCTGTTGGCTGCCCGCCGAACAAACTCAGTTGGGAAAATGGCATGTTTATGGTCATGACCATGAGACATGAGACATGGGGATCAGTACTGTAAGTACAGGACATGGGGGCAATATTCGACTCGCCGTGCTGGGATAACGTCGGGTGTGTATGTACATACGTACGTACGTACGTAAGTAAAAGTCCAAGGGGTTTTTTTTTCTAGCTAGGGCCGCTGGAATAAGTATATTGTGTGTATGTCTCTCTGTGTGTGTGTGTGTGCGTGTAATGTAGGGTAGGGGTAGGGATACAGGGGGAGGGGGATATGCGAAATGCGGGGGTTGGGTGGGTAGAAAGGCAAATATGGAGAGACATGGGGCGATATGGGGAGATGGAGTTGTGCGCGAGAGGGTTTTTTTTATTACACTTAGCCCTGTCTCTCTCTTTTTTTTTTCTCTCTTTCTTTCTTTCTTTCTTTCTTTCTTTCTTTCTTTCTTTCTTTCTTAATGGTGGGCGGTTAGGTTGAGGTGGGACGGGGGAGTGTGGAAGTTTATTCATGTCTGTCTGTGTGTATGTATGTATGCATGTATGTATGTATGTATGGAGGTCCTTTTTGTGTACGTCTTTTGTTGATTTATCTGGGCTTCTTGCGCGTGGTTTCGTTTGCATGCGCGGGGAGGAAGGGAAGGGAAGGCTTATTAGCAACGGGTGTTGGATGGGTATACTTTTTTTCTTCTTCTTCTTTTCTTTCCTGTCGTTTGGCATGGCATGCTATGTCTTGCATACTATTATATACATTGCGTACCTGCTTCCCTGCCTAACATGGCTATACGTTTTCTTCAGCGAGTGGAGAGAAGCACAGAGTACATACAATATGAAGGTTTTACTAGTTTCTGTGGCTTGCACTATGATCTGACGTACCAGTCAAGGTTACAGTTACCGCCCGTTTTCTCCCCTTTGTCGTGTGTCGGTGTACGCAGGCGGATGGGCTGATGGGGGCTGGTGTGGTGTGGGCTGATTCTGACTCTTGCTTCCGACTTGCTTGCATGCTCCACTAAGTAAGTACCTAGTTTGTCCTCCCCCCCCCTCCCCCCCGGCAAGCAAGAAAAATCATACGCGAGTGGTTTTGCATGCATCTTTGTTTGAAGTTGTGCTATAGCTCGTAACTCTTTTTTTTTACTTTCACAATGACTCTGTGCCCCGTGTTGGGCTGGGACTGCTTCTTGGCCTTTGCAGGGCCCCCGTTCGTGTTGCTGCTGCTGCTGTGTGGTGGTTGTGTGGCCCGATTGCACGAGGATTCCAAGATCGGTGGTGAGAAGGGCCAAGGCGCGCGTAATATCAGGTCTTGGGTTACATTCTGTCCCATGAGCGTTAGCGAGTAGCATTACATACACTTACTTTCTCCGTTTACGTAGGGATTTCTTTGTTTTGGGAAGAGCTTGGCTCAGCTGTCAAGTCGCCGACATTTCGAGACGACCAGGTTGTTACGTTTGGGACCCAGTTGTTACATTTCGTGAGCAACAAGTACTCGCGCGCAGTCTCTCGATACCTTGACGAAGCCCAAATTATCCGGACACGGTGGGTTTTCGTGTGACTGCAGCTTGGCTAAGAAGGACAAGGCTCAAAAGACCGTTGGCCAAGGCATACCCACGCAGCACAAAAGTGAGCGCCGAGGCGCCTTCTCCACCTTAGACATAGAAGCCACCGACGTTCACCACGGCTGGGCATGTATGTGTATGCATCCTGCGCAGCCCTGTCCGTCTTTTGACTGTACCATTGGCCATTTGCAGCCTGCCGCATGATCCAAGGGCAAAACAATGAGTGAATTGTCAACCAACTTGCATCGGGGCGAGGGGAGGGGGAAGGGCGACAAGGCAGCTGTTTGACAAGCAGTGAAGGTGCAGATTTTCAACCCTTGTGACACCCGAGTATCAAGGCCTGCGCTTGGTCATTGCTGGCAATGCTCTCACTCGTGCCCCCTCTTCTCCACGTATTAAGCACAACGCCGCCCCCGCGGGACTGGACTTTGCAACTGTAACCAAAAGCTCGATTGTCGCACGTCCATTATGGCGGAACCTGACAAGGAGATTAAGATTGAGTAGGTGTTTTCCTATCTTATCAAGATAAGCTCCGTCTTTTATACTAATGTTTCTTGTAGGCCTGTCGTTGACGAGCACCGCGAGCGCAAAGCTTCCATCTTCGACGATGAGCAGAAGCGCCGGGAGAGCGTCGCACGCCTCACTGCCAACGTCGAGGGCGAGTAAGTGGTCGATTGATCAATTGATTCCGTGTCGTGCTCATACCATTAGGATTCGCAACCCGCTTGTCGATATATCCAAGGAGCAGCTTCTAGCCAATGTCCATGACTTTGCCAAGGAGCACCAATTGGAAGACGTAGAGCCGCTTCTTGTCAAGGGCGCGCTCGTCGCGCAGTCTCCTGCTCTGTTTGAAGAGCTGGAAGAGCTCGACGAGAACGATCGCAGCACGCTCCGCGAAGAGATTACCCATCGGTTCAAGCTACCCCGAACACTATACTTCACCATTATTCTCAACTCGATTGCAGCAGCGATTCAGGGCTGGGACCAGACGGGATCCAATGGCGCAAACTTGACCTTTGGCCAGGCTCTCGGTATCCCAGACTCTGGACCACAGTGCGAACAGGCCGGGACCTGCGAGAAGAATGCCTGGATCATTGGCTTTATCAATGCGTGTCCGTACATTGCCATTGCCGTCTTTTGCGCTTGGATTTCGGGTGAGCACTACCAAAACACAACTTTGTCTTTTTTCTTCGTACTGACTAGCAAGATCCCGTCAACGATTTGTGCGGCCGTCGTGGTACCATCTTCATTGCTGCCATCTTCTCGCTCCTGGCTCCTTTTGGAATGGGCCTGAGCCAGACATGGGGCCAGCTCGCAGTCTGTCGTGTGCTACTAGGCTTCGGCATGGGTCTGAAGGAAGTTACTGTCCCTGTCTTCTCGGCCGAAAATGTCCCCGCTAGCGTTCGAGGCGGTCTCGTAATGTCCTGGCAGGTATGTTGACATCGAAGAACAAAAGAAGACTTGACTGATGTCTATACTACCAGATATGGACGGCTTTTGGTATCTTTCTCGGTACCGTGGCTAACCTAGCTGTCATGGTAAGTCTCTTCCGACATCAACTGATCGGATGATTGCTGATGTGCACAGAACACGGGAAACATATCCTGGCGTCTGCAATTCGGCTCTGCCTTCATCCCCGCGGTACCCCTCGTAATCGGCATCTGGTTTGTCCCCGAGAGCCCTCGGTGGCTGATGAAGAAGCGCAAGTACGCAAAGGCGTATCGATCCTTCCTTCGTTTACGAAACACGCCTCTCCAGGCTGCGCACGATCTCTACTACACACACTGCTTGCTGGAGCAGGAGGAAGTCGTGATTCGCGAGGCGGGCATCAATCCCAAGTCCAACTTCTTCACGCGCTTCATCGAGCTCTTCACCATCCCGCGTGTCCGCCGTGCCACGCAGGCCTCTGGAATCGTCATGATTGCGCAACAAATGTGCGGAATTAACATAATAGCGTTTTACTCGGGCACTATCTTCGCTGAAGGCGGTGCTTCGCTCAAGGAAGCTCTGATTGCATCGTTCGGATTCGGTCTCGTCAACTTCACCTTTGCATGGCCGGCCGTGTGGACGATCGATACCTTTGGGCGCCGGGGACTGCTTCTGTTCACATTTCCCAATATGTTCTGGTCCCTGCTTGCAGCGGGCATGTGCTACTATATCCCTCGGGACAGCTCGGCACATCTGGGTCTAATTGCCTTTTTTGTCTACCTCTTCGGCGCCTTTTACAGCCCCGGCATGGGACCCGTTCCGTTCACGTACTCGGCTGAGGTATTCCCGCTATCTCATCGCGAGGTCGGCATGGCGTGGGCAGTTGCAACGAATAATTGGTGGGCGGCTGTATTGGCGCTTACGTTGCCGAGGATGCTCAAGGTGATGAAGCCTCAGGGTGTTTTCGGCTTCTATGCTGGACTCAATGTGGTGGCTCTCATCATAATGTAAGTCAACCACATATACTTGGCGGGTGCGCGGATCACTAACACCCGATTAGTTTCCTCTGGCTCCCAGAGACCAAGCAGCGCACGCTCGAAGAACTCGATTACATCTTTGGCGTTCCTACTCGCAAGCATATGAAGTACCAGGCTGTGCAGAATCTCCCATGGTGGTTCAAGACGTACGTCCTGCGCCGCAAGGGGCTGTCTAAGCCTCAGCTGTACAAGTTTGCAGATGAGCGCCCGCAGGTCAGCGTCACAGCTCAGATGAGCTATGCGTGGAACACTTATATTCTTCGGAAGAAGGGCCTAGCTAAGCCGGATGCATACGTCAAGGCGGCCCCTCGCGGTGAGAAGCAGGTGTGATTGCTGCTCGAGTCTTTGATTCGACGTGGTAATGTATGCTTGGTGTAGCATTGATCTGAGGTTATGAGCAGCCATGATGGGTTCATGAAGGTATTGGTAATGTAAGGAGTTGGGGGACAGGTACAAGGTCGTTCTTCTGCGATATACCCTCTGCTGGCTGGGGTTAGCATACTACTTTCTCTAATACTCTCTAATGATGACGGCATCTCTAGCGTTTCGACCGAGACATGTATTTTCGCTGTGACTACGTTACTTCCAGCTCTATGAAGCTTGCGCCAGTCACCAAGTCACCATTCAACAAGTACCTTCTGGCGAAACAGCACTTTAACGCAATACCTCCCCCGGCCATGCCATTCGTGTAGATACTCGACAAGAGAAACACCACACATCCTCAAGCAAACCACATAGCAAGGAGAGAGAGAAAAAAAAAACCCTTACTTACACTGACTAACACATCATAACCCTCCAACAGCTCTATAACCCAAACACCAAAAAAAAAAGAAACAGCGCCGAACCCCGGAATCAAACCTGCCGCTATCGCCCTCCCTCTCCCTCTCTCTCACATGCGCGCTCGGATGTCCAAGACGCGCAAACCCAGCAACCTGCCCATCTAAGTAATTGCCTCGGGGGGATGGCGCAGTGGTGGAGCGCCTGGAAAATTTTCTGCTGTCTCACGTCAGCAAAGATCGAAGGTTCGAATCCTTCTCCCCTCACAACCATATTTATGGTCCACCCACATGAGAGAGTTACTCATTAAACTACCTATTCGACTGAGAGAGTTACTCGTTAAAACTTGAGAGGAAGACTCATTTAAAGTGAAAGATCTGAGAGAGTTACTCACTAAAAAACTACTAGGCTACGAGCCTCACCTTCATTTAGATAACCCCCTACATTGTACCTACTCAATTTGTACCTAGATTAAATTCTAGCCTACGTAGTTACTTGCAGGCCTTAAGCCTGCACGTCTTATATAGCCCTTTGGGCTGAGAAAGGACGTTAAACT